AGTCGAAACGGCCAAAAGCTGGTTGAATTCTTAATGGAACACAATCTATTCATCCTCAATACGAACTTTAAGAAGCACCACAACAATAAATGGACTTGGGTATCCCCAGATGGTACATATAAAAATGAAATTGATTACATAATAAGCAATCACCCTAAAGCGTTTACAGATACTACGGTTATTAGCAAACTTAATTTTAACACAAATCACCGAATGGTGAGATGTTCCCTTAGAAAGTGTCGAACAAAAACCCCTCGCAGCCACATAAAAAGCCATAAAAACGAAAAGCAAGCACAACTCAACTTAGAAAACACAAAGCCTCTCAAGAAAGTAAATGAACAAATCACAAATAATAATATGAACACAATTCAGAAATATAACATCCTAGAAAGGGAACTACAAAGCAGTTTCTCTAAAGAAAACAGTCCTAAAAAAAAATATCAACTAAGCGCACAGACAGTGCAATTAATCAACGAAAGAAAAGAACTAATCCAAAAAGGAACAAAAAAAGACAACATAATACTTATCACTGATATTAGTAAAAAAATAAGAGAAAACATAAGAAAGGATCGTAAAGTCAAGAGATTGATGACTCTAGAATACCACATTAAAAAGACGGGAGGTGTGAAGAAAGCTTTGAAGGAATTGCGAGAATCTGGCAAAGAGTGGATACCTAAAATAAAAAGAAAGACCAACAACGTCACCTCGATACGCCAAGGTATCAAAGATCGAGCCACAAGCTTCTATCGACAACTGTATACTAAACAAGAAGAGGATGCATCAAATGATCACAACGAGACCAAAATACCATATGAATCGAATTTTGACCCTACACCTGAAATTCTAACATGCGAAGTCGAAAAGGCAATCAATAGCCAAAAGATGGATAAATCTCCTGGCCCAGACAAAATAACGAATGAACTGTTGAAAGGAACTATAGAAGAATTGGTGCCCATTCTTACAAGAATCTTTAACGACATTCTACTAACTGGCAATATTCCTAGGCAATGGTCAGAATCTCATATCATCTTATTACATAAGAAAGGAGACAAAGAAGACATAGAAAACTATAGACCTATTTGTCTGACATCCAATGTATACAAAGTCTTCTCAAAGATAATACTAGACAGAATCAGCCTTAAATTAGACGAACAACAACCAGTCGAGCAGGCAGGATTTAGAAAGGGATTTTCAACCATTGACCATATACATACTGTTAAACAAATACTTGAGAAATACAACGAGTACAATAAGGATATATTCATAGCCTTTATAGACTACGCCAAGGCCTTTGATAGCTTGAGTCATGAGTATATTTGGGAAAGCCTAGAACACCAAGGAATACCAACCATATATATCAAAATAATAAAATGCATATACTCCAATATCAAAGCTAGGATTCGGCTAGAGACATTGGGAGGTGAATTTCAAATACAAAGAGGTGTGAGACAAGGGGACCCACTTTCCCCAAAATTGTTTTCCGCAGTACTGGAAAATTTATTCCGTAAACTAAACTGGGAAGAATATGGCATTAGTATAAACGGAGCTAGAATGCACCATCTAAGATTCGCCGACGACCTAGTGCTACTAGAAGAATGCCCCAAAAAGCTAGAATATATGATACAAAATCTAAGAGAAGAAAGTATAAAAGTCGGACTAAAATTGAACACTACTAAGACAAAATTAATGACAAACTCCCGAAAAACCAACATCAGCATTAATAACGAACTATTGGAGTATGTGGAAGATTATACTTATTTGGGTCAAGTCATCTCAACCAAAGATCAAATGACAAAAGAAATCAACTTCAGGATCGCTACTGGATGGAGGAAATACTGGTCGCTCAAGGAAATAATGAAGTCAAAGGACCTGAGCATGTCACTGAAGAGAAAGACCTTCAACTCATGTATCCTACCATGCTTAACATACGGCTGCGAAACATGGGCCCTTACTAAAATATTAAGGGAAAAGCTTGCCATAGCCCAAAGAGCAATGGAAAGGAGCATGACAGGATGTAAACGACAGGATAAAGTGAGAAATATGGACCTGCGTCTAAAAACTAAACTCACCGACGTATTGAATCGAATCGATCAGCAGAAATGGAGATGGGTAGGTCACATGATGCGGGAAAATAAAGGGAAATGGAGCAAAGCTGTTACAGAATGGTACCCAAGGGATGGACGCAGAAGCCGAGGAAGGCAAAACATAAGATGGGAAGATGAGATCAGGTTGACAGTGGGACCATTGTGGAGAAGGGTTGCTCAGGACAGACAACAATGGAAATCGTTGGAGGAGGCCTATGCCAAAAGGCACACCGAATTAAGAGACATAGTGTAACTAAAATCATGTAACATAAAAATGAACCTGTGTAATCTCTTACTTTGGTATAAGGGGCTATATATATATATATTATGTATATATTATATTTATGTTATGTATTATATATATATATATATATATATATATATATATATATATATATATTTAGACCATTACCCTTATTTTTATTAGACCCTGTACATCATTCACCAACAGCCTTTGATAGTCCACTGCTGGACATACGCCTCTCCTTAGAAAGGAGGTTTTGGCCTACTATACCACGCTAGCCAGACGGGTTGGTATAGGGTTTGTTTCAAGTTTTCCTTCTCTTTGCAGACGAATAGGGGGGGACGGGATGAATAGGGGTGATGACATTCCATATTCTTAATCCGTCACCACACGGACCCTGTACAGGACAGACGTTTCTTTTTCTCTTTTATTTCCAACTTATTTTCTTCACTAGCTTTGGTCATGGCAAATGCTTCCCTTTGTGTGGATTTGATATACATATTTATAACTTCAAAGATTTTTCTATTCATTGTCGACATTACGGGCCACTTGTTCTATTGAGTACTGATCCTGACTGCTGAGTGAGAGGTCGTAGGTTCGATTCCCATCCAGAACATATTATTATGTGATGAGCACGGTCATTGATTTTGTATCTAGGCATAATTTATCTATTATAATAATGAAGGTATGTATTTAGAAACATAGAAGTATGTTTATTAGCAGTCTGATTAAATTAACACAGGCTATGTCTAATTTAGGATCAAGACGGCCGTGTGTTAGATGTCAAAATATTATTCTCTAATTAGAATTACATTTTGAAATATATATTGATTAAATTTTTAAATATATTCCAAAAAAAAGAAACATTAAAAATAAAAAAAAAATAGTAGACCATCGACATCGGGTTATTATTACTTTTTCTAAAGCAATGGACCCTATGTTTTTCTATATCCATTAATTTAATGTATGTAATATTTAATGATCACAAATTGATTCATTAAGTTGCCAAAACATGATAAACAAACTTATTAGTACAATTAATAAAGCTCTTTAAACGCTCGATAAGTTAAACTAACTTAGTAAATATGGATGTCTTGTTGTACAATGTTCAAGTTGGTTACATACCGGAATACTTGATAAGGTTTAAGAATTTGTAGAATTTTTCGAGGTTTGCATTTTTATCACAAATTACGTTTAAATTGCACAAGCTACGGCGATTTGTGTGGAAGGTCCCTATAATGCTTTTATTATCGTGTATGTAAAGCTTTGATCTTTTACTTTTTTTTCCTCTTCAAGAATGGATGAGATTCTATTGATCCACATAACCTTTTATCTTCCTATTTTTGTATTCGATTTAATGAAATTGGATTCGTCATGAAGTGCCTATTCAATTTCAAGATTTAGTCACGCCAAATACATGTTAAGTGTAGATAAGTATGCTTTAGTGTAGCTTGTTAGGTATAAATACACGTGACAATAAACCGCTTTTGTTCTGTTAAATACAGTTACTGTAACAACTAGATTTTTTTTTCTCTGCCTAACAAATCAGTTATCGATATGCCTAGTAATTATGTACTTAAGGACAACTTTGACAAAAAGTTCTATTTTTCATAGAACAAGGAAACTAAAGTGTAAATAGTGCATTCCTAGTTTTTGTATCTACTTTTATATCCATCCCTATTAGATCTACCAGTAAGTGCAGGTTTCTTTTCAGTAATATGCCAGTGAGTCCTGAGTAAGCTTAGGACTTATTAGCTCTTACTAGCAGACTACCGTAATGCTTGCTAGAGTATGGTCAAAGATCCTATTTACAAGTTTCAGATTGACTGTCTTTCTTTTTGTGAAGACAGAAGATAGTCCATAGAACGGTGTTTTCACAATTGGCGGAAATCAAAGTAAACTTCACCGTCAACGATGCGGCACGATTCTTGATGGGTTCATCTGAGTTTAATGCAGCAGAGAAGCAGAACATTTTGTTTTTTTTTTTAATATATTAATGTGCTTAAAGGTAATTCTATTTTGAACCTTACCCTTGTTTTATATGGTGATCAATTCTTTTTCTTTTCGATTCGACTTGAGCGTTGCTAACCTTACTTACAGGTATTGCGTATATATACATAATAATAGAAATTACAATAGCTCATTTCGTAGTATGTAAAAATTATGTTTTAAGACCATATCAAATGTCTTACCAGTTATTCGGAATTCACATTATATTTACTTTTATTTACCTGGTGCTAAAGTCCGCCTGTTTTAAGACCATATCAAATGTTTTACCAGCTATTCGGAATTCGCATTATATTTACTGGTAGAGATTACCTGGTGATTAAGTCCACCTGTGTGCAATTTGTGCATAAAGTTTAAAGTAAATATCTTTGATCACGTTTATCAATATGATTTAAAAAAATATATAAAACCTTTAACGAAAATTACAACGAAGTATATCATTCATTACGGCTAAAGAACGTTTAATTATCAATTTGTAATAGAAACGTAATAATTGCAAGTTTTTTTTGTTATTCTGTGATTATCTAAAATACCTACAACTTGGCACAAATTTTGAAACTATTGGTCAATGGTTGTCAACCTCTGATTAGAATGAAATGTATCAATATTGTCTATAAATGTTATACCGGCGTTGTTAGACACAGACCCTCAATCAAACAGCCAAGATGTCACAACGTCTACTTGACAATACGGTACTGCAAGTAGTAGATAGAGTTTTAATTTACTGTTTAACAAAATATAAAATAATGATAGCATTTTTCACCAAGTGCTTTACTTAAAGTGAAAGTGAAATTGTGTTTGTGATAGTGAATACTGTTCGACTTTCAAACGTCCTAATTTTCTAAGAGAAGTCAGTTCTCTTTTTGACAGCACTGGCCGAATAAAAAAAGTTTTTCTGACAGTTATTTTACAACCAAAAAATGAGTCTTTTTAACTTTGAATGACTAAACTATCATTAGAAAACTTTTTTACATTTTAAACTTATACGTTTAAGTATACATGGAAAATAAAAAGCTTTTCTAAAATACTCTTTGCTGTTTCAGAAATGGTTTTGGTGCCTATTAGCCTTACAAGCTGGTTGGACATGGGGACAGGCACAATCAGGTACAAGAACCCCCCCTTCGGGAAATCCATCAACAGTTGAAGCACAGGCAAAGTTTTTCCAGTAAGTATAAACTTGTAATATAATTTCTTATTCTTTTCTTATTTAGAAAACTTATTAGAATTACAGTGAAATGCCTGATAGAGAATAGCAAGCATTTTCAGATAAACTTTTAATAATTTTATTCAAAATGATCAGAATGAATGGTTTATAATTGTTATAAATGTAAAATTATGTATCTGTGTAAATTATGATGATTTATACCAAGTTGTGTGTAATTTTATTCTTATTTGATTTTATTTACATAATTTAGTTTCACTGTCAGCATTTGCTAATGACAGTTCAAAATCAAAAGTTTGCTACTCTCAATTAAATCATTTATTTATTATGTAATACATTTAGCAAATAGAGACATAAGCAAAATTATTGTTCATGCTGCGACGACTGCCGTATCTAAAACTTTATTTTTATTTTTAGAGTTCCTAAATTCTTACAGGATTCTTTATAGTTTCCACATAGTTTAGAATTTACTTATTTGAAGCCTGTATAAATATACAAAATTACTCTACATAGCGCATGACTTGAAACGCACTTTGCCATGTAAAACGTGTTTACCACAATTAGTAATTAGAAAATATTTAACCACTAATCGTTCTTAGTAAATTGAATTAAGATGAATTTTCATTCGAACACATTACCCTTGAGCTCAAATTCATTAAAGTGTAAATTATTTACATAAGTTTTGGAAAGTGACCTTATTTAACATTTGAGTTTTGTTTTGCCTTCGTTTAAATTGAAATCTATTGTTGACACGTGTAAGAATAGTTTCAACATAACAAAACAGTGACATAGTTACGAGTATACTATTAATTGTTTAGAGAAAGGGGCCCGACCACGGCATATAATTTATATAGATTTGACGCAACGATATTTATGGTTTTCTATAATAAAATATTTCTATCTTTTTATAGTCGCTTAAATATACGCTTAAATATATTTTAAGCGTATGTTAATATCCTGTCTTTGTTACTTCTCTAATCACATTACGAAAATATGGACGCGATCCTGTTTTCTTTAAACTACTTGCTAATTAACTAATTGCTTAATACCGACTTTCCGGTCTAGCCGGCTTATTTAAGCCAAAGCATGACTCTCCCACGAATCAAGTCCCGTTTGCCTATTCGAGTCTTGCAATATCTCTTACCCTAGCTCCTTCTCCTTATTCGTTTTCTTTACACCTATTTACCTTCTTCCTTTGGTTCGTCTGGTAACAATTACTTTCGCAAAGAGCTCCGACGCCAGGCAGACGACCGGCCATAAAAAAAATCAGGCAAAACCTTTTACCAAAATCATTATTTCTACCCAGGCAGGCAAATGATGATAATATATTTTAGGGTGTAGAATTAATTAGGAGACGCCTAAATATCTAAAGCAGTCGCAGCACTGGGATCAATTAGCTCACCCTCCTTTACTAGCAGAACATTAACACTATGCTGGTTAAGTGTTCTTCTATCATGTGGAGATCCTCTCTCCTATCCCCTTCTTTTTATTAGTACCAGTCCTCTTGTACTATCTATGGAGACGAAAACAGTAATATTTAGGTTAAATTCACTAAAATCGACTTAAATCCACGAAACCATACTAATAATAATTATTTATCATAAAAATAAATAAGGTTTGGCATACTTTGCTTTATAGGGATTTTTTCTCAGTACAGTTGAGTCCGTACAAGATGGAATTCGGCCACGTCTGTGAGGACCCTGATACTTGGGAGCAACGCTATGAGAAGAAAGACTTTAAAAACCACAGGGACATGGGAAAAGTAAAACAAACCATTTATCTCGCTCTGTCTCTAACTATTTCTGTGTTTCTCTTTCTTTTCCGCTTTGCTTCGCTTGGCTGAAGGTATAGACACTTTCCGACCACGGAGGAGTTTAATCAGGGACATCGATTGGGCAGCTTACGTCACTTCACTGAGAGACATGAGAGGGCGAAGCCTTCAGAAGGATTATTCTCTGCTAAAGTATGCTTTTTACTAACTATTATGCAGATATTTTCTAAACTTTTTAGAGCAATGTTGAAAACATATTCGTGAATAATAATAAAAATTATAGTAAATTTAAGAAGGTATCTGCATTAACTAATATATTATACAACACTACATTTATATATTCTTTCAGTATACAATGTTCTATATTATTTATACATAATATTGTTTGTCTGTCTGTCTTTTAACAATCTTTCTTGTAAGCTAACTTTCATTTTCCCATTTATTTAACAATCTACTGAGCATTTCACAAAAAAAACTACGCCATCACTATTGTGTCTAAAACTATCGAGCGTTAATAGCTATACTTATTGATTTTTACAATGTTTATGATGTTTAAAAAAAACTCATTTTAAACTAGGTACGATGGGGCGATAAAAAAGGTGGGTACGGTGAACATTACTGGGACTTAAACCATGCTGGTCATTCTGGTGATAATGGAAATGACGGATATGACAGCCATGATAGTCCCTACCATGACTCAAGTAACAGTGACCCTTATGATGAACCAAGTGAGAACTCGCCTCAATACGGACCTGATGATTACGATTCGGAGAAATCAAGTTATGAAGAAAGCGGGCGAGCTAAAAGAGCACATCCAAAAATAAAAGTAGATAGAAAACATCACAAAGAGTCTGAAACGTATGAAGAGACGTCGAAACCATCGAAACAGAAACGTAAGAATAAAGAAGAATTGCAAGCTGCTGCAATAGAATCTGAGGAAGAATACTCAGAAGATACTGAAGAAGAAGAAGAAGAAACGGATGATACTTATGAAAAACCTAAGCGTCATCATCGTAGAAAGCATGATGAAAATCAACATCAAACAAATCACAAACAACCAAAGGAGAAAAAGCAATTCGTTTTAGTCGTAAGTCAGAAGGATGATTCTGAAAAACAGAAACAACATTTGGAGCAACCTCAATATTCAAGTAAACAATCTGAACCATCTCAATATGTACCAAAGAAACAATCAGATATATCTCAATACGCTCCTCAGTACCAACCCGAACATCCACAATATGTGCCTTACGAAAATGGAGCTGGAATAAGGCAGTACCAACAGCCAGAAATTAGCGCAGCCGCGACAGTTCCTAGGTTGTTCCTGGAACCTTCAACGGGGCATGTGGTTGACAGAGCAACTGGACAAGCTTACGTTTTACAACCCATTTTAGCACCTAAAAAATATAATTAAACAGTTTAACTAATAACTAGGGTAGTAAAATAGTTTAGTAAAGTTATTTATTTTTTTAATTAAAGACTTGTTCTTATATTTTGCATTATTTATTTATATCTTATACCATCCACCTAGGGAAGGCTACTAACTCAATGCTTAAGCATGCTGCTGTTCAGCATTACGAGTAGCAGCATACTCAAGGGCGCCAGTCCTTTCAACTTTGTTTGCATCTATATGCGTACCCAGGAAACGCAGGCTTCCCCTTTGAATCGACTTAAAACCGAGGTAAAAATATGTTTTCAAGGCCCAAAAGCCTAGAGAACATATTTTAGTAGCCGGTCACTATTCCCGTAGTGACTGGTTACTCCTAAAACCCTGTCTAGTTATGAAGATTTCGAGATTTTGTCTCGTTGAAAACAATTTTTACTGAAGAACAAACGAATCTAGTTCTCGATAACTTTTCCATTTAATCTCAATTTTAATACTAGTCTAGTCATATTGTTTAAGTTATCTGAATAACTATTTTTAGAAAAGAGTAAACAACCCAATGCCATACATTTTCATAACAAAGAGCTGATGACGTATGTAGAGCTGATCTCTACATCTGAAAATTCACTTTGAAGAATGGTGAACGCTGAGCACATAGTAATAAACATTTGCTGGAGATATGGGGACACTAGTGAGCGCTCTACCTAATCCCTATAATGAACTTAATAAATATTAATTAAAATAATTGCATTATGTTACTTAATTTGCTAAATGAGACTTCATTAAGGGTAAACATTGGTAATAAAATATCGTATAAATAGTATACATTGTTCAATGTTCACAATATTATATGTATGTATTGGAAAACTTGACATAAACCCTATACCACGTCTGGGCAGCGAGGTATAGTAGTCCAAAACCTCCTTTCTATTAAATAATCACATCACACATACATCACAGCAGCAGACTTTAATAGTCCACTGCTGGACATAGGCCTCTCCTTAGAAAGGACTATACCGCGCTGGTCTGGCGAATTGGTATACGGTTTGTTTCAAGTTTTCCTTCTCTTTGCAGTGCTGTTGTCCTGCGCAGTATGCTCCCTTAGTCGGCTCTTACGACGCCCATGGGATGAATATCGATGGTGACGCTCTGTATTCTTAATCCGTCTCCACACCGACGAATAGCAGTTGCCGACTATATTTTTAATCCCACTCACGTACCTAATAAAGGGCAAGCATTTTGTCCTCAACTGGGTACTTTAGAAATTATGTATATGGGAAAATTCCGAATGGAACATGAACGTAAAAGTTGGTAAGATGGGAAAACAATAGTATGAAAGGGATATGGCTTATAAATATATTATGGATCGGCTAATGTAAGCAATAGCTCGAATAGGTCAATCAGGGTTGCTACGTGTCATAGTAGAGGTACTATGACACCTAATACGCCAACTACCGCCTGGTAACCGTCAGCAAACAGTTTAACTTATCTGTACAGGTTCTCAAATTATTACCTTTACTACTGGAAAGTGAATTCCTAACTAGTTAAACAAGTAGACAGGAAAGGCAACCAGATTCACTTTCCACCTAATAACACTGGAACATATAGTTATTGTATTGCTAAAACAATTTAATTAGATATTAACTTTTGCCCGCGGCTCCGCCTGCGTGTATGTCGGTTATCGCTGTAACTTTCCATTGGTGAAAGAGTTTTAAAAATCGGTTTAGTGCTTTAGGCGTGAAAGTGTAACAAACAAACTCACTTTCACATAAAAGTACATAAGTATGGATGTTTGTATTTATAACATTACGTAAAAAGAATTGGGAAGTTCCTGATGGTGATAAGAATATTTATTTCCGTGTGATTTGCTTGTTTCAATATTTTCAAATTTATTATTATTTTATAAACTAAAGTTCCTTTCTTAATACCTACTCTAGTATCTTACTTTTTAAGGTTCGGGAAATGACGTCGAATTTTATACGGAAATAGCTTAGTTTTCTAGGATTTTTTTTGTTGTCTTTCACTGAGCGAGTGAGGTCACCGGAGCCCCTCCTTGAGCGAGAGGGGCTGCATCCAACGCACTTGTGACTTTTGAGTTGCAGGTGTCCATGGGCAGCGGTAGTTGCTTACCATCAGGTGACAAGTCTGCTCGTTTCCCCCCTTATACCATAACAAAAACTATTTAAGTTTATTATATTATTTGCAATATTTCCAGCTGGCTGAATAAAATTGTCCAAGAAACCAGCGTTTTGAATTACGATTGATTTAAACCTAAATTAATCATAATCTTTTTGCGGCCAATGATACTCTGGTATTACCAATGACTGATGGCAGAATAATCTTAAAAATAAATTTTGTAGCTGCCTCTGTGCAATTACGTGATCTTAACTTAACTTGGTTTTTATTGCAACTTTCTTACGATAAACGTGACAGCCTTTTTTATTTTTTTCTTGCAACCAAAATCGATTAAAACTTAGGATCTAATAAAAATTATATAAAATTAATTGCGACACTAAGATTGCGCATTTCGTAGCAATTTTATTTTACTCTTATTTTTTTTATAAATCTGTCAGTTGAACATAGTTCTTTATTATTTATTATTAGTGATGACGACTTAACATAGTGTAGCGCCCTGCGGCACGATCAACCGACGACTTGAGAAAAATGGCTGGCAGCGGATGGCTGCGGACTGCTCTAGACCGGGCTGGGCTTAGCTCCTTGGGGGAGGCCTTCGTTCAGCAGTAGACGGTAATAGGCTGATGATGATGACGAGTTTCTAGCTCACCTGTTTTTACTGAATCTATTCAGTCAAAGTTTCGCAATCAACTTTAAACCTAGTAACCCTAAATCTGGATAAGAATATCTAGTACATATTTTAAGAAAAATGTATAAATAATGAGAATAAAACTGCAGTTCACGAATTTGAATTTTCAGTATAATAAACTTTTGGTCCATCGGTTGATAGATAATATGTATTTTTTTAAGACAACTCCCGCATTAGGATATAATATAAGTTTATATATGTTATCCTACGTCTCGGAGGACTTTACAAACATGCATGAAATGGACACAAAGAACACCCAGACTCAGAACAACAATTTGGTGATCACACAAAGTGGTGTCCCATGTGGGGATCGACCCACAACACTCAGTGCAGTAGGAAGCGGCGTGGCTACCGCCTAAACCACTACGCCATCCGTGCAGTCAATTTTGATTCTAACCCTTATTTTTGAAGTTCAAAAACACAACAACACGGTTACCTTAGATATACTATACGATGTCCTTCTACGGTCGGATGGTATATCATGAGTGGTGATGATGGTATATCAAGGTGAGCATTCCAAAATAATTCCAATAATAGTACGAAGACACGTCTTGTATTATTACGTGTGGTTAGCATGGTACACTCAAAATGTGTTCGCCTTATACAATAAACCCTTATACCTTGCCAACCCCGTGTTTTATCAATGGAAGGTAACGATTCGTTTCCCATGTCGTTTGTAACAAGTTAGATAATAGATAAAAATCCATATTGTTTCAGTTTATAACGGCTTTTTACATTTTGAAATACGGGTAGGTTAGATGATGATGATTTTAAAAGCGAGCGAGTATTTCTTTATGTGTGTATGTAAGAAAATAGCTTGCAGACATTAGTATATTTATATTGAGTATGTATATATATTTTATTAAGTGTATTATGTAATTATGTATTAAGTATGTTAAGTATAAGTGTATATATATTATATTAAGTATGTTTAATGTGCTTATGTCGACATCCGGCCGAATAAAAATTTGCTCTTGTGCTTAAAAAGATAATTCTTGAAAGATTTAGGTACTTACATATTTAAATAAAACCGACCTCTTTTAAGTTGTACATTCTCGTTTTATATTATTTTTTATGAAGTTACATTTCTCCACAGTTTTAATTGTGTTTTCTTCCTTACATTTATGTTTTTTTTTAATAAGATGATTTTATTTTTACCTGTATTCTAGGTTAGTTTTATAGGATGATTTGAGTTATTCTAAAGGCTATTAATGATAATTGGCAAGATTATTTGATTATTGTAGTTTAATCAGGTTTAATCAATAAACAATTTGTAATTTAATTGGATGACTGAAAAATACACTTTTATAACAAAACTTGAGCGCCTGAGTCATCTTTTTTAATTTTATCGTTGTTCAAGTATCTAACTTTTAACTTTAAATGACGTATTGTCGAAGCTCTTAAATTAAATTCGAAAAAAATCGTGAATGAATGAATCGTTGTAAACTTAACGACTTTTTACTTACTTATAAAATGTAATACTACGAATATATTCAAATATTCAACTTAAAAGCAACCATTTGATTTACTTACAGTAAAGTAAATCAAACAGGTTGTTTTTTATAAATGGACCCCAGTCCCCTAGTTCAGTTCTCTGTTCAAATGTAAAGCGGGCACGCGTGTGGAGATAAAAAATCTTAAAAGAAACTAAAGGGCTGCTGATATCCCTTCTCTTTGGACCCTAGTGTGATCTTTTGTATCTGCGTGTGATGTTAGGATAAAATTTCATATTTCATCACCTCTAGAAGAGTTTTTGAAAACGATGGATGCTGAATAGTGAAAAGGTTTATTGCGATATTGATACTCAAATGATGAATAAACATAGTTTGCGTTAAAACGTGTTTATCATTTAGTTAAGAGGACTAAGAAGAATAATAAGTACCATTTATTTACTATAAATAAAGATAATTAACGCAAATTATTTCATGTTCTCAAATAAAATACTCTTTTCAAATTTATATGACAAATAATTTTACAGAGTTATATTTTTAATTAATACAAACTTGATAAACCAGTCGTATTTTCTTTTCATTTACGACTTTTTCTATTAAGTACGTATCTACTCGTAGATACGTCCATTTCTTCATTTAGAATAGGTTAACAAAGAATAGAAAACATATTTTAATCAATAGTTGTAAAATATGTTTCCTTTTCTTGATTTAAAAAAAAAAAAGAAATGTCAAATATAAATAAAGCACCTCCTGTATTAGATTTTTACACCATCCAAAGGTGGAAGAGAATGCCTTGGGCATTAAGTAAATAAATAAAAAAACTAAAGCAAAAGGGCAAGAGCCCTGGTTTTGCAAGCGATCATAGACTGTGTTGAGTTGATCACCGCTTTACATTAATTATACTAGTTCAATAAGTGGCTTTATCTTAAGAGGTTTAATGCTGTTATACATAATCATCAATCGCATTAAGTACCGCCAAGTTCCCAGACCAGTAGGAAAGTAAAAACATCACAATTAGCTACCAAGTTACTGTTGATTATTTTTTTAGATTAGAAAAGTATTTTAAATTAATCTTATAAAAAACCTTATAAATTAAAACAAACAAATATATCAAAAAATATTTATATGACGTAAATACCTAATCAATAAAATTGATTACGTGTTAAATTCTGAATTTTAAAAAGCTGTGTTATTGACAATACTTAAGTATACTTAGTTAAGTATACTTATTATATATATAATAATAAATAGTTATTAAATAAAAATATATAAATAGTTATTTGTAATGAAACTCATATCCATGCAACGAGTTTAAGAATTGTCATCCCAATCGAATATACGCAACATTTCATCTTTACCACAAAAGTATTATTGTCTTTACCTGACACATGAAAGCAACGGCTACCAAACATTCCCACAAACTAAGATTTGCAAAATAACCGTTGTCACGAACTTACAATAAAATACAGCTATCTTTTCTCAAGGCGGTCAAAGGGTGTCCACCCTTTGGGGCAAGATAAACCTGTTTGACCAGTTGTAACGTGGGAATCATTGTCCACTTCTATGCAAATATTACAGTGAGCAGTGAGCTTAAAGGACGAAACGATTATAAAAAGGTGTTATTGTCTGGGTTGTCCCTTGCACTTGTTACTTGAAGGGTGCGTATAACGAAATGTCCTTTCTTTGTGCAAAAGGGATGTGGTGAAAAAAAGCTGATGGATTGTTAGATAAATTAGTTTAAAATAGATGTTTTGTTTGACAAACGTTATAGTATATTATGATTATTATTGTTTCGAATGTTAAAAATATAAGAATTAAATAAGAAGGAAATTGTAAGTAACTATAATATAATCGGTTGATCAAAACATTTTAGGAAAACGCTGAGAAAGAAAAATATATCCATAAAGTCTACTCAAGTTTATGCGTAATTTCTTTGAGGATTGCGCAGTTTTGAGAATTAACTACATGCACTGAGATTACATTTAAATAATTTACATTACAATTTAATTTAAAATATTAAGTAAAACTAATTTTTGGTTATAAGTTGTAGTTTGTAACTTATAATTATTGCCTGCCTTTAACATTTTATCGACATTTGTAAAAATTATTTAGAAGATTCTAGACCAAATTACAGGCATTTTCATTAAAAATGTGTGATAATATCTCAAGATCATTATTAAAATTAAAAAAAAAAATTTGCTTGCTGAGCTACACGTCCGTGTGTCACTAGAAAACGAAGACGTAACTCTGCATGTAAATAAAGGGTCATTCTACGCTGTCCTTTCCCACACTGGGAAGTGGTCGAACTGGTTTATGGACGAACCCTTTTCGCGATTAAAGATGCAAGGACACTACTGTCTTTATAGTCCATTGTCCAAAACCAGTTGGACAGCTTTTGCACTTTAAGAATAGCAATAGTTGGTAATTAATTATTTTTACTACTTAGGTATGTTAACTGTCCGGAGTTTAAATTTCAAATGCTAAAAACGTTCTCATTTATTATCCTGTATTTTTATCTATCTTGTTATCTATATCTATGTCTATGCTTGTAATAAGTTCATCTAGACTTTAAAGGATGTTAGAAATTATATATTTAGTAGATAATTTAGAAGGTAGACGTGGTTATTAAATATATTTTCAAATGTTTTTTTTTACTCTTGAAATATAGTAAAAACGTGATAATAAAGAAACTTTATTTAATGTACTTTAATTATAACGGTTATACCAATTAGAATAAATAAAGACAAAATTATTGTGATAACTAAATGATGTCCAGTGAATCTCACATTAAATGTTTTTCTTTGTTTCTTCTTTCTTACGTCGAAAATGTATTGCCAAATATCAAAGTGTGTGAGTGAATGGGTCTGGAAATATTACATGATGTTCAAAAATAAACTTTGCCTATTGACTATGGTTATAAAAACATATTCTCTGTTTTACATAGTTTACTTTTTATTGGTTGTAGGTTACCATAATTTCCAATTTTCCAATTTCCCGGGGTCCGTCGGCTGGTTCCCTATACTGGGTCGAGACGGCGTGCGGTTTTTGGTCGGTCTGACATAACCACCGGTGGGTGGTATCCGAGGGGATTGCCGCACAGACAAAAAAAAGGGGACCAAAATTAGCAATTTATCAGGTAAGAATAATAAGAATACTTTGTAATACTTTGTAGTTAATGAAAATATTTTGGAAATCCTTTTAAATACTTCTCAGCTACATTTTATCCTTCAACATTATAACTTTAATTGTAATAATATTGTTATAGATCCAGACCTTATTGGTTTACTTTTATTTAGTAGGTATAAAAAGTGCGTTTAATTAATCAAAATTAATATTAAGTAGAGTGTCGATAGCGATTTTTAATGCGCTGAGTGTTTTGGGTTCGACCCCTACATGGGACAACACTTTCAATTCAATTCAAAGTAGTTCTGAGCTAGGTGTTCTTTGTGTCCGTTTCATAATTGGCTGTAAAGTACCCCGCGACACAGGATATTTTCTTTTGTTGTTGAGTTTTCTTTTGAAAAAAGAAAAAAGAAAGAATTCTAGCAGTTGTAGTAATGTCAGCCAGAAGAGTGTTCATGTACCAAAAAGATAAACATTTTACATATTTTTTTAAATTGCAAATCATCGCACTAAAGAGGCTCGTGGCTAATTGGTAAGCGAATTGGTTAGCACATTGCAAAGTTAAGGCATCCTGTCCAGGTCAGTCTATGGATGGGTGAACTTTCTTAACACATTGAGACCTATCCGTGCCTCGGAGAGCACGTTTAGCCATAGGTCCTGGATGCCATGCGAACATCTGTGGCAATAGTACAGGCTCTGCCTAGTTTGGGATCAGACGGCCGTGTGTGAGATGTGTGCGGTATATATTATTTTATATTATACCATAGTACTTGGGTTGTACATGTACAGGTCTTATGGCAATCGCTTTACGTAAAAAACCGAAGTTGGATATATATTTATCAATCACTCCGTAAAAGTAATAAATTAAACCTTTAAAAAATTAACTTACATGGGAAGTGACGGTGGATTATTCTAGGGTGGATGGAGTATTGTTGGATACATTTTTTTTAATCTTGAAGGTATATGAAGTTTATTTTTCGAGATCTATTTGGAAAATATTAAAGTAAGTGCTAATTTTTGTCAAAGTCAAGTGTACCCCCGTTCCATCTACAAGCTATACTGTTTGTGTGAAAATCTGAGAAAAATTAGGATGTTTATACTCGTATGTGTAACAGATTAGTAGGAAATATGTTACGGCTAAAGTAGGTCTCTTAGTTTAGGGGTAATTGCCAAAGTTATAAAAAGTATCTATTTGGATTACGTCCAATTTTTAAAAGGAATTTTTCTTACAATAATTACAATGCCTTATAATTGGCCTTATAATTACAATGTTGTGTGGTTGCTGTTGTTGTTGTTGCTGTATTTTATGTTATCCATGTAATTCAGTAAGATAAGGTAAGGATATGTTTCTAGTAGAATTCTTAAAAATATTGTGTTTGTTATTACTGACATGGTTTCATTTCTCCGTATCTATTAAAATTACAATCTCAATACGAAGTCTATTTGAAATCTTTGGAACGCCCTTCCCCTAGAGATCAGGACATCCACCAACCGAACAATCTTTAAGACCAGAGTACGCAAGCTTTATGGAGACTTGTTGACGGAGTCATCAAAATAACCCCTTGTGTGTTCATCAACGCAGGCATGTATGTATGAATGTATGTGTGTATGTTTATGTTTTTTTTTTTATATTTATAGTATTATATGGTACGTATAAATGATATTTGCATTTATATATGTATCTATCTTGCAACCGACTACAATTTAAATAATTTACCTCATTATATACCTGCCATACACAAATCTCTGCATCACCCCAAGGTTGACTGGAAGAAAATGCCTATGGCATTAAGTCCGCCTTATGCAATGTATTTGCAGGAAGTATAAATAAATAAATAAAATAGTTTCTGTAATAAGTAGGTACTAACTACATGCTTAATACATGCAAATTTTTACCTTAAAATTATGCAAATTTAACATCGACACATGACTGACCATTACCACTTGGCCGTATAACTGCAACGCCTTTGCATAATCGTTGTTAATGACATGCATGGGGTGCATGCCAATAGGGCGGGAAATCAAAACCCTTTTTTATCATCGGACAATGGAATATGTAAAGAGCACGTAACTTGGATTGTGACTCGTGTGGTATCAGTAGTGTACAAGATCTAGTCACGGATACTTCTTACAATTTGTGTTAATATAATTTTAAAGTGAAATTAAAAATAGAATATTTATTTCTGGTGAAGTTTATTTTCAAATATAGAGATACAGAAGGGTAAGTAAATATAATTTTACAATGTAAATTAAAATTTTAGACACAAGAGTACAATGATTCCTACTTAAATTATAATAATTCATCTACATGGAGATAATAATATTTTTAATATATTTAATGTTTTTGATTACATGTCTGCAACAATACGATGTTTTGATATTTAAGTAAGTATTACTGGAAGTAATGATGTGTCGATTTGATGTTTTATTTTGTTCTATGTTACTGACACTGACGTTTACAACATTCCATGAAGTACGTTGGTCCTTAAACTTGCTTGTTATTATGATTTTTTTTATGTTTTTTAAATATATTTTTCTCTTTTTTTTCTTTTCTTTTTAAGAGCCTTTCTTTTTTATTCTGGCTCGTTCATCCTCAGACGGGCAAAGTCTTCAAACACGATGTTATCTTCTTCTTCTTCATTAGTGTACAGAGAATTCTCATAGCGGTGTCTCTCGATAGATTGCATCTTCTTCATGGCATTAAAACGTTGACGTTCAGCAGTACCTGAAAATTAAACCTTAGTTAGGAATACTCTAACACATCCTAGGTAAACAAATATATGATTATGCATACCTTCAGCTGGATGCAGCAGTTTGAAAGGTACATCGGTCACAAGTTCTCCACCCAAAGTGCCACAGTTCAACTTGACACGAACGGAGTAAGACACCACAATACCAATAGCATCAGTTGGGCATTTGCCTTCAGGAACTAAAGTTGAACTTGCCAAATTTACGTCATCTTCCTTCAGATGTCCGTCCAGAGCTACACCTATATAGTCAGAGTGGTATTAGTGAAATGTAATCTGAGACCATACATATTGCAATACATATTTTTTTTTAAATGCAGTAATATTTTAATATTTTGTCTAACTGAAAATTATAGCCGAATCCGTCAAGCTAAGAAAGTCCTGATACTGGTTCTTTTTTGCTTTTTTTTTTATTTTTTCCATAAATATGATTTTCTTAGTTTAGATGTAAGTTTTTAAACAATTATCAGTTTTCTTTTCAATTCCAGACAAGCTTTATTTCATATTATTTGTTTTAATTTTGTTACTTACGTATAACATTCTTTTCTTTTGAATCTTAGCTTCTTTTAAGAAATTCAGTTTTTATTTTTAAAGTTTTTGACGTGACAACGTCTTATAAATTGGTTTGCCGGGTGACACTTCAAGAAACTGCGTTACGCTCCGCTCACGTTATGCGCTCACAATGAGAGCGAGTGAGAGGCACGCGTCCCTTCCACTCGGGCATGGTTAGCCCGCCTAAGAGCGAGAGAGACAGACATAAAAAATGTTTTAAATTGTTACTATTATTTCATCCTTCTTCCTACTATACGAATGAATATTCACATTAAAATTATTTTACCACTCAAAGTCGTTGTCACGTAAAACTTTCGCCCGTATACCGACTTTACAGGCAACCAATTTTTTTTTCACAATTATTAACTTTACTATAGAGTGGGAACTACTACACAATTTTAAACATGATATCACTTTTCTGTGATACTATTAAAATTATTATACCCACCACGAATGTCTTTATTGCTGCGAGCCAGAGGAACCAAATAGAATGATTTAGACAAGCTTGCTCCAGGAGTAATAGGACATCCTTCACGGCTTTCAAGAGAAGCTACATGACGGCTGAATTGAGAGTTGATCATTGTAATTTCAACATGTTGCACGACCATGCAGCGAATGTTGCGAACAGATTTCCTTGAGTTGTTAGAAATGATGACGTTAGCAGCTAGCTTTTCTCCATGATAATAAATTTCCTTGTCCAAAGTTACTTCAAGGGTGATTTTGCCGTTACTGAAGGTGAAACCTTTGCTAACAAGGGAGCTTGGGAGACGACGACCACGAGAGGCTGGTGCATGTTGCAGCTATAATAAATTGAACACATTATATTGTACTTAGATATATTATTTGTAACTATACCTAACCGTTCTAAAATGTGCAACAAGTTTTAATACCTTCTTAATAGCTAGTGTCACTGAGCTCCTCTTGTGACTTTTTTGGTCTTCTTGCTCAGCAACATAAGTTCTTAAGGAGTATTCCACACCCATAGGTTTGCCTTGATCTTCTTCGGAGGGTTGAAGTGTCACCTGTGTTTAAATATTATTAGTAGATATTTATATATTTAAAGTATTAGAAAGACATTATTTAAAAGTTTACCGAGCTGGGTGCCAAATCAGGGAAGTTAAAAGTAAAAGGATAGGCATTCGGGCCAAGTTTCTTGAGCAGCTTTTCTTGCACGGGTGTCAGTTCCATCTTAGAATTTACCATTGGTACAACTTGATCTTGTCCAATAACCATTTCCTTGGAAAACTTTAGTCCCATTACTTCATCTTCCTCTCTACCGTAGCGGTAAGTGGTCACCAGCTAAACAAGAATAAACGGCACACCGTCAAAATATATACTTAAGGGGCATTCAATCTACACCATTAACTAGGTACGATAATAGGTGTAACACTTCACTTGATAAAATATCACTTAACACTCCACTTTTTACCTGACTGTAAACTTTTCTTCCTTTCAGATATTCCGTGTCCACAACCACTACTCCATCAACAGGATCGCAATAATCCATATGATCAATGAAGTCACGTTTGCCAAGGTAAACCGTGACTTTGCCATTTGGGGTAGTTTTCTTAAATACTTTCACAGCTACAACAAAAGCCAAAGAAAAGTAGTCCAACATCTTGTTGGAGAAAGTAGCAACAATTTGAAGGAATTAGAAATTAGGCCACTATTTAAATTTATTTGTCAAAGACAGAATAGATAGATTGAGTTTGAGGTGTTCACCAGAAATGATTTCTATCAGGAAGTTTTACCTATATATAAGGGTTACATGTGAGGTTTCTGCTGCTTAATAGGATTTCGTTCGTAGGCGTGCTAATAAGATTTAAGTCGTATGACGCATACTTATTTGAATCGATTTCATGTCCCTTCACTAAGCTTGTAAGAAATCATTGCGTTTATCTAAACGTCAAATGTGACGTTTGCTTTTGGCAATTTGAGAAGGTTATAAAGCCTATTTGATGATAATCACAGAACATATATACCCCTAAAGGGGTAATGATAATTTAGCAAACACTTAAAACATTCCAATTACAGAGATATTTGATACCAATCGACTTAGTGTGGCTATAAATATAGGCGAGTTTATGTGATGTAGGAGTCTAAATGTGAGTAATCTGAACACAATTCGTGGTCTATTTTTCATATGTTCTAATACTTTTTTTTCTTATTGTAGCTATACAATCAGTATGCCTACATTCTTGACTCCAGGCCGGCATGGCTACAGCGTCAGGTTTTCCCGAACAAGGCCTGACACCTTGGCCGTAGCCACTAGCCAGTATTACGGACTGGCTGGTGGTGGAACTCTATTCTTTTTGGAGATAGCTCCAGATGGCAGTACTTTATTAGAAGTGCAAAAGTTGGAGTGGAGTGATGGACTGTTTGACGTGGTAAGATTTATTATTTTTTAATGTGTATTTTTCTCCCAAAATAAATAAAAAAAAACATTATTTGTAGAGTGTGCCTGCCCATCATAATATAAAGATTTAACTGGTTCTTTTACATTCTTATAAGTTAAAAAAAATAGGATCCAATAAGATAAAATAAAACTTTAAATTGCTGTTATATGTATATTTGTCTTTTTACTCTAATTGTATTGTTTATCTAACAAGTAACTAAATCTTATAGCAATATCATACACATTTTCTATGACAGTTCTTTATAATAGATATTAAAAGTACCTTCAGTTCTAATGGGTATTTGTATAAAAATTAAATGTGTGTGTTAAACCTCTTTTAAATACTTAAAAAAAAGTTAATCACTACAGGTAATACATTATACCTTAAGAAACATACTTATTATTTATTTTGATATAATTACTTATTAGTATTCACCCCATGAAGCCTTACAACACATCACACTATATGTGTTTGTATAGACGGTATGAATTTGCATCATCATATAATTGGCTTACCTGCTTTTGTTGGCATTACCTACCTTATTTAAGGCAATTGATTAATTTCCTGGTTAATTTGTTTTATAGGATTTATAGGCACGTGTAAATATTAACTTACAATGTTTACTTACCTGATACCATCTTAAAGGTGTTGTATTCTAAGGCAGTGTAATATGACTCATTTAATATGATGTTATTTAGATTCAATTGTTTAATACTGTTTACTACTAAACATGGGTATTTTATCATTTGGATAGGAGAACTTAAACATTTGAATGCTGTTGTCAAATATATTTGACAATAATAAGATAATAATAGTATAATATACCCCACACATCTCACACTCGGCCATCTGATTCCAAACTAGGCATATCCTGTGCTATGGTAACCAGACTGCTAATACACATACTAATATATTTTTAAAATACATACATATTATAGATAAATTACACCCAGACACAGAACAAATGACCGTGCTCATCACACAATATTTGTAGGGGGTGGGTAAACCATGACCTCCGCCTTAGCAGTCAGGGTCACTAGATCAACAGGCCTGTCGAATTAATGTGTTAATTTCATGTTAAGATTCGTCTTAATACGTAATTAACACCCAGTTCTTACACTATTATACTTTATACATTTATCATATGTAAGATAATGTGATTCAGAGAAGGATTTGCATGTTGTTGATGAGTTCTGAGTTTCTATGTGATGAGAAGAAAAGTAGATATTTTACATTGTAGCTATAATTTTTAATTTTTAAAGTCAGAATCAATTTCAATCACAAACATATTGGCACTCATAAATAACAGAGTGAATTAGCAAAACAACTACCATAATATAAATAAATTTTAATTCATTTGTTATTTGTGTTGCTTATTGGTTTAAGAATGCTTATGAACAATAAATTGGTACATTTAAACTTTTTTGACACAGTGTATTTATGATTTTAGACCTCACTGGCCTGTTGGTCTAGAGGTTCTTCTGACTGGTTGGTATGTAGTTCCGAGGAAAAATAATTATGTGGTGAGCATGATCAGTTGTTCTGTTTCTGGGTGTAATTTATCTATTAATATGTATGTATTTAGAAATATTTAAGTATGTTTATCTGCAGTCTGGTTATCACCAGTAGTTGGAACTAGATAGCCGTGTGTAAGATGTGTGAAGTTATTATTATTATTTTTTTGAGACAGTGTAAAGATGATGTCAGTGGTCTGTATTTTTAAGGTGGGTACTTTTATAATACAGACCACACACAGTATAATTTGAATACAGAGTGGGACAGTTTCTTTTAAGTATTAAGTTACAAACTAATGGAACTGAATTAAATGGTATTCCTATCTACAGTTTGCTTTTTATTGCTGATACTTTGGCAAATCATTGGGTAATAAATGTTTGATGTCCTTATTTAGTATGAACTAAATTTTGCCTGTGTGTAAGCTAATTTTATAAGACACAAATTCTTTGGGAAGAGTTTATTTTCTGATGACATGCATTCAAAATTTTATGATGAAATTATTACAACCATAATGTCATCACATTGCTTAAATCATTGGTTCACAGACATGGTCAGGTACTACAGAGAGTGCAGCAGCTTGTGGAGCAGGTGACGGTGCTGTTATAGTCTGGAGAGTAGGTTGCGCAGCTCCTCTTCGGGTATTGAGGGCTCATACAAGTGAGGTGTGCTCTGTTGACTGGCCCAGGACACACTTGCTGAGTGCTAGCTGGGATACAACTGTGAAACTGGTAATTATACTTTCATAGAAGAATGATTGTAGTCTGTTAATTATCTTTATCAGGATTAGAGTAATGAACTATATGTATTGTATCTTTCAATTGCTTACACAAAGACAATATAAGTATTACATGTAATATGGAGAGATAAGAGTATTATTTATTATCTACTCAAGCGGGGATATTAAAGTTCGAATAGCTTTATTTTTTTAGCAGTTTATCTAGGTGTACCTTTTTACTTGTTTGCATATATGTCAAACAGTTTGTAGCTACTTAAAAAATGTCTGTAAGGATCGCAATTTGATTTGATAGTAGCACTTGAACATATGAGAGTAAAAAGGAATTATTCTTCGAAAAAATATGGTTTATGAAAAGAAATTGAAAAAGGTTTTTTTTTTCGCAAAAAATATATAAATAATATTACTAAGCTTTTATAAGCAGGAGGTAGTATTGGTGCGCAGGGACTTCCTTTCTATTGTATACCTGGTTCCCCGGCTATTAGTACCCGAGACGGCGTGCGGTTTTAGTCGGTTCGAGTCCGACATGCCACCGACAGGTGGTATCCGAGGGGATTTCCGCACGGAAAAAAAGAAAAAAACAATGGAGGTAGTATTGGCATTACAAGTAGCGACATCTATGATAACACCAATAGTTGATGTTTGTAAAAATAAGAGAAGTTTAAAACAGGCCTGATATAGAATGCTTCTCTTATATGTATAAATTCGATTTCGTATATGCAATTATTCGAAATGATAGGGTAAATTATATGCGGTGGCTTTAAAGTTGAATGTCAATTCAAATAGTAACTTTTCCATTATAGTGGGACCCTGAGTCTGAAGCATGTCTAAGCACATTCGTGGGTCATTCTCAGCTGGTTTATACGGCTGCTTTCTCACCTCACTCACCGGGTACTTTTGCCTCTGTGTCTGGTGACGGGCATCTGAAACTTTGGACGTGTACGGAGCCATCGAGGCCAGCTGCTGTAGTCAAGGCTCATGATGCTGAGGTAATTTGATTTTTATGTTCATCATCAACAGCCTTTAACAGTCCACTGCTAGACGTAGGCCTCTCCTTAGAAAGGAGGTTTAGGCCTACTATACCACTCTAGCCAGACGGCTTGGTATATTTTTATGTTGTTGGCGTAGAATTCGTATTCGAAATAACAGTTTCAAATAAACTTTAATAAGTTGTGAGATATAAATATTTCGTTTAAACAAATAAGTTGACAAGGAATCACACTGCTTGCTTGATGTTAACCGGTTACCATTAATGACACTTGTGTTTATAATCTCATTTTGCTCATGAAATTTTTAGAAGTTAGTATTATACATAGGTTCGTGATAAATCCCCCATAGAGTAACTTCAATTCTACCAGAAGTCGTACCATATCTGGTCTAAAGGCAGAATTTTCTATGACATAAATAATCTATTTGGGTGCCAGGTGCTGTCGTGTGACTGGAGTCGAACGGAGACGCACGCTCTGGCCACCGCGGGCTCGGACGGGCTGGTGCGGGGCTGGGACCTGAGGAGGCTGACATCACCTATGTTTACACTTAAAGGTATATTACTTATGTACTGATATTCCTATATCTTTATATTAATGATTTGGTGTTTTTTCATCATTTTCGGATCTTTTAGCTATTCCCAAAAAATAATTCTGTTGAGGTAATCAATTTCTGTAGTTGTGATCAAATTAAATTAAGTATTTACCACCATAGCATTTAATAATAGTTTTCGTGTTTATCTTAACTACCTTAGCCATTAAGTCTATTTATAAACAGATGTGCACAAAGTTTAAGTAAATTAATTCATGATGTTCTATTTACGCTATGGTTAACTTATTTTCTAGAGACTTTATGATTTTTCGTGGGAGAGCCATGCTTCGGCCTACCCTCAGATGAAGTGGTTAGGTTGTTTGAGTACAAACGGTCTAAAGCAATAAATGTGAAACTTGATTCTTAAAAATCATCTCTTTCTTTACGATTCACATACATACACATTTTTTTAGACGTATTCCGTATCAGATTTAATTCTTCTATGCATTGTAATAATCATTTGCAAATTAATGGAAATACTTACACATTCACTTTCTAGTTACTGTGTACAAAATGTTTTAACTTAGTTAATTCGTTTCAGGCTGTGAATGTGCAGTAAGAAGGGTTCAGTTCTCTCCGCACGCCCCTTCAATCATAGCTGCGGGGTCGTATGATTTTACTACCAGGTACAAACCAATTCTTTAACCATACTGTTAAGAAAATTGACATCAAAAGCTGTGTTACACTCTAAAGCTTGTAATTGTGAGACAAGTACGAGATCTTACAGTATGACTAGAGAGAGACACCAGATAACCATTTCGTACGTAGACCTTCTGATTTCCTAATCGATGCCTCTCTTTTGTTTTTTTTTTGTTCCTAATCGATGCCTCTCTTTTGTTTTTTTTTGTATTAAAATTTGCCAAGGGAGAGCCACGCTTTGCCACAAGTGGTGGAGTGTTGGAGTGATACCACGGCTTCAGAGAAGCGGTGTTAAGCACTTCTTTCATGGCTTTTCACCGAATGATTGAAGTTTCCAGAGACCAAGACCCTCCTTCCCCTTGGGGGATCTCAAAAGGTGCCAACGCACTTGTGAGTTGCGATTGACTCGTGTGCTCGTTTATTAGACATAAAAAAAAGTTATTTTTAGTTGTAAGCGACGCGGCGGTAGCGTAATGGCTGAGATGTCGGACTTGTGACCGATGCGATCGCTTGATTTTGATCCCTAGCCTGGGTATTTCATCTGGACTACAGCCCACCGGTGTGTTTGGTAGTGCGGTCTATCGCAATTTAACCAACTGACACCACACCATGTGCTATACTGCGCCTAAAATGGGAGGGATCTGTGATAGCTTTTATTTACTGCTACCACAAGCTTTCGTCTACGCTGGAAGGGTTATCGAGAATATATAACTTAACTGGTATTCATACACAAAAACAAGATTAAAAAACAGTTATAATTTCTCCTGATAATTACAATCTTAATTATGTTCCAGGATTTGGGACTTGAAACGTGGGTGCGAGCCTCTCGAGACGATCCGCCACCACTCGGAGTTCACGTACGGCCTGGACTGGAACGCGCTGAGGCCACACCAGATTGCTGACTGCGGCTGGGACTCTCTCGTCCACGTGTTTACTCCTAGATCGCTCGCTTGAGAGCTTATCATTAAAGTGAGTATTTTCTTAACACAATACTCTATTACCGCTGTTACGATGACCGATCACATTTTGGTGCGTTCAGGTCGCCGTCCTATCACCTACCGCAGTAATTAATTATTCTGCCACCTAGGCCACCTGCGCCAGACCGCTGGCCGCCAGAGTGTGGGGACAGATGTCGGTGGCTCATACCAGGTTTTCAATCATAATCACCTGCGTCATATTACTGTAAATCATTAAGGATAATGAGCCCGATATTATTCCTAATTACTTAGACCTAGGCAACAAATCATAATCACCTTCGTCATATTATTGTAAATCATTAAGGATAATGAGCCCGATATTATTCCTAATTACTTAGACCTAGGCAACAAATCATAATCACCTTCGTCATATTATTGTAAATCATTAAGGATAATTTAGCTACCTATTGTTTAGTATTGGGGGTCTTCAGGACTCTTCAATAAATTCGTTTTTTGAAATACTCGAATAACAGTTTATTTGGCGAAACCCTACAATTTAAAGAAAATAATAAATACATAATTGTATGCTATATATTGCTTCTTCATCGATGCAAAGGAGATGGCGCTGGACCTTGGTAACCAATCATAATCGCCTTCGCCAAACTATTCTTAAAGGGTCAGAATAATTTAAACCTAGGTGTCCAATAAATCATCTTAGTGACACTGAGAACAATAGCAAGTAATATTGTAACTTTTCATTACAGGATTCTCTGGATCGTCTGTGATTTGAATCAAGCTGTGAGAGTGGAACTATCGTGCCAAATCACAATAGTGTTTATTGCAAAGGCATCAGGGTCATTATCGCTTGGAGCGTGTCGGTGCAGGTAATGGTGTTAACAGGGAACATGGTGAATGTAAATTATTGTATGTTAAATGTAATCATAGCTATAGTTAGCTGGTTGGTTGGGGTGTATCATTAAAAAATTATTAAACACACATTTTCATACAAAATACTTTGTTTATCAAAGAAAAAGTAGTTCACATGAAATTACTTCTATTGTTGTACGAATTAATGTATAAAAGGCCCTATAATTTTATACTAATTGTGTGTTGACATGATATTATATCAAAAGTTAGACGACTCTGATGTTACAACATAATCGACTATTGGCCTAAGTAAAAGTTTAAACTATGTCTATGGAGATTGTTTTTTTTCTTGAACCATCAAATTGTTTTTTTTTTTAATAGTGATACATCTTAGAATAAAAACTTTCGTAGGTAGGTGTATTTCGGGGATGCCTATTTCGAACCCAACGGGTCCTTTCTCAGTCGACTCCGTTGTCTCAGGTCACACTCACACCCCCCGAAAAAGGTTCGGCCCCGAGTAACACTATTTTTCCTTATGATACACCTCAACAAACAAGACTCAAATTTAAAACTAAGCTAAATAGCTTGTAATTACTTATTCTATGATAGAATATTTGTCTGTTTTCTTTCATGACGTGATATGGACTGATTTTTGCACATTATTATGTAAATTAATGCCCATTCAGATAATTTTCTCTAGTTCAATGTATAGGTATTTTATATTGGTATACGATGAATTATAATATCTAGTCAATGTACCTATATTGTATTATCAAAAGTAATCTAAATGGGTCTTAATTTATTGTTCATTTTATTTTTGACTCTATGGGAACGTGTTATAGATTATATTTGTTTTTACTTACATTCCGTTTGTTACGTTTAAACATTCCTTTTATGTTTTTATAACTTTATTATTTACATTGTAAGTCTTTTTTTTTTTCATTTCATTTCATTTCATTGTAATATAAGAGTAATACGACTTCTTAGTGAAATGCAATATAGCTTTAGTTTCACATGAATGAATACTATTTAGTATTAATGTGTATATCAACTTGTAGGTTATAAATACTTTAAACTCTTTGAATATTTTATAATATAGATCTACTCTACCTTTACACAAACTTTGAATTTTTATAATTATGACTAGCTTTGTACGAATTTTAATGGTAATCAAATCGTTAATTCTGATTATTTTTGGTTTAACATTAATTCTAATTAATTTCGTGTGGTGACGGACTAAGAATACGGAGTGTCAACATCCCTAATTCATCCCGTGGGTGTCGTAAGATCAGACTAAGGGCTCGTGCAGCGTGCAAGCAATGTCGCGCGACTTTGGTATAGAACTACACGGCTCAGCCCAGCGTGCCTGCGAGTGACGACCAGTGGTCGCGAGACTTGCAGCGACCAGTCGCCAGAGGGTGATTGCTATCTATTTTGTTATAATAATGGGTGCAGGAAACCTAATAGCTCGTAAAACTTCTCCGTCTTTCATCCTCTTCAAGACCCGAATCCGTAAAACAGAATTTTCCAACACTAAAAGTTCTGATGTTCTGAAGTTCTTCAGGAAACCAAACTACTACTCAACGCTACCAAGCTACTCTGTCTAATTTATTACAAGTATAACTATTGTTTCTTAATGTAAATACTTCTGTTTTGTATATTTTTGTATATCTAAGATCTTAATATATTCCGCAGTTGTAACCTTTGTATATTGTAGCTAGCTTTTGTTTGTAAATAAATTGTGATGTTGTAATGAATAAACAGTACACACTGGAGATATATCAAAAACTTACCATAAATTATTGCATTAACATTGTTCCGAATAAATTTGCTAACAACTCAAACACAGAACAGTGGCTAAAATTGTCCTACTATTATGCCTGTAATTCCTAAAATATCCTGTAGATGGCGTATTACAAGTGCAAGTTTTCAATATGATCAAGAGGCCGACAATCGAATGGAATCGGCTACCTATACATTATATAATAAAACCTTTTGCTACAAAGTTTTTATCCTGTCAAATAAAAGAGAATAATAATTAAACATTTTTTTATTGCCCTATCAAAATAAACGCCGAAATCGTTTCTTTTATTGGTTAGCGTCACATCGAAACAATTTACTAAATTCAAATAACACATACACTGTCTACAGTCAGTTTTAATATCACAACCTATAAACAAACTAAAAAGGTATATCTCAAATTAAGTGTTAAATCTGTTGGTACTAGTGAAACTATAAATATTATATCAGTTTGTCTAGAAGTACTGAAATATTCTCAATAAAAGTAAATAAACAAATATAACAAACAGTACTTGTAGCGCGAGATAGGCCTTAAAATAAAAACCACAATACCATCAACAACAGATAAGGTAAACAAGAGCCATCTATGGAGCAGGCCCGAACTGATTTCGGAAAACATTGAAGCTAGAGCCATCTATCTTCCCGGGTCAAAGACTGTCGACTATCTATGTTAAGTCTACGCATACGACCCTCGATAGCCGACAGAATAGTGTACACGGACTTGAGATGGTCCTTATCGTTTTTACAAATGTCTGTTAAACAAGTGGCCGGCGACAACACGCGGAGATGACTTCCTCTGTCCTGCTGAAATGTTCTCTTCACCGTCTGACAGGCCAGGTTTTCTCGACCACTTGGCTTCATAGTACATATGGAAAGAAGGGGATCTTGGTTACCACCGACATCAATCTCCTCTGGAGCTATCGTTAGATGCTTCGTCACTGTAAAGTAACTAATATTCTTTATTTATGTGTAGTATAAATATTATCTGACGTGTAAATATATTGTAATAAAATACAATCGATGTCATATGGTGAAATGACTGTATTGATTAAACTGTCAATCAGGGAGATTTTCAAAGCGTATCTAGATTGAAGTGGCGTGCAAAGGGAGAGGCCTATGTCCAGCAGTGGATTGCGATAGGCTGATGATGATGATGATGATCTAGATTGAAGAATGTCTGACTTAGACTGCCTCGGTGGTGCAGTGAAATCAAATGCGACTGCTGTGCTGAGGTCTCGGGTTCGATACCCGGGTCGGATCAAATTTTTGTATGATCTGATTTGTTTCGGAGCTTGGGTGTTTTCTATATATAATATGTATGTTTTTACAAAAAACAGTAGGTGTATGTGTAAGTATTATATCAGTCAATCTAGCTTTCATAGTACAAGCTCTGCTTAGTTTGAAACTATATAACATAACAATATTTATTTATTATGTTCTAAACATTTAATGTAGCTTTCATATTACGTGATGGTTTTGACATAGCATCACAGGGTTTACAGGGTCATCAAGTTCAAGCCTGTAATATTCCGTTTTTTGATTTGTTCTCAATTAGTTATGAAAACGAAACAAAGAAAAATAAGTTTTTTCCCAAAATCACAAATTATTCGAAATAGATTCTTCTTGAGATAATTATTTTAATAGCTATATCATCATCATCAGCCTATCGCAGTCCACTACTAGACAAGCCTCTCCTATTGCACGCCAATTCGTTCGGTTTTCGGCTTCTCATCATTCAGCTCCTGCCAGCCATCTTACGCAAATCGTCACTGCACCTGGCCCGTTGGGCGTCCTACACTGCGTTTGCGGAGACGCTGTCTCCACTCAAAAACTCGTCTACCCCAACGGTTGTCGGTCCTACGGCTAATATGGCCAGCCCACTGCCACTTCAACTTGATGATCCGGTGGGCTATGTCGATGACCTTGGTTTTCTGCCAGATCACCTCATTGCTGAAGCGATCCTTTAATGAAAACGTCGAGCTGTATACTATACCATAAAACAAAATTTTTCGTAAATCGTTTATCCCTTGAAAATACAACAACTAGTAAACTTACAATGCAGTAAGGTAGGTATTTATTTTAGACGACATTTAGCAATAATTTACCGTATCGTCTAGACTGCACGGATGGCGTAGTGGTTTAAGCGGTCGCCACGCCGCTTCCTACTACGCTAAGTGTTGTGGGTTCGATCCCCACATAGGACGACACTTTGTGTGATCCACAAATTGATGTTCTGAGTCTGGGTGTTCTTTGTGTACATGAAACGGTCATGTATGTTTGTAAAGTCCCCCGCGACACAGCATGTATTCCTAGTGCGGGATTTGTCTTTTTAAGAAAAAAAAAAACGTTACCTCTTGCTAGAGGGAAAAAATAAAGTACTTACGATTGTCTTTCACTTTTCCCAACTGCTTACTTAGCAGTGTACTGTAATAGCGACATGACGTCACTAGATTTGTCTTTAGATGATCTTCTGACTCCCCTGCAATTGATGCAATGTAAGTAAACTCAGATGATTGTCTGATATTCCTACAGGAGTTACAGTATTGAGTATTGATAAGTTTATCATGCAATGTTTTTCATCGACTAGTTGTCATACAGACTTGCAATGAGGAAGTTTAGAAATAGTAGCTAATCTCTGAAAGGGTTCCGTGATACTCTTCCATTTATGCTCTGTTACAGGTCACGGCGGGAAGAATGGTTAATAAAACATACACAAATGAAATTCTTTTAGATATTTATTTAACCGTGGGAGTGCCAGGCACAAATAGGCCGGCTCGACCGGAGAGATACCACGACCTCATAGGAAAACCGGTGATAAGCTTTCCCGTGACACCATCAAAGATGTAGCTAAAGAACGTCGGTAGCCACAAAGTCATTTTAAATAAGAAACGTCTAGCTTGCAAACAACGAACATGAAAAACGCCCAGATCCGGTTTTTTTTAAATTGTTAATAGCGTATCGTATCCAAACACTCGGAAGGAGTGGTGACGTTTCACCATTCAAAATAATATTTTGCTTAACTGTTAGTAACTAGCTAAACGGGGCTAATATTACAGGCTTTGTAATCTGTGCAATTTTATTAAAACTCAAAAGGAAAAATATCCCGTTTTGTAATATTTTTCATTGATACTCAGCCGGCTCGGATATGACCTTTGATGAAGTTTTTGATGAAAAACACAAGGTTTTATTGAATTCAAACCAGTAGTGCCTGAGATTAGCGCGTTTAAACAAATAAACTCTCCAGCCTAATAAGTTTAGTATAGTTAATATTATTTAACGGGAATTAACGCGATCTCTTATTTAGGGTATTACATACCTCTGGTTTGCCTGACGTTTCGACCAGGTTGCACCGGCCGTGGTCACAGGCTGACTAAATAAGAGATCGCGTTAATTCCCGTTAAATAATATTAATTATCATGGAACGCGAAAGTTTAAAAGTTAGTAAAGTTTAGTATAGATTAACCAAAAGTTCCATATTCACCTGAAATCAAGTAGGAGTACGGTAGGAAGACTATTATTATTTCTTATAACAGAATGATATCAAGTGTAAACATGTGAAAATTTTCAATGTGTATGTACGTTATTTATACCTGGTTTAACGGTGCTAGCTTCTAATCGTTTATTATCCTCTTGACTATCTTGTTCTCTACAACCTTGGCTTGTCTTGGGGTCTTCTCCAATTTGAATATCTTTTAATTGTTCTATGTCAACCCCATGCTTTTCTTTCTCATCAATATTTGGAGACTTTTTTCCTTCACTTCCATTAGAAACATTACTATGTAAATCTTCTATTTTACTCTCATTTAGTGCTATAACTTTAATGTATTCGTATGTGTTTTGGCTACTGTTTTGTTGAATACTTTTTTTCCGACTGTCTCGTTTATAAATCTTAATACAGTCTCCTGTCGCTTTCCCTTCTAGCGGAACATTAATTATCTGTGTCCGTAACAGGTTGGATGAAGTCTGCGCCGTATTGTTGGTTGCTGTTTTCGTACTTTTCGTAGTACGCTCGTGATGAATGCCTAGCGAAATTTATTAGTTAATATTATTAGAATTAATATATTATTATTAAATAAAAAAATCATTAATGCATTTGTGTATCACATGACATAGCGGATTGAAAATCGAAGGACCAGAAAATGTAGGGATATTGTAAAATTGAGAGTACATTGAAAAGGAAAGGTAGGCTAGAAGGGAAAAGTTTGATAAAGATGGACTGTGTTATCTATATCTATAAGAGAAGAAACTGACAGACTGGTCACTGACTGATCGATCAACGCACAGCTGAAACCGTAGGGTCTTGAAGCATGAAATTTTGCACAAATATTCCTTAGATAACGTAGGTGTGCACTAAGAAAGGATTTATTAAAAATTCTATCCCTAAGGGTGCAAAATGGGGGCAGGTAATTTATATAAAACTTCGTTATTTTTGGTAGTAGCGTTTTCAAGTTAACAGTGAATACTCTTTATTGAAAGTAATAAAAAACTTTGTTACTAATTTTACAAAACTAAACTTTAAAAGGACTGCAAGTTTGTATGAGGAACTATTGTTAGTTTTGCCCTTAGGTTGTTCATGCCTTGCCTTGACTGTAAATAGGTCACAAGGCCAAACATTGAAATTTGCAGGAATCGACTTGCGGCAGGACTGCCTTCTCGTGTGTCTTAGTGCAGTCTGGTTATCTTAGCTCGATTTACAAATATGGTAAAATGTTATTTTTAAAGAAATAATGTCATAATAACCTTTCGATGCATCTTTAGCAACGAACGTTTTTCGATCAATTAGTAAATCAGTTAGCATGTATCTTCTTTTACACATATACCTACAATCTTAATTCATTGTATCCTCTACGATGCCTGATGTCGACCACCACGTGGACAAAGTCGCGGCAAAAGCTAGTTATTCTAATAATGATTGATAAAGATACAAATTCTACTGATACACGAAATACATAACCAAATCATTCATTAACAACAAATAATTTGAGCTAGCAAAGCAACACGTTATTTTAACTTATCGATTAAAAGCTGTTAAAAATTTGATTGATTGAAGTAACTGATATTTACCTCCACTGCGCATAGAACTCGGAGTTGGACCTTTCTTTGTTGGTGTATTTCTGTCAGAAGCAGCCGGTGCTGGTACTGCAGAAGAATCTCTTACAGGCTGTTCGTCGGTATCTTCATTGACTATCATTTTAGTAGTGTCGTACAGCGCTTTGTATACTAAAGAAAAATATCTGTCAAGTAGGTTCATGGTTATTTAAAACATGAACATTTAAAAATATACCTATTTGGATGTAATATTTACTGCAATTAGTAGTGAGTATAAAAGAATTAATTCAATTCTTGAAATGAATGTATGAATATAATATTCCATTGTCTCTCAATACGAACATTATTTATTAATGTTATTCGTTTTGTTTTTAGCTGTATTGTGTTTGAGATTGTCGTAAGATTTTATTAGAAAGGTATTCTGTAAGTTTTTTTTTAATAATGAGTGTACATTTATCTCAAATTACTACCAGTTGGATTAAGAAAAAATGTTTTGTATTTAATAGACCAGTTCTTAAGAAAGGTTATCTATATAAAGCACATAAATGTGAAGTTGGTTTGTGTACGCTTTAAAAACTCAAAAAAAATCGGCCCCGTTTGAGCTCCTATTTCGACACGATATACAACACGTTTCAGAGATGGGTTTTTATTATAGATGAAATAAAATGACTGTGAATGAACGGTGATTTTTCATTCGATTTTTTTGTACGTAAGTAAGCTGTTTGCACACGATGCATAAAGACCCTATTACGCTTATTTAATCTAGCATTTTATTTTTTACATAGCTACCAATCCCTACATAATAATAAAAAAAACTGGTCAGGTACGAGTCAAACTCGTGCGCCGACGTACCTGGGTAGGTACGAAACCCTCGTGAAAATCTACGTAAAATCTGGTTAGATTTTACGTAGATTTTCACGAAAATTTGTAAGTACCAAAATTTATCTTAATTTTCAACTTTTTTATTTTTTGGAATTATTCCTTTATTTGTGCTGTAAGACGTTTCTTTTTGAAAAATTTCGTGATTCTAGGTCAACGGGAACTACCATATAGGTTTTCGACCCAAAACCTAGGGTACTTCCGGTTGACCTAGAATTGTCAATTTTGGTTAAAAGCAAGGTCTTGCAGCACAAGTAAAGAGAAAATTCTGAAAAATAAAAATAGTTGAAAATTAAGGTGAATTTTGGTACTTACAAGTTTTCGCGAAAATCGAAATTTGCCCATATCTTTTTATCGTGTTGACTCAGGACCTTGATTTTTATACACCTAATAGGGACCATAGACCTCTGGTATCTGGTATAAATTTCAACTTGCTAGTCCTTCCCGTTCCTGAGAAAATCGGTGGTGACACATGGACAGACGTACAAGAAAGTGGTCTTATAAGGGTTCCTTTTTTACCTTTTGAGATACGGAACCCTGAAAAAAACTAGATTTACTGTTAAATAGCGTCTAACCTACCTACCTAGCAACCCTAACCTACGTACGCAAAAATCGAATTATAAATCACAGTTCACTGTGATTTTGTCCATTGTCTAGTTTTATCTATTTTTTTGCAATCACAAAGCGAACCGTGGCAGGGTACAGCTAGTTTGTTACGTATAAACACTCTATAATTTTTATAAAAGGAGCAGTGGTTATTAATTGTAGCTGACGGAATAACTAAAAAATTATAAATAAATTACAGATTGGACAGTGATTTTTAATAAACTACATGTACAGCTTTTATGTACAAAAAATATGTGCACAGTATCGTCCCGAGGGTAACCTTTAAATCCTTACAAAGCTTATAATCTACACGAGGATTTGGTAAATAAAGTTTGCCAAAAAATAACACTATATTCACCCAATTTTAACAAGCCCAGGGGGTAACACGGTACGTAAACATTTTAATCGCTTAACCGCCTGGCCACAGCCAAGAGCGGTGCGGATTGCGGCGCGTCGTGAGGCGCGGTAAGCGGTGAGCGGCGAAAACAAATGGTAAACAACCTATGAAGTATGCCACAGCTACCGGCGACGCGCACTGCGGCGCGACTTGCGGCGCGGCAAGAGGCGCGTGGCACGCGGCGGTGACGAGCTTCGCGATGTGCGAGTGAAACAAATGTACTAGCCAATATCGAGGTGGCCACAGCTCAGAGCGGCGCGCGCGGCGGCATCGGTGGACGCTTTGAGGCATCGCGCAACCGAAACAAATAATTTTGTTTTTATCGCGCGTTGAGCCAATAAAATAAATAATGGAAATGGAACAATTCATTAGTTAGTTTCTATGCTTGCCCGCGTATATTCAAAAAAAATATCGGGATAGTTCCTTTATTGTTATTCATAATAAAGAGTGTGAAATTCGCCAAGTTCTCTCCTTTTCTGGTTAACTGGGTGCGCTCCTATTCTTGACTGAACGATATCTTCAGCTAAGAACGCACTTGTTTCAAGGCAATATCGAGCCACTTATGATAGGGGCATTTTAATGGTTTATCCGTTCTCTAAATACGTGCACAGTTGACGCCGCCGCGGTCACAACTAGTCTAGCTGTGGCATACCACCGCAAATCACGCCGCCCGCCGCGCCTCCCAACGCACCGCGCAACGCACCGCCAGAAACTGTGGCCAGACCGTAACAGTTCTTTTAATTTTATACCTCTTTATACATACGAAAATATCTAATAGCGTAAACTAAATATTTATCAAACTATATAAAGATAAAATATCCTTTCGGAACAGTCTGTATGTGAAAACACAAAGTCGTTGATTTGCTGCCAATGATGCGGCATTCTTCCAAATGTCGTTCATAAATCAACGGTTAAGTATGAGAAGGCGTATCTGGGATTACTGTCCCGAATCATAAAGAGAAAATAATACAATTTTGCTACCCATTCGACACCATCCACAACTTATTGAGATAAAGCAGTTATGTTTTGTGTAGAAAGAAATTTTAGACGAAAATTGATTTGTAATTGTTTGTTACCTTCAAATTGCTTAACATTTTGATCAGGTTCCAGTGGTTTCTGTGACTACGACCAAAACCTATTGATTGCGCTAATTCGTATTGCGTATCAATAATTATAAATCATTAAAAGCTCAATTGTAATAGTTAACAATAATTTTATATTAAATGGCTGGAAAATGAATTAGCCGGATGGATTAGACCCTTTTTAACATTGTGTTATAAATAAATATATCATGTAGCGATATTTCTTTGGCTAACAAAATAAAACAAATTAAAGGACTTTAAATGGTTAGGGTTCTAAATACACGAATGAAATGGAAAAATAATTACTAAAAAAGTTAAGGATTTCTTACCTTTTGGTGACAAAATAGTTCCTATTACGCTAGACTTTTTCTTACTGAAGTGCTCCGGAACTGGTAACATACCGAAGAACGGTGTCAATACACCCACATCGGAGCGTTCAACTAACGTCTCTACTTGCACCATACCCACTTCTGAAATAGTCAAATTTCAATGATTTTACGTTTATCATTATAATTAGAAGTAAATGTCTGTTAAAATTTAGGTTTCTTTATTCTGGACTTTCTACACAGCGCTTTCAAGAACCAAAATGAACCTAGATCCTACTTCGATATACTTTAGGTTCTAGAATATGGATAAAACATCAAAACACTTCTTTTTAAGCTATACTTGACTTGTGCTAACTTGACTTGCTTGCTTGCTTTGCTTAACAAATATTTGCGATAAGTGGGAATCAAATCCACGATAGCTGAAGTTGCATATGGTAGTGTACCACTACCATATTGTTACAGGTCACCAAAAATATTTGAGTTACCAAAAGAAAAGCGATGGAACATTCTCCTGAACTTTTACACCTCATTAGTTGATAAGATTGGATATTACTGAACGTCAGAGTTGTTGATATGTTGCAATTAGCACCAATGTTTGTTACCATGTGTATACATAAGATTGAACGAAGTGCCAAACGGGATTACAAACAAAGGTTGCATCATATTCATATCAAGAACATACACTCAGCCCATTGCTGTCAATCAGGCACTTCAGAGATTGAATGGTAAAATTGAGAGTAAAGGCAACGGTAAGAAACGGATATTACTGACGTAGGAAACAGCTCGAGTACGTCAGGATCTATTTGCCTCAGTTAAGCCGTGTTACCAGCCGGCCGGCTGACGCCTGGATCGAGCGTCTCCAAAGAGCTAGACACCCAAAGGGATCTTCCAAATCGTCGCCATAAAAAAGGCTAAGGTCGAATACCTTCAACTCTCAAGCCCTCTAACTATATATCTCAGTCAATTAACTACTACGATCCCTTACTTTCTATACGAGTATTCCTGCAATTCCTTCTAAGCTTCTATCTAAGCTATACATACAGTAACTGTCGTCACTAATATACAAAATAATAATTATATTCTCTATGTTAAATTGTCTTATCATAAAGATTTATAACTGTGTCAAGACTTACGTGCCCGTGGTGCTCCTGTTGTTTGTACTTCGACATTGGAGGACTGCTTGTGCACTACACATGTAGGATTTCCATACACGAATTTGCAAGCTGAAACACAAATTACAGTTAAAGATCTTTGAGTGTATTGAGTGCCTATGATGTAAGAGCTTGATAACTGAATACACATGCGCTTACCAGAACTTTAAGTGGGTGGTGAAACTCAAATCTACTTCAAAATATTTCTACTTCTAAGAAAGTCATTGAAAAAACTGAATCGAATCTCAATATCTGACTTTTAGCACGTAATTGTAAAATCGTGCCAAAAGTGTAAAAACATTTATTTTGATCAGTCTTTACAGGATGTACATACTCATACATAATTATCTATGCTAAGATTCTATTCTACGTAAGATTGATCAGCATTCATTGCCGACGTTGCGAAATTTAGTTATTTTTCTGGAGCTGGACAAGCAATAGATTTATTTAAACTATATATGATAGTATACACGATTTATTTATACTATCACGTTTTCTTGCTAACGCAATAAATCCTGTGAAAATGTATTATCAAATAAGCGAAAAAAACGTCAAAGTTTCATATCCGCGGTAATGAATTCCGATCGACATTATGAACTAAGTAGATGGGAAAATGCTATTATATTGATAATTATTTATTTTTAAATGTAAGCTGTTCTATAGACCCACAATTTTATTGTCGCACAATTTCTTAAATTCACATTTAGAATGGATTAGATGGTAATTAGATTTAATAAAGAATTAAATTAAATACTTAAAACTGAATTAAACGCATAAAATTTAGCAAACCCATGTTACTATGGAACGACTTGAATGAATGTAATTATCTTGTAAGACATTCTCGGAATTATTCATTAAGAGAAACAACTCTGTGGGTATGTAACATATTTCTTGGGAGTTAGTCCTCTAATCTATTGCCAGAACAATTTGGTGTTTAATTATATCCAAGTTGTATTGAAAACTTTCTAGAAGCCGATACAGTCAAATGTTATAAAATGAATACAATCCAAAAGGTACAGGTTTTATTAAGTAAAAGGCTTACGTGTATGAGGTGCTTTCCCGGAATTCAGGACATAATTACATGCCGTACACGTCGGAAGGATACATTTTGAAGTCAGAACACTCGCCGATCTATGTTGAAATATTGGATCTGAATTTGTACCTGGTAACGTCACATATCTTAATGATAAGTTATAAATAAAGAATTGATTTTTGAGACAAAAATGTAATAGGCTTTCTACAATAAATTGGATTTGTATTATTGATTGATATATCCACGCAAAAGTGAATTCGATTGTCCACTCGTGAGGTACCATGGGATGAAAAACAAAAGACGGTTATTGAAACAACAAATTTAAAACAGAATTTACAATTTTCAAAAAAAAATCTAATCAAAAAATCAGGCCAGCTTAAAAAGAAACTTATACGTTGAAATTAGAAAACAAGATTTTATACCCACTGAATATGTTTGAAAGGTGATAATTGAGAGAAAAAGGTTCAGTAAACGATCAAACGATTCGGCAAATGTTTGACATGATAATGTTTGGAGTTTTATTAGATGATGTACGGCTTTGTTAATATGCTTGCATAAAATCTATAGTCCTGACAAGGTGAAACTAAAAATTGGAATAAATTTTGAAAATACCAACATAAATGAAACATGAAAAGTCGCATTTGACTTCACGTCCCTAAAAAAAGGTATTCAAAGTCAACGGTTGTAAATATGAGATTTTTGCATTTGCAGGGAAACGATAAGTTTTATCTTTATCGTCAACTAAAAGTTGTAGAATATTAAATCACCTACAAAAATAGTCCTTACTTTTTTTCTTAGAATTATCAGTTTCGATATTCGTATAATGATTTACATTCTTTCTATTTTGTGAGTTTATAGATTTGCGAAGTAGCTCAGAGATAATGGCCTCAATACGTAGGTAACTCTCGATGAGTTCTCGTCATCAGCAAACCATCTCGTCATCACCGTCATCAACAAACTTGTTAGTCACGATTGACGGTTTTGTGACTAACGAGTTAGTAATTGAATCTAAGAGTATAGTGTGAATGTTCTCCATAGAAACTGGATGGAGTAGTGGTGATTACTGCAATGTGTATGCGTGTCATAATAAGAGCTTATTTACTATATTTACAAATTGGTTCACATACCTATACCAGTTTCATGAACAGTTGGGACCGCTTGATGCTCAAACTCTTGCTTGTTCCTTGTTAGAGCTTGATCTGGCAAAGGAATTGATACTTTTTAAGAATACATCTTTCAAGTCTATGTTTCAAATGATATTTTACGAAAAATGTTTTATTTGCTCGTATACCTGATGTAACTGCGTCCACCATTAACATTTGATATGTCGGTTCTAGCTGTTTGTGTTTATCGTAGTTGTGATTACGCTTTTGTAATGGTAGTACGTCGGCGAGACTATCGTTTATTATTAGATTCTTTACATCAGATGGTACTGCAGTCAAATAATTAGTTTTAAATTAGACAAAAAATGTAGTTTAATTTATGTTAAGATTATTTTCGTGTGTTTTTATTTTAAATTTCATTTCGCTATCATCAATTGCAAATGTGGCTTTGTGATAATTAAGAATTGGCAAATATATTAAAAATATAGAAACATCATAAATTTAGTACTATTGCGTATACTTAGTAGGTAAAAGACTAAGGTGGCAAAAGTACATACAGACAGTCTGATGGTATTATGGTGTCTAATCCATTCCTAAGGAACTTTAAACTCAACGACAGTAATGTAAAAATTCAAAACGTTGCGAGACTTTTTTAATATATTATAATTTGATATATATTAAATTATTACCTCTTTTAACGAAACCCAATTAACTCTAGAGATCACCTTTTCTCTGATATATTATTTTATACTCTAGCGCACTTTGCACAAACTATAATTTTGAACAACATTGTAATTTGTAAAGACATACCAGTCGAATTTTTCTCTTCAAAAAAACTGAAGATGGCAGATGTTGAAGACTTGGCGGGAAGCGGTGAGCTATCAAACTCTTTCTCTGGTCTTATACATGACTGATATGCTGAAATTAATGATAATGTTCCTCTTGTTATCCGTAAAAACGAAAATAAATACTATTATTTACAACACGTCGCAGCTACCCTTGATGTTTAAAGATTTTTTTTTAATGTTTTGAGGCCAAACGAGTAAACGGGTAATAAATGACTATGGAAACCTTTTTTTTTTTTTTTTTTTTTTACGTGTGGAAATCCCCTCGGACCGTCACCCCTCCGGGGTTTGCGGCGGGGTGGTGTGTCGGACTCGGACCGACTAAAACCACACGGTGTGCCACTCTGCGCCTGTAACAGGAGGGATCCGGGAACAGCTGTTGTTAAGACATCCGGACCCCTCCTAGCGCCAGCCCGCTCCTGGTGCGGGCTCCGTCTCAATGGTGTTCCTCTCTTTAGGCGACGTCCGGCACACGCGGACGCCGCCCCCTCGCGGCTGGCCAAACTAATGCGGGTGGAGGGGAAACCCACCCCGTCCACCCGCGGCCACACTCAGGGCGGCATGAGGCTGTGGTAGGCGGGCCTCCGCCGCCCGGTTCGCCGGCGGCGGATCGGGTCCGAGTGGAGGTCGTCCTCCCGGGCCCTCTCCGCCGCCTCCTTCCGCGAGATTACTACCTCGCAGAAGGTTGCGACCGCGGTAAAACAACTGTCGCTACCGGCCATGGAGCGTACTACGGCCGGTAGCGAGAGATCCACTCCGATGACTGCAGTGAGGGCCCGGCGCTGCGCTGCCCATGCGGGGCAGACCGCCAGCGTGTGCTGGGCCGAGTCCTCACTGCAGTCGCAGTGGTGGCAGGCGGGACTCAGTTCCCTCCTAGCGACCGTGTGCAGGTACTTTCCGAAGCAACCGTGCCCGGAAAGCACCTGCGTCAGTCGGAAGGAAAGGGTCCCGTGCTGCCGCCCTGCCCACTCGGCGATGACCGGCTGGAGAGCCTCCACGGCGGCGAAGCCAGCGCGTGGAGTCTCCAGCCGGAACGACCAACGAGCCATCGTGGCTCGGCGAGCGGCTTCGCGCCACTCGCGCACATCCTCGGGCGGAGGGCGAAATCCGCTCTCCGCCCGGTAGTCAGCCACTCGCCGATAAACTTCGGCGAGCACTTCCGCCTCCAAATCCCACGGGGGAGTTCCGGCCAATGCGCATGCCACCTCCGTCGAAACGGTGCGGTAACCGCGTATGGCTCTGACCGCCATTACCCTCTGAGGGCGCCAGAGGCGTACCCTATTCTGGGCGGTCAGAGCCGCCGCCCACACCGGTGCACCGTACAGTGCCATTGACCGGACAACCCCCGTGTACAGCCGTCTTGTCGCGACGCTGGGTCCACCCATATTGGGCAAAAGTCGCCCTAGGGCAGACGCAGCGCCGACCAGCTTTGGAGCAAGCTGTCGGAAGTGCTCGTCGAAGAGCCACCTCCCGTCGAGGATCAGGCCCAGATATTTCATCTGGGCCCGAACCGGTACGAGGACCGAGTTGACCACTATTGAGGCGCCAGGGGGTGGACCACGACGGGGCCCATGGAATAACAGGGCCTCCGTCTTATCTAGGGCCACCCGTAAGCCCAGCGCCTCAATGCGCCCGACCACCAGGGAGACTCCCCCTGTGGCCAGGCGCGCCGCCTCTTGGAAGTTTGCCCCCCGGGCTGTCACGAGGGTATCGTCTGCGTAACAGATTACACCCAGCCCGGGGGGGAAATCGGCGCGAAGGGCCCAGTCGTACCCTATGTTCCACAAGAGGGGTCCAAGAACAGACCCCTGTGGAACACCGCACGACATGGGCCGACACCTCAGATTACCTTCTCGGTCCTCGTACACGACGGTACGCTCCTCTAAATAGTCTGCCACCAGCCGCCTCAGGTACTTTGGCACCCCATGATAGTGGAGTGCTTCCCTGATGCAGCTGAATGGCAGACTATTGAATGCGTTGGCGATGTCTAATGACACCGCCAACAGCACGCCGCCACAGCTCACGGCCTCTTCGGTCACGGCCCTCAGGCGCAACACGGCGTCGACTGTCGAACGCCCCGCCCGAAAACCAAATTGGGCGTCCGACAGATCGGGGCCCACCTCGCAGAGGTGCCGGACGATGCGGGCAGAAAGAACCCTCTCAAACAATTTGCCCGCCTCGTCTAGCAGCACGATGGGCCTATAGGCCGCGACCGAATCGGCAGGCCGTCCCGGCTTCGTCAATAGGACCAGCTTCCCGCTCTTCCAGCACTCAGGGAAGCGTCCCGACGCCAAGCTAGCGTCGAACACCTCCCCGAGGCGGTCTGCCATGTGGTTGAGGGCCAGGGCCAGCACTCGGGCCGGTACCCCGTCTGGCCCAGGGGCGGTGTTCTTGGAACGGATCCGTAGAACAGCCGCCCCTACCTCCGATTCCCGGACGGGCGGAACATTGTCCTCCCCGTGCTCCCCGTCGTCTCCGACCAGGGAGGCCATCGACGGGGGAGTGTGTTCCGCCCGTTGTGGGAAAAGGCCCTCAACCACTTCTCGCAGGAAGCTGGGCTGGAGAGTCTCCGTAAGGGGGGGGGCCGACGCGCGGAGCTTTTGTCGCACCGCGCGGTAAGGGCGACCCCAGGGGTCACGATTAAGACCCTCCAGCATCTCCTGTCTTTTTTCCTCTTTGGCGCGGCTAATGGCCAGCTTCAGAGTTTTCCGCGCCCGTCGGTACTCCTCATGAAGCCGGTCCTCCTCACCGTCTCCACGGTGACGCCGCCGACTGCGCGTGTAGGACCTCCGGGCACGTGTACAGGCCGCACGGAGGTCCGCCAGCTCCTGGGACCACCAGTAGACCTCCTTCCTTGGAGGCCGACGACCTCGAACGCGGGGCATGGCCGCATCGCATACATGCGTAATCGCATCGCGAAAGCGGCCAGCCCCCACGTCGACCTCCTCGGTCGGAGCCTGAGGAGACAGCCACGAGTGAATTATGGCTGCCTCCTCTAGTAGGTCCCGGTTCAGCCTGGCAACAGCCCACCGCGGAAAGCGGGATAAACGCCGCGCCACGTGACCCCTACTGGAGTCCTGGGTCCGGGAGAGCTCAAATCGGATATACAGGTGATCCGAGAGCGTCTCAACCTCTTCCAGGACACGCCAGTTCCTTACTCGTGCGGCGAGGGCAGGGGTAGCGAACGAGAGGTCCACTATCGACCCCCCCTGCTGTCGCACGCACGTGTTGGTGGAGCCTCTGTTTAGAAGACAGAGGCCCACCGAGGCCGCCCACTCCTCTACGGCCTCGCCCCTGGCGTCCGTCCTGGGGGAACCCCACGCAATGGACTTTGCGTTGAAGTCCCCCAGCACAAGGACGTGCCCAGACGCTAGTCGCCGTATCGAGGTCTCCAAGCTGATTAGGAAAACCTCGAAGTCGTTCAAACTCCGGTTGGGGGAGAAATAGACACCATATATGGTGATCCCCCCCCACTCGACGGCAACATATCCAGTGCCCTTGTCTCTTAGCGACAAGGGCGGGGAATGAGCCGTCGTGGAACCGACGACTGCCACGGAGCCGTCCCAGTCACCCATCCAGTTTGGACGGGGAGGGACAGAATAGGGCTCCGCGACTACGGCAACACCTATCGACCACTGTGCCATGGTTTGCAGGAAGAGATCCTGCGCCGCGGCACAGTGGTTCAGGTTCGTCTGGACCAGGAGGTTGGAGACTTGATCCATTACTGGATCGTCTCTACAACCTCCTCCATGGGCGACGACGACGACGCACGTACTACGTCGGAGGCAGCCTGGGTCGACTGGCTAGCCCCTGACGTCTGCCGAGAACTGCGGGGAGGCTTGCAGCCTCTCTGCCCCATCTGGTGATTGGCGGGCTTATTGCCCGCCGCACACGCTGGGCAGTGAGGGGCGGCAGAGCATTCTGCCGCCTTATGCCCCGGTTGACCGCAGCGGAAACACAGTCCGCCGCAGTCAAAACAACTGTCGCACTTGACGCGCGTGTGTCCCGTGGCCAGGCATTTAAAACACCTCATCGGTCTCGCCGCCAGGACTGTGATCCTGGCGCTCACGAAACCGATGAGCAGCCTGCCGGCGTCGGCCAATACTTTGGCCGACGCTACGGGACAGCTGACCCACACGGCGCCAAGCCCTCCTGGACCGGGGCGGATGGTGCCGACCCTGACGTTGTCCGCGCTGCACCCCGTCTTCTCCCGGATTACAGCGCGGACATCTTCAGCCGTTACGGAGTCGTCCAGGCCCGAGATGCGCAGCTCTGCGCACTTAGTAGGCCTGGCGATCTTTACACCATCCGTGGCTGTAAAGAGTCCCCGCAGCTTCTCGGCAAATGTGTCCGCCGTCTTAGCGCCTTCAGCCCCAGGGAACTCGAGGACTCGAGCTCCCGTCTGGGCGAGGCGCATTCTGACCCCCACCGTTCCAAAATCGTTGGCGAGGCTGTCCCGGGCCTTTTTGAAGACGGCCGCGTAGGACAGCCCGCCGTCCGCCGCCTCCGGGGACACGGTCACCACTACAGCCGCGGTTTTGGGCGGCTGCAGCTTCCGCGGCCTCTTTGTGGAGGCCGTTGCCACCGGTGGCGAAGGCTGGGCTTGGGCTGCTTTCTTGGCAGCCTTTTTGGCCCGCCTTCGGGACTTCTTGGAGCCCCTCGCCTCCTGCCAACCCTCGTTGGAGGGGGCAGGTGCGGAGGGGCCCGGCAGGGGTGTCGGAGTGGGGAGCGGAGGGAATGCCACTCCGCTCCTCGGCGCTGTTCTAGGCCCCGTCTTGGCCGGCGCCTGGGGATGCGCCCTGGCCGGCGCCTTAGCCGGTGCCTTGGCCGGCGCCTGGGTTGGTGCCTTGGCCCCCCTCCTCGGCTTTTGTGGAGCCGATGGAGTCGGGGCAGACGCCGCCGCCGCGTAGGAGACGCGGCCTCCCACTACGGGGAGCGCGGTCGGAGCGGCGGCCTTAGGCCGCTGTGTCGACGCGAGCGGGGGGCGCATACTCGGCGCAGGAGGCAATCTCGCCTCCAGGCCAGCCAGGCGTCCGTCCAGCATATTCCCAACTGCGATGAGGATTTCTCGCAGTTGGGAGTCAAATGCCCCTGAGTTGGTGGTAGGGGCAGGCTGGGACGCGGACGGGGCTTCCCGCTCGGGGAGGTTCGCCTGGAAGCGGGCGAACTGAGCACTCAGCTCGTTCACCCGCTCCGTCAGCTTCTCGTTGGCCACCTGCAGGCGAGAGACGTCGCCCGCTAGGCCCTCCACGACCTCCGACAAAGCGGAGGAGGAGTCCTTAAGGGCCCTCACAAACGAGCCCTTAAGGTTCACGGATTTGGTGGCCACCTTGTTGATGACGGCCACCGCCGCTTTCGCCCTCTCCTGCACGGACACGGGAGCCTGGGGGGCATTTCCCCCCACCGGCTCCCGAACCTTGAGCAGGAGATCCGCGATCTCCTCCTCCGCTACGGCCTCGCCGTCCACCCGTACGTTCCTGTACGACTCCGCGTTGGAGAACGCGGAGCCTGACGGGATCGCGACCGAGGCCGGTTTGCGCGCCCTCCCTCGGCGGCTGCTTGCCACCTTTGGTGGCATCATTTCGCCGGACGTGTCGGTTTCCACGTCCCCTGAGCGTCCGCGTTTCCGGCTGTCGCTCCGCTCCGCTTCCATGGCCTCCGCGCCATCCGATGAAGCGGCGGATCCGGAACGCAGCCGATCCGATGCTCTTCGGCTCCCAGAGACCAGCGTCAGACTGACTTCTGGGAGCCCCACCGAGATAGGCGTTCCCGACGCTATCTCACCCTCCGTGGATGAACCATCCACTCCACTGTTCCTCTTCTCTTGCATTTCAGAGTCCGTTTTGCTTGCCTTTTTCTTTTGTGATTGGTTTTCCGATCGTTTTTTAATATTTTTGTTGATATTTTCCATGATAAATCCCACGAGTGGGGGAGAACTAAAGGTCCACCCGGGCAGAGATCCCCCATTACCCGGGCAAGCGTAAGTTTTTAACCCAACCGAGGGGTCCGCAGGTACCTCGGCTTGGAGTGCGCTCGCGACTGAACTTCCCATCAGCCATGCATCCCCTGGCCACGCACCAGAACACGGGATTCGGGGAATTTTTTAGAGAGGTTATCTTCCTCGCGGTCCGGGCGGTTAAGCCAAGACCCTCGTCCCCGATCAGAGCCGCGAGACTTAACCACAGCGCTCTTCTCGGGATTACGATATGCCGACGGTTGACAGGGAGACTACGTCCCCCTGCCTGCTCGGTGGTAGTGTGAGTACACGCCGAGCCCGTCCTCCTTTCTCCACCGCTATCAGCGGAGAAAACTGTGGCCCCTACAGGGCCCCGCCATCAGGTTTTTTACCGAGGTTTCCTCCTCCATGCTCCGAAGAGCGAAGAGCCAGCAGGGCAACCGGCAGACACGCCCACCCTGCTGGACCAGGCCTTGCCCGAGAGCCGATGAACGGCTGCCTCTTCTGCTAGAATATTGGCCGCTGGCGATAATCCTCTCCTCCAAGAGGACAAGGAGGAAACAGTACCATCGCCAGCGTTTCCAGGGTGCACCACGAGGAGGTTTTCTAGCCCAGCACCCCAAACCTGCAACAACCTGTGGGTCAAGAGCTTACTGTTTCAAAATTGTATGAATATTTGCCACCTTAGTAATAAATAAATAATAATAATGTGACTGCTTTTTCGCAAACTGTTTACTTTCAGATACGTCAGAAAAAAACTCAAAAGATCACAAGCTTTTAACCTACTTCAAAGAGAGGTCAATTAGGTTGCAGCTGTATTTTTGTATGTATGTCATGCAATATTTTCGTCATTTGTAAACCGGTCCACTTTTAGTGTGTAACGTCCTTGCAACGTGTGTGAATGGTTTCGTGAAAAGTGACGGAAGTGTGTAACAGGTAAGCCGGTGAAGGGCGTGCTATTGGTTTATTTTTTAAAGATAACTCCCGCACTAGGAATATGATCCTGTGTCGTGGGGGACTTTATAAACATACATGAAATGGACACAAAGAAAACCCAGGCTCAGGACAAGAATTTGTGGATCACAAAGTGATGTCCTATGTGGGGATCGAACCCATAACATTTAGCGCAGTAGAAAGTGGCGAGGTGGCCGCTTTAACCACTACGCTATCGATGAGACCCATCATATGCTACTATTATGAGTAATTTTCTAAGTAATATACATATAATGTTACAGAAAAGCGTGGTCGTATTTTAATTATATCGAATAGTCTAATCGTACAAAAAGTAAATCACTATCAATTTTCAAAAAATCGTGTTGTTGATACAGGAATGTAATTTCGAAACTGACAAATTAAAAACTCTTGTTGACATTAATGTAATTATGGGTATAATACGAAGGACATGGAAGGAATATCAAGATTTTTCATAAAATGTCTTCATAAGAAAACAAAATCATTGAATTTGTCATAAAAAACCACAATACTTAGTTTCGAAATGAGATCCTGCATTAGGACAAGCTTTTACCAAGGAAACGAAATTAAGAGTCTTTTCTAAAACAAAATTTTAAAATATCGCTTTTCTGTAACAGCCTGTAAATTAAAATGGGCAGCATACCGTAAGCATCTTTCTGCGTAGACGTGCAGGCCCTCATCCATTTATCGGCATCGAGATTACTAGACAGCACTGCAGTAGGAGCATAGGTGTCAATGTAGGAACTTGCTTTCTTTCTGGTGCCGATTAGTCGTGACAGCGAGATCAACTGGTTATTGAGATCTGTAAAAGTATTAACCGTTATTGTAACCGTTAACAATAGCTACATTTTAATGACAACCTTTGTTACAGTGGAACACGTGTGTGTAAAAATTATTAAGGCCTCTACTAGCTAAGAAAAGCTTCTGGAAAACATTTAAATGAATTAACAACTAATTCTAATTAATTAACCTAAGTCTAATTGTCGGATCAAACTTAAACTTTTAATATACACGAAGTGTAGATCAAAAAACAATAATTTGGCATCTTGACGATGGAGCGAGTGAGTGGAACTCTTCAGTGACTACTAGCCATCCCGCCAAATTTGGACTCATGATTCGTTTTGCCTAGTCCAAGAGATTGGAGCTGGTAGCAATAATCTGATCACGAACTGAAGTGGATAGTGAAACTACTACTAGCAATGATCTGATCACGAACTGAAGTGGATAGTCATTTTCTTGGGACTTTTCCCGTGAATATTTTACGCAAAAACCTGGTATGAGTTTTTATATTTTAAATCTATGATCCATTGTAGAAATGATGGCTCACTAAAACAATATTTATATGGAACTAGCAACATGGAACTAACACTTTACTGTAGCACATTGAAGTTGTATTGATGAGAAACATGAAACAGAATTGAAGTGTAAAATAGATACTACTACTAACTAAAGCGGTTAGTATATCGTATCAAAATTTGAGCTCAATTGGTGCAGGAATTTTTGAGTTTTTGTGGCGTACACAAACCAACTTAACATTTTTGTATATATACATTGATTAATAAAACCACTCATAAAACGTTGATAAATAAAACAAGGTACCATGTGGTACTGGTAGACCACGATCAAGATCAGCTTTTCAGAGTGTATCAGAGAACAGTGGAGAAAACGTGATAAAATTAGGTTTGTTTTTTTTTTTTAATTATTTATATTAGATTATACCAGATCCGAGCTGTGGGATGCTACAAACTTTCAAATGAAGTCATTCATTTAGCCGAGCCCGCAACAAAGAAGCTCGAGTTGCCCGTAAACAAAGCTCTAACTTGATTCTGATTTATTTCACAAATATAATCTTTACAACAACATAACAGTTACATAGTTTACCTACTTGCCGAAAGTTCCTAAATAAATTACAAAAAAGTCGGTTAACAAACAAAAACATTATAATGATAAGTATCTTACTGCTTTTAAGTTGAGATTTGGAAGTGAGCGAGTTGGTGAATGGGTTGCTGGATACTTCAACGCTCTTCTGAACTTGCAATACAGAAGGTTGCATTATATGGGATGAATCTGTTTGGAGAGTCAATTTGTAAATTAATAACTTAATCAATAAATACCGTAAATCACAGAAATATCTTTGAGGTCTTTTCAGACATTACCATATGTTATTTAAAAGATCCTAGACAATGGCGGCATTTCCCATGCAAAACTCAAGCACCCAAATTTTTTATTTCCCATATTGGCATAGTATACAATTCTACTGACTATCTATTAAATTTCTCAATACGTAACAATACTTTTTAATGATAGCCCGACAATTTTCTCAATTACTAAAGAATCACGCATTATGTTGGCGATGTACATACAAAGTCAATTTTAATACTGATTTTAAAGTATCTTAATATTAGGTAAATAAGCCTTTTATAATTTCCTTTTAGAAACTCGCTGAACACTATGTGCCAAATTATATCAAAACCTAAAATACTCGTAACTGAAATATCGCACCCTTAGTAATATTAAAGCATAATACAAAAAGTAGTTTTTTGGGCAATCGCGTTTAAAGATTCTAGATTCTTACGTTCCAGATTATTTTTCGAATAAAATGGTTATTATTTAAAAAATAAATTATAGTCTAAATAAATTACATAAATAACAAGTGATTGAAAAACACTTTTAAGTTAAGCCATTTTCGGTTTTTGGCAATATAGGGATCTATTATGAATCAGATTCAAAAATTTACTAAATTTTGTATAATATAAAGGAGCAACTACAAATTGTTCTATATAATAAAAAAAGTTTGGAACAAAAATCACGGTTTGACGACACAAGAAGTTTTGACGGTTGTTTTCGGCAAATATGGACACGTTACTTCTTGTGACCTTGTAGCAATAAAAATGGGAGACGAGCGAGAGAAGCACAAATATATTTACCGAGTCATTATTATTTTTTATTTTTTTTATTTATTTATTCATCTTTATGCACTTTTGTACATCGGCGGACTTAATGCCCAGGGCATTCTCTTCCAGTCAACCTTTGGGTGATGTAGAAATCTTGTCAGGTAGGTGCACAGAGGTTACTTTTTCTTTCTCTGTCAGTGCTAACCGGTAGGGAATTTCATTTTGTGCTCTTAGCATTTAAAATCATACTTCACTGAAATTTGGACTTGACCCCTTATATTACTGAGCGTGCGATATGATAATTGGTTTGCTAAGATCAGAATAATAGTTAAACGTTTCGTATTAGGTACTGTTTATTAGAAACTACTCACTGAATAAGTTATCTGTGTTTGTATCGCAATCTTGAGAGCTGGGAGCTACACAGGCGCAAACATTTTGACCTTAAACATGAAGAGGACTAATTAATCTTGCTACATACATACGTCTGTATGATATTAATACTATCTTGATAGGTATATCTCGCAAAATGCAGTCTAATCTAAATGAAGCGAGCTGATAAACATACTTAAATATTACTAAATACATACATATTATAAATAAATTATACCTAGACATAGCACAAATTATTTGTCCTGGGTGGGAATCGAACCTAGTCTAGTATAGCAGTTGGGGTAACTAGGTACTAGAATAACCGGGCCATATTGATTCTTGATAAACTACTTGGCTTTAATACCCTTTACAAATATGTAGAATAATTTGTTGGGTAAACGTATATACTCTACCAAAACCCTTTAGTTTTTCTTCAGGTATGAATCAAATATAAAACTATTTAAAAACAGGCAGATGATGAAGCACGCAAAAGGACCAAGTTCTAATATGACACTGGCTGCCGTATAAATAAATTAAAACAATAAATGACATACGAACCGCATTTTTCAGATTCCTTTTTGATCAAAGTCGTTTGTACAGATTCCGTTTGACCATAGTATGACGTCATAGATGAAACAGTGTTGCGACATGGTGCTAAAAGCAGTACTTTGAAATAAAAAACCTGTTTTCTTGTTGTAACAAATTTGTATGATACAAAGAAGTGTTAAAAAATCGCAAATAAAAAAGCTGAGACTTGGAGTAAAAACGGCTATGGGTGTATATGCTGATGTAAAAGTAGAACATGCTAGTGGAATATTATGAAGCAAAAGGCGTGAATATATAGACGTATGTACCTATTTATGTATGTATGTTCCCTTACGAAATTTCTGTATCATTATGTGCAATTGGTGGAAGGAAGCTTTTAAAATAAACGCTGAGTTTCTTGTCAGTATGTACGTCAAATAAATATCATGTCGTGGGAATTTATAAGATTTATAAGACATAATTTTGTCACAAATAAACAAAGAATATATCTATAATCGTAGAGGACTAAAATCAATAAAAAATCATTGTTATGTAATGAAGTTTTTTTAATCTAATGTAAATATAATAATTTGGAAGAAGAAGGAAGAAATAATAATTATTAGGTTTCATGTTTACATGTTTCAATAAAATAAAATTGAAACTCCCAAGTTCAGTTGATAAATGCCCACTTGAATTGCCCGTCGGACTATCGAGGAAGACGTTTCGAGTAAACACTAAAAACCTATCTCAGTTCTTCGATTTTCCGCTTATATACGTTAATATGGCTCACCTTCTTTTATATCAATTATTTTATTTGATGAATCTTCGACTTGTACACAAGTATCCAGACACAGTTTAGCCACCTTAGATGAATTGACCCAGATGGACTTGGAATCCAATCCAACGCATGTGTAGGTACTTTTAGTAGCGAATGAAGGATACGTTTCTAAAAATTAAACATTAATTTGCGTTTGTGTATTTGTGTTTTTCTCGAACTTCGGCAACATTAGTAATAATTTACTTTAAAAAAAAACCAATATTTTCATATTAAAATAATTTTCTAAAACGATGCATATAAGAGAGAGTCCTGACTTCTAATTACTACAGTTGAATTGAAAACTTCCTCCTTTTCTTGAAGTCGGTTAAAAAATTAAAACATTTTTATGTCATCATCATCATCAACAGTCTATAATTGTCCACTGCTGGACATAGGCCTCTCCTAGGAAATGAGGTTTTGGCCTACTGTACCACGCTCGCCAGACGGGTTGGTATAGGATTTGGGGTGCTAGCTAGAAAACCTCCCCGTGGTGCACCCTGGAAACGCTGGCGATGGTACTGTTCCCTCTTTGTCCTCTTGGAGGAGAGGATTATCGCCAGCGGCTAATATTCTAGCAGAAGAGGTAGCCGTTCATCGGCTCTCGGGCAAGGCCTGGTCCAGCAGGGTGGGCGTGTCTGCCGGTTGCCCTGCTGGCTCTTCGCTCTTCGGAGCATGGAGGAGGAAACCTCGGTAAAAAACCAGAAGGTGAGGCCCTGTTCTCGGTGGATCTCTGCCCGGGTGGACCTATAGTTCTCCCCCACTCGTGGGTATAACATGGAAAGTGAAAAAACAAAAATCAAAGAAAAAGGATCAAGACAAATAACAACGAAACAGGCAAGCCAAACGGACAACGAGACGGTGGGAAGAAAGGAGGAGAAGAAGAAGAGTGGTGGAGTGGATTTGACGTCCACTGAAGGCGAGGTGGTGTCGAGAACACTTATCTCGGTGGGGCTCCCAGTAGTAGTCTGTAGTAGACTGACTGCTGGGAGCCTAAGAACATCGGAGCGTCTTCGTTCCCGGTCCGCTGCTTCATCGGACGGTGGTTCCAGTGTGTCGATTGACGCACTGGACGCTATGGATGTTGAGTGTCGCGACACTGGGAGTCGCAAGCGTGGACGCTCCGGAGAGGAGGGTGCTGACCCCTCGCAGGACATGCTGCCACCTAAGGTCGCCGGCAGCCAGCGAGGACGGTCACGGACGCCGATCGCGAGGTCGCGTGCCCCTGTCCCCGCCCCGACGGGCTCTTCTCTGGGGCAGAGTCTTACAGGCGTGTCAGAGCGGACGGCGAAGCCGTAGCGGAGGAGGAGATAGCGGATCTCCTGCTCAAGATTCGGGAGCCGGTGGAGGGAGATGCCCCTCGGGCTCCCGTGTCTGTGCAGGAGAGGGCGAAAGCCGCGGTGGACATAATAAAAAAGGTGGCCACCAAGTCGGTAAATCTTAAGGGCTCTTTTGTAAGGGCCCTTAAGGACTCCTCCTCCGCTGTGTCGGAGGTCGTGGAGGGCCTAGTAGGCGATGTGTCTCGCCTACAGGTGGCCAATGACAGGCTGACGGAGCAGGTGAACGAGCTGAGCGCTCAGTTCGCCCGCTTCCGGGCGAACCTCCCCGAGCGGGGGGCCCCGCCCACGCCCCAGCCTGTCCCTACCGCGACCTCAGGGGTGCCTGACGCCCAACTGCGGTCAATTCTTGACGCAGTTGGGCGTATGCTGGACGGCCGTCTGGCCGGTCTGGAGGCGAGACTGCCTCCTGCGCCGGTCGTGCGCCCCCCGCTTGCGTCGTCGCAGCGGCCTAAGGCTGCTGCCCCGACTGCGCTCCCTGTTGTGGGAGGCCGCGTGTCATACGCGGCGGCGGCGTCGGCGTCGGCCCCGACTCCACCGCCGGCTCCCCAGGGGCCGAGGAGAGCGGCCAAGGCACCGGCCCAGGCGCCAGTCAAGGCGCCAGCCAAGGCGCCGGCCCAGAAGCCGGCCCAGAAGCCGGCCAAGACGGGGCCCAAAACGGCGCCGAGGAGTGGAGTGGAGTTCCCTCCGCTCCCCACTCCGACACCCCTGCCGGGCCCCTCCGCACCTGCCCCCTCCAACGAGGGTTGGCAGGAGGTGAGGGGCTCAAAGAAGTCCCGAAGGCGGGCTAGAAGGGTTGCTCAGAAAGCAGCCCAAGCCCAGCCTTCGCCACCGGTGGCAACGGCCTCTAAAAAGAGGCCGCGGAAGCTGCAGCCGCCCAAAACCGCGGCTGTAGTGGTTACCTTGTCGCCGGAGGCGGCCAGTGGCGGGCTCACGTATGCGGCCCTCTTTAAGGGGGCCCGGCCTGGTCTCGCCACTGAATTCGGGACGGCGGGGATGAGGCTGCGTCGCGCCCAGGCGGGAGCTCGAGTATTCGAGTTCCCTGGGGCTGAAGGCGCGGCGACGGCCGACAAATTCGCCGAGAAGCTGCGGGGAATTTTCGCCACCACGGACGGTGTGAAGATCGCCAGGCCCACCAAATGCGCAGAACTGCGCATCTCGGGCCTGGACGACTCCATCACGTAGGAGGATGTCCGCGATGCAGTCATGGAGAAGACTGGGTGCACCGCGGACACCATCAGAGTCGGCACCGTCCGTCCGGGCCCGGGAGGCCTCGGTGCGGTGTGGGTGAGCTGTCCCGTGGCGTCGGCCAAATTACTGGGCGACGCCGGAAGCATTCTCGTCGGCTTCGTAAATGCCAGAATCACGGTTCTGGCCGCGAGGCCGATGAGGTGCTTCAAGTGCCTAGCCGCGGGACACACTCGCACCAAGTGCGAGAGCTGTTTTGACTGCAGCGGATTATGCTTCCGCTGCGGTCAACCTGGGCACAAGGCGGCAGAGTGCTCTGCCGCCTTGTGCCCAGGCCCGCCAATCACATGATGGGGCAGGGGGGCTGCAAGCCTCCCCGCGCTTCTCGGCAAACGCCGGGGGCTAGCCTGCCGACCCAGGCTACCCCCGACGTCAATATTGCGTCGACGCCGACGCCCATGGAGGAGGTTGTAGAGACGATCCAGTAATGGATCAAGTCTCCAACCTCCTGGTCCAGACGAATCTCAACCACTGTGCTGCGGCGCAGGATCTCTTCCTGCAAACCATGGCACAGTGGTCGATAGGTGTTGCCGTAGTCGCGGAGCCCTACTTTGTTCCTCCCCGTCCAAACTGGATGGGTGACCGGGACGGCTCCGTGGCAGTCGTCGGCTCCACGGCGGCTCATTCCCCGCCCTTGTCGCTAAGAGACAAGGGTAATGGATATGTTGCCGCCGATTGGGGGGGAATCACCATTTATGGTGTATATTTCTCCCCCAACCGGAGTTTGAACGACTTCGAGGTCTTCCTTAACAACTTGGAGGCCTCGATGCGACGACTAGTGTCTGGGCACGTCCTCGTGCTGGGGGACTTCAACGCAAAGTCCATTGCGTGGGGTTCCCCTGCGACGGACGCCAGGGGCGAAGCCGTCGAGGAGTGGGCGGCGTCGGTGGGCCTCTGTTTGCTGAACAGAGGCTCCACCAACACGTGCGTGCGACAGCAGGGGGGGTCGATAGTGGACCTTTCGTTCGCTACCCCTGCAGTCGCCGGACGAGTAAGGAACTGGTGTGTCCTGGAAGAGGTCGAGACGCTCTCGGATCATTTGTACATCCGATTCGAGCTCTCCCGGTCCCAGGACCCCAGTAGGGGTCACGCGGCGCGGCGCCCTTCCCGCTTCCCGCGGTGGGCTGTCGCCAAGCTCGACAGGGACCTACTAGAGGAGGCGGCCATTATTCACTCATGGCTGTCTCCGCAGGCCCCGACCGAGGAGGTCGACATGGGGGCTGGTCGCTTCTGCCATGCGATTACGCAGATTTGCGATGCGGCCATGCCCCGCGTTCGTGGTTGTCGGCCAAGGAAGGAGGTCTAATGGTGGTCCCAGGAGTTGGCGGACCTCCGTGCGGCCTGTGTACGTGCCCGGAGGTCCCTCACCCGTAGTCGGCGACGTCACCGCGGGGTCGGTGAGGAGGTGGACCGGCTTCATGAGGAGTACCGAGAAGCTCGGAAAACTCTGAGGCTGGCCATCTGCCGCGCCAAGGATGCGTGTAGAGAGGAGATGCTGGAGAGTCTCGAGCGTGACCCCTGGGGTCGCCCTTATCGTGCGGTGCGTCAAAAGCTCCGCACGTCGGGCCCCCCCCTTACGGAGACTCTTCAGCCCAGCTTCCTGCAGGAAGTGGTCGAGGGCCTATTCCCGCAGCGGGCGGAGCACACACCCCCGTCGATGGCTGCATTAGCCGGAGACGACGGGGGCAGCGAGGCTGAGGTTCCGCCCGTCAGGGAATCGGAGTTGGGGGCGGCTGTTCTACGGATTAGATCCAAGAACACTGCCCCCGGGCCGGACGGGGTTCCAGCCCGAGTGATGGCCCGAGCCCTCGACTACATGTCGGACCACCTCAGGGAAGTGTTGGACGCTAGCCTGGCGTCCGGACGCTTCCCTGAGCGCTGGAAGTGCGGGAAGCTGGTCCTGCTGAGGAAGCCGGGACGGCCTACCGATTCGGTCGCGGCCTATAGGCCTATCGTGTTGCTGGACGAGGCGGGTAAACTTTTCGAGAGGGTGCTCTCTGCCCGCATCGTCCGGCACCTCTGCGAGGTTGGCCCCGATCTGTCGGACGCCCAATTCGGTTTCCGAGAGGGGCGTTCGACGATCGATGCCGTGATGCGCCTTAGGGCCGTGACCGAGGAGGCCGTGAGCTGCGGCGGAGTGGTGTTGGCGGTGTCCTTGGACATCGCCAACGCCTTCAATAGTCTGCCATTCAGCTGCATCAGGGAAGCGCTCCGCTACCACGGAGTGCCGGAGTACCTGAGGCGGCTGGTGGCAGACTATCTTGAGGAGCGAACTGTCATGTACGAGGACCGAGATGGCGTCTTGAGACGCAGGGCCATGTCGTGCGGTGTTCCGCAGGGGTCTGTCCTAGGACCTCTCCTGTGGAACATCGGGTACGACTGGGCCCTACGAGGGCGTCTCCCCCCCGGGCTGGGTGTAATCTGCTACGCGGATGACACCTTGCTCACGGCCCGGGGGGCTAACTTCCAGGAGGCGGCGCGCCTGGCCGCCACGGGAGTCTCCCTGGTGGTCGGGCGCATTGAGGCGTTGGGTTTGCGGGGGGCCCTGGATAAGACGGAGGCCCTATTATTTCATGGGCCCCGTCGTGGTCCGCCCGCCGGCGCCTCAATCGAGGTCGGCTCGGTCCTCGTACCGGTCCGGGCCCAGATGAGGTACCTGGGTCTGGTCCTAGACGGTAGGTGGCTCTTCGATGAGCACTTCCGACAGCTTGGTCCGAAGCTGGTGGACACTGCCTCCGCCCTAGGGCGACTTTTGCCCAATTTGGGCGGGGCCAGTGTTCCCACGAGGCGGCTGTACGCAGGGGTTGTCCGGTCCATGGCGCTGTATGGTGCACCGGTGTGGGAAGCGGCTCTGACCGCCCCGAATAGGGCGCGCCTCTGGCGCCCCCAGAGGATATTGGCGGTCAGAGCCATACGCGGATACCGCACGGTGTCCACCGAGGCGGCCTGTGCCTTGGCCGGAACACCCCCGTGGGATTTGGAGGCGGAAGTGCTCGCCGAAGTTTATCGGCGAGTGGCTGACTTCCGGGCGGAGAGCGGATTTCGCCCTCCGCCCGAAGACGCGCGCGAGTGGCGCGAAGCCGCTCGCCGAGCCACCATGGTGAGATGGTCGTTCCGGCTGGAGACTCCACGCGCTGGCTTCGCCGCCGTGGAGGCTCTCCAGCCGGTCATCGCCGAGTGGGCAGGGCGGCAGCACGGGACCCTTTCCTTCCGGCTGACGCAGGTGCTTTCCGGGCACGGTTGCTTCGGAAAGTACCTGTACTCGGTCGCTAGGAGGGAATCGAGTCCCGCCTGCCACCACTGCGACTGCAGTGAGGATTCGGCCCAGCACACGCTGGCGGTTTGCCCCGCATGGGCGATGCAGCGCCGGGCCCTCACTGCAGTCATCGGAGCAGATCTCTCGCTACCGGCCGTAATTCGCTCCATGGCCGGTAGCGACAGTTATTTTACCGCGGTCGCAACCTTCTGCGAGGAGGTAATCTCGCAGAAGGAGGCGGCGGAGAAGGCCCGGGAGGACGACCTCCACTCGGACCTGATCCGCCGCCGGCGAACCGGGCGGCGGAGGCGCGCTTACCTGCGCCTCATGCCGCCCTGAGTGTGGCCGCGGGTGGACGGGATGGGTTCTCCCCTCCACCCGCATTAGTTGGCCAGCCGCGAGGGGGCGGCGTCCGCGTGTGCCGGACGTCGCCTAAAGAGAGGAAAGATCAGAGACGGAGCCCGCACCAGGAGCGGGCCGGCGCTGGGAGGGGTCCAGAAGGAGATAGCTACCTGGACCCCTCCTAAACTGGAAGCGCTAAGAGGGCACACCGTGTGGTTTTAGTCGGTTCGAGTCCGAAACACCGCCCCGCCGAACGAGAGCCCCGGCGGGGTGACGGTCCGAGGGGATTTCCACACGTAAAAAAAAAATAAAAAAAAAAAGGATTTGTTAAAAGTTTTCGTTCTCTTTGAAGTGCTGTTGTCCCGTGTAGTTTGCTCCCTTAGTCGACATGACATTCTGTATTCTTAATCCGTCGTGCAATTTTTTTTTTTTTTTATAAATATTCACTCAGATGTTCATTCTAAGACGTTTGTATTTAAAATATAAGCTTTGTTCAAGGCTCGTTTTACTTGTTACAAAAAAATCACTTACTGATACTGTCCCGGAATTCCATAAGGCGAGATGCTTGTGTATCGACATCAACCAATGCTTTCTTTATTAGGTTGCTTAGTAATATTTCTGTAATAATATTTAGGGTGACCAGTTTAAGGAATGAATCATTTGTAAGTGTGCTGTTGTGCTGTGTGAAGGCAACTTAATTTATCTACACAATACAGTTCTTACGCTTGAGATAAAAGGCTGTATTAAAAATATAAAAACTAGCTTAAGCTGTCACGCTTCGCCGTGGTACATTGTTGTTACGTTTATGATACTCATAAACGTAACAACAATGTACCACGGCGAATATACGGCTATACTATAGAGGGACAAAACTGACTCGAAAAATAGATAAAAAAATCTTTGAAGCGGGTGTATATTGTGTCAAAAATTTCAGCCCAATCGGTGCAAAATTTTTAGAGTTTTTGAAACGTACACGAACCATTTATATATTTGTATAGATATAAATTTTATATATATATAAATATATATATATATATTTGTAGAGATTGTTTAAATAGAACATAAAGGGTTAAAGGGTTTGGATATCCTGGTAACAGTCCGTTTGAGTTACAAATTTATAACCATGACCTTGCATTACCCAATACATCCGTATAAGCAATAAATACATCTTTTCTATCATTGCTTTCCTTTTTTCTTTTCTACCTTCGTTTCAATGTACTTATCATCTCAACTTCTTAAGTCTCTATTGACGGCATTAAGATCGGTTTCTATTACGTAAGGTGGACTAAAATGATGGTTAGCAAATTGCGGGCGTTCACTTCGCCTCCCTTCACCCCTTGGGCGAAATAAATCGCGATTGTACGATTTTAAACTCCAGTGGAATAAATGGAGCCAAAAGAATAATGAGCTATGTATTTTAGTAAAATATTAATACTACTTAAAACTATATTACCTGCTTCGAGAAAGCTGTTCAATCCCAAAACCGAAGTAGACCTGGTGCAGGTGCTGACGGTATCTTTGGAACATGAGTCTAAATTTGTGACTGAAGTGGATATCGCGCATGCTATGATTCCATCCCTTTCTGTAATTGTTTTTTTTTTATACCAGATGAATTACCACATCAATTAAAAGTATACTGCTGTTAGTTTATCTTAAATTCCTTAGTATGTAAATTAATGATTTAGTAATTACGTATTGCTACATATTATTATTACACTTACATTTCAGATCATAAGGTCAAAAGAGCAAAATAATAAACTAATCGGGAATTGTCACTAGCAGAATGTCAGAAGTGCACAACAACAAAGGCGCACTACGTCAAAAGCACACAATGTCAAAAGTGCACATGTTATTTGACGATTCAAGTTGTGTGTTTAGTTTAACTTCAATGTTGAGTGATCAAGGAGAATTAAATTGTTGGAAGAAGAATGGAATCGAAGAAGAAAACTCATTGTACCGACGGCAAATAACTTTGAGAATTATTAGTAAAAACATTACATCATTATATATTTTATTAATAATTTTAAATGACATTACAAATACATAAATATATATGGAACAAATACATAAATATACATACACACATGGAACAAATACATAAATATATATCTATTTAATAGTATGTCTTTATAATATGTATTTTTGAAAAGTTTATTATTTCACTTACGGCTATTTTCTTCAGTGTATGGATTCATTGTAGATATTAACTTCGAAGCAGTGGAAACCACCCCTTTTGATAAAGAAAATACATTTAGACTTGTACATATAATTAAATTTGATGTATATCATCAAATTTGAAATAAAAATGAATCTTATGAATAAATAAAAAAATATAAGTAGGTACTTGCGTCAGGTCACTATGAAATAAAGTTAAATAAATTGCTAGCAAACGGAACGGATGTATGAAAGCATTACACGACTGCGGTACTGAGTGTCTTTATACACACAGGAAGGACACGATTATGGTACAATTCTTTCATCATTCTATTTTATCATCGTCATCATTATGAACAGCTTTTAATGGTCCACTGCTGGACCATGGCCACGCTGGCCAGATTTGCAGTTCTGTTCTACTTTACACCATTAATATTATAAACGCAAAATGTGAAGATGCCTGTAAGAATGTTTGTTACTTAATCACATCGAAACGACCGCACGGTGCTGAATTAAATTTGGCACAGACGTGGATTAGACTGGTCAAAGAAAATAAGTACTTTAAGTAAGTACTTTAAATCATACCCTTGTCCGCTTCCTCGTTTTGTTTTTCTCGATGTGTGCCGTATTTCGAAGTGCTTGTAAATACTGACTTTTGTTCGGTTATGATTACTGATAACAAACAAAAAAGACCTCGAATTATACAACTAATGTCATTTATTACGACTAAAGAAAGCATTTTGGTAAATTTTAGACCTTAATTATTATTTATGAACTTGGATATTTTAAGTCAACTTTTAATTCCTTAATTTCTTTAACCACATTGGGGAACCGGTATAATGGTAAGTGTATATAGTGCTAAATAGCCACCAGCAACTAAAAAGATAAGTGTGTTGCTAGCCTTTACGGTTCTTTTCTTGAAGGTGACCTTTGGTGCGACAGCGGTGCGATGTTCAACTAGTTGGTAGTTTGAGGCCAAAAGTTTCTTTTAAAATGCACAGATGTCAAGTGCCAATAAACTGAATTACAAGGACGGAAGTACGAGAAATTCGCTTAAAAAGTTAAAGTAACCATTTTACTCATTACTGTATATATATTGTTCTATAGTTTTTTTTTTAAATTAGTGTGTTTAGGCTTATATTAATAATTTGAATACCTCTTAATCTCTCTGTTTACGTACAGTTCCCTACGAAACAATTATTTTAAATATGTAATAATTGAAGAAAAACTCACCTCTATTAGATATGGTGTTTTCAGGCATAGCATCAGATGATATTGAAGTTATATTCGGTTCTGAAAAGTAAATGATTCAATAAAAAGTATCATTAACATTAAATAATAATACAAATATCTGATAATTAAAGAAGCCGCTCTTGCCTCAAAATCATCGATTAGAAGTCGTGTTTGACTTATTAGGCAAAAGGTGTAAAGAAAATTACTAATCTTATAAATTACTAGCTGTACCATGCCACGCTTTGCTGTGGCACATTGTGGTGGCATTGATGAGAAATGAGAATCAATACGTTATAGTTAGATAGGAACCATCTTTATACGGCTTATTTATAACGGCTTATAAATCGTGTCAAAATTTAAGCTCAATCAGTGCGAAACTAAGTTTTTGAATCGTACACGAAGCGACTTAATTACACGTTTTATATTAGCGTCACTTGTGTTTGTATGTTTATTTGTAACCGACTCCTTTGGGCGTAATTTTGACTGACTTTAAAAGGTCAGAATTCGTTCAAAATTTGTAGATATATTGAAGACCGATGACAATACACTTATTTAAAAAAAAAACAGTTTTAAAAAACTAAAAAGCACAATTTTTATAGAAAACCAAACTAAAAAATTTAAAATAAATTTTAATAACTTTGAAAAAAAACAGTGGCAAAAAAGGCACCCAACGCTTTTTTTCAAATTTAATAAATTTTATATATGTAGAAGATGTAGGAGACGAAATGGCTCGAAGCACGCAATGTCTCGGACATTAGACCTACTCGTATTAGCAGGAGATACTTTATAAGCCCAAAATTATGCTGGCGACTAGTTTTGGCGGCCTGGGATATTATTGAATCAACCTACCCATGTTCTCTAAAATATTCAGACTTTTTGCCTTGGTAATTTCGAAAAGCAACCGTTCCTGATTCTTGTATACAAATATAAATAAATTCAAAAAAGTTTCAACCATTTCCCAAAACATTACCTGTTGATGTCAGCATTGATGTGTTCTTTGCATCTTTAATAACTCTATTTTGTTCTTTGACCTCTCCTGGACTAAGTACTGAAACTAGAGCACTTTGATCTGAAATATAGAGAAGCACAGTTAATGAATATAATAACTTGAAACATTTTAGAACCAACTAAACACAGTTACCAGACTGTTGATAAAAATACTCATCAACAGCCTTTAACAGTCCACTGCTGGATATAGGCCTTTCCTTAGAAAGGAGTTTTGGCCTACCATACCACGCTGGCCAGACGGGTTGGCCAGCGTGGTATAAACATACGTGGTATAAACATACTCATATATTTACAAATGCCGATGGGGCAACAAGGTTCTCCAATGGACACCACGTACTGGAAAGCGCAGTGTGTGACGACCGCTTACACGATGGACGGACGACCTGGTAAAGGTTGCCGGAAACCATTGGATGCAGGCCGCAATCAACCGTCCCCGCTGGAAATCATTGGGAGAGGCCTATGTCCAGCAGTGGACAAGCATAGGCTAAGGTGATGATATTTCCAAATACATATTTGTCATAAATTAATTATAATCAAACACAGAACAAATTATCGTGCTCATCACACAGTTATAAATGAATTGAATGTGTGTGTTTGTGAGTGAGTGGGAATTGTAGCTTTGGCTCAGCTTATAAGGTATCAGTGATACTTGAACGATAACATAGCATATACCTCAAAAGGAAATAAACTTCAATATAATACATTATTTCTTTTATAAGTATTAAGCGTTTACTTTCAGGGGCTTACCTGCAATCGGGATTAACCCTTTTTCTAAGGTTTGAACAGAGACTGAACCTGTTTACAAAATCGGAATATTAGCTCAACAGATCATAGAATGAAACAAAATTATAATTTAGATATTAAGTAATTTTTGTTACAAGACAAGACTCACGTCTTCCAAAAACTTTCAGTTCATTACCTTACCTTGAGAACTCTACATACGATTTCCGAGGTTGAATGCATATATCTTACTGAATCAGTCAATCCATTATAAAATATATTGATTCAACAAGTATTCAAATTCATTAATATAAAAAAGTTAATAACAGTTTTTGAAGAAACAAAGAATTATACCTGTGAAGTAACATAATTCTCCTGTTATCGTCTGACATCCATTTTCATTCTTTTCTGTAAAGAAGAATGATAAAATAATTAATGAACAAACTAATTATATGCATGTGATTATTTTTCATTTGTACAAACATATTTTAATCGTGCTTTATAACTTGTTGACATTGCACTAGCAGATTCCTCCACATTTTAAAATTTTTAGTTTAAGGGCATCTAAAATAGTTTTTAAAATGCACTTATTGTATCTGCTTTACTGCTAAAAGTTGATTAATAAAAAAATATCATTTAAAATGTTTCTCTAGAAAGTAGAGGTTTGTTTTATTCGATAACTTTTATCTGGGTTTATTTCAGAAGCTTATTATGTCACATAACGGCAGCAAGAGATCATTTCTTATCTTCAGTAAGTCTTTCTAATTTCTAATGCGTTCAACCTGATAACTTAAATTGAAATCATATTGATTATTATCAATTTCATATCTGCTTTAATTATAAGTAGTTACAGGTGCATACATTAGTAGCGTTAACTCGTAATCAATCGACTGAATCAATCTATCGATGTTTTTCGATCGACCCTTACTTACGATGCAAAAATAGTCTCGTTTCATAAAAGCCTCAAAGTGTCTTTACAGTTATTAAAACTACCTGTTTTTCCTTTGTTTGAAACAACACAAAAAACAAGTTGCATGTAAACAAAACAGATTACATGTACCTATAAGGTAGTAAATTAGTATATTTTTTTGTTCAGGGAAATAAAGTTTAAATAATAAATGAAAACAACCTGATCGAAAAGTAGTAGATCTTTTTTCGACTTTTGAAGTAAGCGTTGGTGTTTTGACAGCCACTTTAAATCCGGACATACTTTGATGAGACTTTTGTGTTCCATTATCTAAATAAAAAAAGTTTGCAGTTATTACAAATTTAATCATATTTTATTAACAAAATCTTAAAACAGAAAAGCTTAAATTAATAATATTTGTGTAGTTTATTATTATAAGGTCCTTTCCTTTTCTTTCCTATGTTGGTTAAAATCACAGCGATATTCTTTACCCGTGATAAGTTTTAGATGGAAAAGTGGAAGAGATGGCGAAAAGTGATCGTTTCTTTTCGACTCTTTTCATTTCTTCTACTTTTTCATTTTCTGTTAGACCGTTTGTATCACTCCGATTTGGGGCGGCCCATATTTGTCTGGCATACCGAGGGTTTTATTTCAGCAACTGAGGCTCGTTTTAGAAATATATGTGTTTTACCAAATATCACTAACACGATAGGTCAATTTCGTAAATATTGGAACACTGTTATATTAATTATCATATTTTCCAGACAGTAAAACTTTACACATGTTACAAAATATTTTAACAAAATAAAATTGTGAAATTATTTTTAAATACAACATAAATTATTTTTTTTGTTTGTTTGTGTAAAAATACTAATGTAATCTAAAAAAAGGACTAAGTAATAGGTTATTCCTGCGGTGATAACAATATTTTTCTGTAATATTAGACACATTAGAAGGCACTTTGATGAATGAAGCATGCAAGAACAAGGATATAGAGGTATTGTTTCATTTAAAGTATTCAAATACTATTCAGTTATTCGTGAAAAATACCTATGTTTACCTTTATAACATGCCATACTAAAATCACAGCAATTGTGCCAATATTGATTACAGTTGCAATACAGCACAATTTTTCAAGTATATTTCCAACAATTTGTGGTTCATTATTTATATTTGATATAATGTCTACATATTTTACTCACTACATAATTTAAATAATGTTATTTTTGTATTTTCACAATCCAATACTTCAACCTCAAATAATTGACTAGACACGATATTTTTTTGATTAACCAGAAATTTGTGTCAATTATAGACCGATCATAAATTTTTATTTACATATACTGGGTAAAATCCTTTTTGGAGTAAAATGATAACTAGTAAATAGTCAAGGCTGCAATTTTGTGGCAGTTTGGGTGAATTACTTAAGACCGAAGGTAATATTGGTGTTCTACATAAAAAAACTAGCTCTTAGCTACTTCTTACTTAAGTAGTAAGAAGTAACTAAGAGCATTATCATCTGCTTAAGAAAACTTTCTATTAAATTCTGTTTAAGATAAAATTCGTGCGTTCGGTTACACCGGTGAACTGCTGATCAAATATAGTAATATCGATAACCGACTCAATCTCTACGGCAGGCGAACCAACGGGAATAAGCGCTTCCCCGTGGTTACCCTAGGGTAACAATTGGGATTCGGAGGTAGGGGCGGCTGTTCTACGGATCCGTTCCAAGAACACCGCCCCTGGGCCAGACAGGGTACCGGCCCGAGTGCTGGCCCTAGCCCTCAACCACATGGCAGACCGCCTCGGGGAGGTGTTCGATGCTAGCTTGGCGTCGGGAGTGCTGGAAGAGCGGGAAGCTGGTCCTATTAAGGAAGCCGGGACGGCCTGCCGATTCGGTCGCGGGCTACAGGCCCATCGTGCTGCTGGACGAGGCGGGTAAATTGTTTGAGAGGGTTCTCTCTGCCCGCATCGTCCGGCACCTCTACGAGGTGGGCCCCGATCTGTCGGACGCCCAATTTGGTTTTCGGGCGGGGCGTTCGACAGTCGACGCTGTGTTGCGCCTGAGGGCCGTGACCGAAGAGGCCGTGAGCTGTGGCGGCGTGCTGTTGGCGGTGTCATTGGACATCGCCAACGCATTCAATAGTCTGCCATTCAGCTGCATCAGGGAAGCACTCCACTATCATGGGGTGCCAAAGTACCTGAGGCGGCTAGTGGCAGACTATTTAGAGGAGCGTACCGTCGTGTACGAGGACCGAGAGGGTAATTTGAGGTGTCGGCCCATGTCGTGCGGTGTTCCACAGGGGTCTGTTCTTGGACCCCTCTTGTGGAACATAGGGTACGACTGGGCCCTTCGAGCCGATTTCCCCCCCCGGGCTGGGTGTAATTTGTTACGCAGATGACACTCTGGTGACAGCCCGGGGGGCGAACTTCCAAGAGGCGGTGCGCCTGGCCACAAGGGGAGTCTCCCTGGTGGTCGGGCGCATTGAGGCGCTGGGCTTACGGGTGGCCCTAGATAAGACGGAGGCCCTGTTATTTCATGGGCCCCGTCGTGGTCCACCCCCTGGCGCCTCAATCGTGGTCAACTCGGTCCTCGTACCGGTTCGGGCCCAGATGAAATATCTGGGCCTGATCCTCGACGTGCACTTCCGACAGCTTGCTCCAAAGCTGGTCGGCGCTGCGTCTGCCCTAGGGCGACTTTTGCCCAATTTGGGTGGACCCAGCGTCGCGACAAGACGGCTGTAAACGGGGGTTGTCCGGTCAATGGCACTATACGGTGCACCGGTGTGGGCGGCGGCTCTGACCGCCCAGAATAGGGCACGCCTCTGGCGCCCTCAGAGGGTAATGGCGGTCAGAGCCATACGCGGTTACCGCACCGTGTCAACGGAGGTGGCGTGCGCGTTGGCCGGAACTCCCCCGTGGGATTTGGAGGCGGAAGTGCTCGCCGAAGTTTATCGGCGAGTGACTGACTCCCGAGCGGAGAGCGGATTTCGCCCTCCGCCCGAGGATGTGCGCGAGTGGCGCGAAGCCGCTCGCCGAGCCACGATGGCTCGTTGGTCGCTCCGTTGGTCATCGCCGAGTGGGCAGGGCGGCAGCACGGGACCCTTACCTTCCGGCTGACGCAGGTGCTTTCCGGGCACGGTTGCTTCAGAAAGTACCTGCACTCGGTCGCTAGGAGGGAACTGAGTCCCGCCTGCCACCACTGCGACTGCAGTGAGGACTCGGCCCAGCACACGCTGGCGGTCTGCCCCGCATGGGCGACGCAGCGCCGGGCCCTCACTGCAGTCATCGGAGTGCATCTCTCGCTACCGGCCGTAGTACGCTCCATGGCCGGTAGCGACAGTTGTTTTACCGCGGTCGCAACCTTCTGCGAGGAAGTAATCTCGCAGAAGAAGGCGGAGGAGAAGGCCCGGGAGGACGACCTCCACTCGGACAAGATCCGCCGCCGGCGAACCGGGCGGCGGAGGCGCGCCTATCACCGCCTCATGCCGCCCTGAGTGTGGCCGCGGGTGGACGGGGTGGGTTTCCCCTCCACCCGCATTAGTTTGGCCAGCCGCGAGGGGACGGCGTCCGCGTGTGCCGGACGTCGCCTAAAGAGAGGAAAATTTTGAGACGGAGCCCGCACCAGGAGCGGGCTGGCGCTAGGAGGGGTCCGGATGTCTTAATAACAGCTGTTCCCGGATCCCTCCTGTTACAGGCGCAGAGTGGCACACCGTGTGGTTTTAGTCGGTCCGAGTCCGACACACCACCCCGCCGCAAACCCCGGTGGGGTGACGGTCCGAGGGGATTTCCACACGTTAAAAAAAAAAAAAAAGGGTAACAATTGGTTGAAACCATGGGAAAATGAGTCATTAAATTATGTAGGAAAATACAGCAAGAAGTGTTTAGAGATTTCTATTTCTTTAAACTCACTGTCGTTTAAACTTTGAATTACCTTATGTACCTACTTTTTAACTTTTCATGACAACTTAACTGATTATTTCACCAGTTAAGCACACTAAAGGAATAGATATTTGTAACATTGCACATTGTCAAACTCTCAAAAGTTTCTCAATTATATATAATAACTGCACGGATGGCGTAGTGGTTTAAGCGATCGCCACGCCGCTTTCTACTACGCTGAGTGTTGTGGGTTCGATCCCCGAATGGGACGACACTTTGTGTGATCCAGAAATTGTTGTTCTGAGTCTGGGTGTTCTTTGTGTCCGTTTAATGCATGTTTGTGAAGTCCAGTGCGGGAGTAGTCTTTTATATATATAAAAAAAAATCAAGGCATCATTTAACCAACATTTATGTTTTTTTATGTGTGACATCTTTCCTCCTGCTCTACTTCAAGCTGTGGAAGCGATTTCATGACAATGGACGGAAATGTGTAACCAGATGACAGATTAGTGCGTGCTACTCAAATTGACCAATGAGCGCGTGCCTTGCTAGAGTTAGCTTTGATATCTCATATGTTTACACAACAGACGCGACTACTGTATGGCTAGTCTAGTTATTCTTTATTGATATAGGAGGTAACCGAGCAAACAGATCGCTGATGATAAGTGACTACCACCGTTCATAGACATCTGTAAGTTAAGAGTCTGTTCTCAAAACTCGTCCCAATGTTCAGGTCTGTGCGAAATGAAATGCGTTATGAAAAAATATTAAGATAAAATCGTACTTACCATAGAACAAGATAAGACACACTTTAGTTACTTGGCTAAGTCAAACGGTGTTCGTGTTATGCAACATTCATATACAAATATAGAACGAGACGCGTCACGCGTGTCGCCCTACCAGAGTTTAATATTTAAAGTATAGCAGTTTCGCTTATAAGAACGAAAGATTCTACAAATTAAAACTACATTTTGGAGACCCTTTTTTTAGACAATTTTTCTTGGATTTACTATCTCACAATAATATAACTCTAATATTATGAGTATTCCTGTAGGTACAAGCCTGTTGAATTCATTTTTGTTTGTAGATTTAAGAATGCATTTAATTAATACCATCATATGCAATATTGAGTAATGTTTAAAGTAGTAATAAAATAGTGGATTATGAAAGGTCATGTAAACCTTGGAAAAACCACGTAAGAAATATCGTAAAATAAATAAAACTATATTTTACTTATTGCCACAAGTAGTAGATTAAGGTATTCTGTAGTTAAAAAGAGCTTGTGGGACCTTTAAAAGGGCTGTTTAAACCAATTCTTCAATTTAAGAACGGGCGCTTCAATTTAATTGCAATTTTATACCGGTTTCTTACCTCAACTGTTCTCTATGATCTCATTAAGTTGCTTAACACCATAACATAGAAATCATATTTCAATACGAGCTGCCTTGAGTATTATTTTACCGTTTATATTTAAACCGTTCAAGAGGTTCTAAGTCCCTTTGTTACAGAGATTGTGTTATCACTTCTTCATGTATGTATGAATTGCTAACCATCACTATCAGTAATATCTCATCATCAACCTATCGCCGTTCACTGCTTTTGCCTCCCCCAAGAAGAGCCAACTATCCCGGTCTTGGGCAGTACGCATCCATTCACTGTCAGCCACTTTCTTCAAGTCGTCGGTCCGTTGCACCTCAGGGCGCCCTACACCACCTTTGCCTAATCGCAGTCTTTACTCTAGCACATTTAGGCTCCAGTGACTATCAGTCCGTCTACTCCGTCCTTACTGATTCTCTGTGCGATGTCGGTTACTCTAATTCTCTGTTGAATAACTTCGTTACGAATTTTATCAGCTAGAGTAACACAACAATATTTCATGTCTAAGCAATGGATTGTTCCAATAAAATGTTTTAATAAAATGATGCTGTATTGAGGACTTCTTCAAGTTTAGGTGCTGTAAGAGACACTAAGAATCTTGATGTCCACTTTATTATACATAAAAGGCATTTCTTTTGTTACCTTCTACGTAATAAGAAGTATAACATTCAAATGCTTACCTTTATTACGACAAAGTTTGTAGTATGTGATGTTATCATTTTTTCGTCCCGTTGATTTTGATGAGTGCTTTGGTGTGGGTGATGCATCCAATTCGGTTCCTATTGAGTAGGAAATGTCAAATTAGGATGTATTAATAAATCGTATTCCTGGTAATATAGAAAACAGCGTTAGTAAAATAAGAAACATAAACTAGCTTATAACATTACCCGTAGCTTCGTTCGAGTAAATGTTGTTCTTTTTTCTGTCGGTTGTATTATATTTTTTGAATTTATTTTTTCCCTTTTCCCCTAATTATTTAACAGACATGGTCACGAAGTGGTTATAATTACCTCATAGCAAAACATTATTTAAGATCTATCTATCATAGAAACTTTAGCTATATTGTACAGAGTTCTCGCTTTCACCGAGAACATTATTTTGTCGTAAGCTTCGTTCCGGAGACACTCCATTAAATATGATGTACATCTTCTACTTTGTTACATATTGAGTAGTTGGGGGAATCGACAATTAAATGTGCGAAGCTGTTTAGTGGGATGTGTAAGGAACGAAGTCTAAGAGCCATGACCATGTCTGACCTACTCATATTAGCATGATCAATCAAGGTATGTAGTATAGTAGGTTGAATGGTTTCGTACCAAATACCTTAAGTTAGCGATTATTTACCGAAATGTTCTGACCACAGTAGGAATAAATCAAAATAATATGGCAAAATCTAAACAGTCAACGAGAGATTCTGTAGCCAATCTGTGAACTGCCTCAATCTCAGTCAATCCAATATGTGCAGGTATCCACTGCAGTGTACGTAGAGCTTTGTACAGCGTGTAGAAATAATATTTTCTTGAATGCTTACTTTTTTGAGATAGTTACTTATTTGGACTGCCGTATCGATATTATATTATCATATATGTATTTAGACATATAGAATACCATAGCACAGGCTCATTTTATACATTTAGGTATATACATTTTATATCACCAAATTATACATAAGATTCTAAATAGTTTTTTTTTGAAAATTTATGTTACCTTGATCGTTAACATCTGTCCATGTATCTTTGGTTATTTTCACAATTGTATTGTTTACTGTTGGCGTGTTTGTGGCGGCATAGTTTAGTGAAATGACATCTAATCCTGAAAATACTTGTTTTTTAGACGAGGCAATTTCGGCTCTGACAACGTCTAAATTTCTTCTTTCAGAAGAATCGAGAATAGAATCAAGTATGCAAATTTAATCGATGTTACTTTTATAATTAGTATACCTTTAACTACATCAATTCAATTATAATCACATTGCGAACAATCTATCCCTATTGTTGGTATTTATAACTAAATTTGTGATATAAATTTTTGAAACATGCGATTTTCTAACTTTTATTATAAAGTCAATACCTGAACTATGTTTCGATGTTTGCATATTAACGGCTTTCATTTCAGTGTGGGTTCTCTCGACTTCCTCGATAGACTTTCTGTGACCAGAGCCTGAAAATATTTTAGATTATTCTATCTGTTTATATTTTGTTACATTTCTTTTTATAAGGGAAAGATGGATCATTTCGTCTTTTGTGCAGAAGTAAGATAGCCTAAAACTAATTTAGTAATAAACTTACAAATGTTTTAGAAGAGCGATTCGTATCGGCCCTAAAAAGATCTGCTTGATTGCACAATATAAATTCTTTATATTAAAAGTCATTCTGAAGGACAAATATTTATTTGTTGCAGCAACTTTTACCTGAACACATATATCCCACGTTATCAGAATCTAGTAAAGTTGACACCTGGTTAGAAATATTTCTGCAGTTATAGCTGCAGCTACATTTACTGCTGCATTCGTCGATTAAAGAACTTAAATTTTGCGTATCTGAAATAAATAATAAGCACTTGTAAATAACTGGTGGCTTTCAGCACCATCTGTCATATCTATAAATGGACTTCTAACAATACTAGCTAAAAACCTAGCAGCAATCGCGATTGATTTGCTGTCTTTTTCTGAAAAGTTCCGTTGTAGTTGTAGTAAAGGGTAAGTAAGTAAAGATAAATCGGGTTTTTTTAGAAATCAATATGTAAAATCCAGACTCGAGTTGGGTTTAAACAACGACGAAGCAATTCGAGAAAAGGTAGGTCTTGGCGGAGGCACTACCATGCCCCAGATATTTGAGAAAAAAATATCGTAATAACGAACATGTGTCTTATTTACCTACCTAATATTGATACAATACTAATTAAAAAACTGTAAAAAAAATATTTTCATTGTATGAAACTGTCCCTATCATTTCTCTGTGTACCGAGAAGTGGTATAATGTTCATTCATTCACACATTTTTTTTAATCAAATTGTAATTAAGCAGTATAAAATGTAAAAATGTACCTGTTGTCTTATCCAAATCTTCATCATAATTCATATTTTGTATAAAACTTCTTACTCTGTCAGCGCTTGCTGTAGTAGTAATATTTTCTGAAAAATATAGTATGTTTTATAATAATAATTGTACTGTATAGCCAGGGTCTAGATAGTGGATCTAATTTCTACTTTTTATTCGGTTCACTATTAATTCATGTTTTTTTTTGTATTTTTACTACTTACTACCATTAATTATTTTTACCTATATAGTTATCAGAAGTTTTTAAACCAATGGATTCCATCAGAGGTTTTTCTTTACTATCAGGTTGCGCACGTAATAAATCTGAAAAGCACAGATGATTATAATAACGAAAATACTATACAAATTTATAACAAGCAATCGAAACAAAGATTCTGAATCTCTGTCTGTCTCAAAAATGATTTCTTTAACGAGGTATTGACCAACCAGCAAGTTTTTATAGATTAGCTGCAGACATAAAAATCACACTGTTTTAAACATTAAACGCTCCGACTTTATCTTTTTAATTTTAGTCCCTCTAACTTAATAGCGGGTATACTATATAAGCAAGTGGGACTTACAAACGGGCAATGTAGGAATTAGATGGGAAACTTTTGGAGTATATTGAAAAGAAAGGTAAATAGGAAGAAGTAAGAAAGAGATATTGCTTATATGCATGTATATGCTGGATTGGAGAGAGTAAGAAATAGCTCTTATAATAATAATTCTTGATTCGAACTGGTTGTAGCTTTTAAGCCTAATGTTTTTAATAGCTCTTCTTATGTTAAATAAATCCTCTTCAGATCTTGTTTGTTTTCTATTTGCTCATGTTTTTTGTTGCTTAAGTCAAAAACATTAAAATGAAATTAGAAATAAATTAAATTAGAAGGTTAAGGTTAAGGTTTAATTTAAATCAGAAGGTTGTCAAATGTCTTTTGAAACTAAGATCTATGAGAGTTCTATATAAAAATGCTTTACCTCCTTCACCAGAAGTTTGAACTTCAACAAAACGTATTAAACTCGTCACTTTGCCAACTGGTGGATCGTTTTGAAGTGTTTCTGAAATATATATACATTATGTATTTACCTTAATAAAAAATATTTAGTAAAATTGAAATAATAGTATTTTTTTTTATTAAGAATTGAAGCGAAATATTTGGCTGAAAAGTATTGTCACGACTCTAATTTATGGTTTATATTCTGTTTCGTGGTAAAATATTTTTTTAGAGTTAACGTTAGTTAATGTTTTATAAGTTATGTACATATAATATGTGTGTAATTATGAAGGAAGATATGTGTGTGTAATTATGAAGTGTGTTTTAAAATTACATTTAAAAAGAATCACAAAAATAATATGAACTTTGTTTCACGACTATAATTACTAACCTAACCTAACAAAAACCCATTTTACATTAAATTATTGTTATTCCTTTTATTATTTGTATTTCTAATTAATATGTGAATAAAAAATGGGGTGCTTTAATTCAATAAAAAAATACTCCTTATAAAACTACTTATGTATGTGTCACAGTATGTGTCTACATACTGTGTGTACATACTATGTGTCTTGTAAATATGATTCTAGATATTTCAAAAGCTTATGTTTTGAAAAAGATGTAGAATTTTATTGTATTACCTGATTCTTCATTTGTATCCTCAACCTCAGCAGTTTGTATTGTACCTTCTTCTTTTTCAACTTCTGCTGTATTTAAAGGCTGTGTTTCTAAAATATTATACGACATTAAAAATGATGAGGTTTTGTAGTAGGTTGATTATAGTCAAGTCAAATCAGTATCTCTTTATTAAATTTCAAACGTGTAAAGTTAGTATAAAGTACTTTATACAATTAATGAAATTCTATGCCATGACGTTATACGTAGATATTGTCAAAATAATCATAATAACACATTTTCTGTTGATGTGAAGATATAAAAACATTAAATTGATAATAGATGACAATTTAGCCTGTACTTTAGGTTAGATTGAATGATTACAGCGTGAATAAAACCTAAGGGCCCTGAGGGAGTTTGAATAACACACATGCACAAATACTAACTGCATATATTTTGTCACAAGAGGGCACTGTGACGATTTACAATAACATAATATAATACTGCTCCCAAAGAATCGCACTGAACAATTAGACATTATATTAATCGATTGTGATCGAAACCATAGCGCGATCGAAATTAAATGGTTACGCCATCTATGGAGCTATGTGACATTTTGGTTCTGATTGTTCACAACTTTTAAACCCAAAAACGGCGAACACTAAACAGCAGGTATAAGTTTTTAACGCTGTAATAAGATTAATAGTGAATTTAATAGCAGGTAGGGTAACTATAACCATTTATAGGGTGAGTGTGCTTGTTTGTCATTTTAATAGTACATTGAGAAACATTTGTTTTTTTGATTAATTAAAGGTTACCTGCGTTATTTAAAGTTTCGTTGTCGGAAACTTTTATTAAACTAGTTCCCGTTTCCATGAATGTAGGTAGTACTCCTAAAACATTTAGAAATAGTATATTATGTGAACATATAAAGCATCGGCAAGTCGATGTATTATCGTATACTTATATTGTAAGAAGATCGCTTTTTATGATCTTTAATGACATATGAAAAAACTGGAACGGCCATGTATTTGTAAAAATCTAAATCAAACTCAAATTTTGAGTCTGACAATGCTAAAATCGGATTATTTTATATCCCATTGCAGTAATGCATCGTCACTTTATCAATAATCTATGACGCTAGTTGTGGACAGTTTTTTCACGACACGATAACCTCTAGAAGTAACTGTCTTCCTCAGCAAATAAAACGAGGTTTAGCCATTTTTATTGTCTAAATTTGAATCTACCTATAATGTAAAGGTTTGTTCATACCATTAAATGATATTAATAATATATTCTACCACATTCACACAACGCCATCTACTCGTAGTCACAAACTAAGCAGAGCTTGTACTATGGCTACTAGACAACTGATATAAATACATATCGACGCCCTCCGCGAATAATCCGGTAATCGTTCAGGAAAAATAAAAAAACATTTTTCCTTAATAACTCTATTAAACAACAAGTATCAGAGACTTTTTATATCGCATATGGAAGCTAATTTTTTCAGCTATCTGGTTATTTCAACAAAATTAAAGTAGTCCCAAGGGCTTCGTTATAATTTAGCTGGATGCATTTTACTATATTAGTGTAGGTCAAGCTCTGGTCAGTAATTGCACTTACGATATTGTTCGTGTAAATTTATATTTTCGACGGCAACAGTAAAATCTTGTTGCGATATTATTCGTGTAAATTTATATTTTCGCTGGCAACGGTAATATCGTGTTGCGCTATTATTCGTGTAATTTGTTTACTTACTGAACATTTGTAAAAAGTAATAATTAGGTTATTCGATTGTTTAACAGTAACGTACATTTTATTGTTTTGACTATTACTGTTTATTCGAATAGTTTACTTAAGTATTATTTGATGATTATTATAGTATATTTTATGAAATAAAGGACATTCTAGTAAATGAAACAACTTTGGTTAGTTTGACAAAACACGATAGTTATTATTATCATAAAAAATAGACACTGCACTGAAGACAAGACTATTACACATGGTTACACAATCATGAAAATAATAATAAGGTCCTATTACAGTTGAAAATCTTAATCAGAATCCTCATCGTGACCTGATTCAATATCACAGAAGCTTAAATTCCTATAAAATGGTTGATAATGGTGGGGAATTGCTTGGGAGTTACACAGGTTTATTTTGAATGTACCACAGTCTGAAGTGTCAGTTTTCCACTAGATACAAACATAATAATAATTAATAATAGTAATAGTCTTAACAGTAATAGTCTTAACAATAAAATGTTACATAAATAAGGTTGAAAACTATTTACCCGAATAATATCGTAAAGAAATTTTACTGTCAAATCATATTGATATTTTTTTTCGTAAAGATCTAAAACCATATTATTCGTTTAAAATACATTTTAATGATTTTTTATGGAATATACGCGTAGTTTTTCATATCTTCGTAAAAAAAGATAGAAAAAATCTGAAAAAAAATTACATGGTGTATTTTAACTTCTAGATGCCGAAAAACGCATAACATGAAAAACCCCGTAATAAGTCATTACCGGATTATTCGCGGGGGACGTCGATATATACTATTTTTTTTTATAAATACATACATATTATACATAGAAACACCCAGACCAAATCAAACATTAAATGTTCAAGCACACAAATGTTTGACTTGAGCGGGAATCGAACCCGCGACCTTTGGAATAGCAGTCCGTTACACAAACCACTATGCCATCCGGTCGTCAAATAATAATATATTCATAATTATATTTTAATTTTATGATGTAATTATGTAGTTAGGAAGTTAAGGAGTATATTTTTTTATTGAATACTAAACGAACTTACCCGAATAACTGAAAGAAGTTTCTGTCTCAATAAACTGTGTTAAACTTGTTGCCGTTTGAACATTTATGGTGTTTATGGGCAGTACTACTGAAATTAGTAGAAGTAAGATTTTTTTACTTTAATCAGTCGTACGGTAACCAATTACCTACATTAAATAACCTAACATAATTTCAAGTAGGGATTTCCAAAGTGGTCGATATCGACCCTTGGGGTCAAAATCGGTTTCCCAGGGTTCGACATAAACGAAAACTGAAAAACGACCCCAATTAATTAACACAAGTTCTTATTTAAAACTTTCCAGATACAGTATTCGTTGTGTTACGAGTACCGACATGTTTTAAGAGTTACTAATATTTTAGTAGGAATTATCATTGTTGTACTTTTAAAAAACTCAACAAGTCGATAAGCATGCAGTAATTTGGCTATGGGGGTCTGAGCTATCAGTTTATTTTAGAAAATGGGGTCTCTTCACAAACATATTTTGTAAATCCATGATTTAAAGCATACTGATTACAAATATAAGTAGTATGCAAACTATCCCAGTCAAGCAGTTCATTTAAGATAAACTCAAACTCACTCTTATTTCATTTTTTTTTAAATGTTTGATAGCAGGATGTAAGTGGCTCGTGTACTTTTACGATCTAATCTAGGTCTATCCATACCCCTACCACCCAAACCCCCTTTAAGGTTTTATACCTTTAAAGATTTGGTTTTTAATCTATTTACATGTATTTTACAAATCATAATCTTTTTTTCTACCAGCACTTCGACTTAAATGGTCTGTTATAAAGAAGTGCCGCAAGAAACTCAACAACAAAAAAAAATGTAAACAAAATGTAATATAAAATTAACGTAAGCAAAACAATATATTCACAAATTCTTGTCATTTAAATAATCTTGTACTGTGTTGAAAACTTTTTCATCGGACCTAATTTGGTTTGTTGCGAATTTTTTGTTGAAAAAGCCAAACAGTTTTTTAGAGGGGTTTTAGAGAATAACATGGTCCAATATGTATATATATAAATCAATTATGTCGCAAAGAATCAATAACATTAACTCTACTGATACCTGAAATTTGATCAGAAGTTGCTACATCCACCGGTTGTAATAAGCTTGTTGATTTTTCAATTTTCGCCGGTTTATTAGTTATTATTTCTGAAATATTACAAATAATAATAATATAAATTATTTAAAAAAAATCTATCTTATCAATCGTCATTTTTGCTATGGAGACGGTTTGAATTTTTCTTTCTAATACAATTTTTAATATTGTATATGTATAAAAACAAAACATTACCTGAATAATTTCCAGAAGTTTCCATATTCATTAAGCTTGTTGCTTTTTCAACATTTATAGTATTCTTAGGTATTAATTCTGAAACATATAAATATTATATAAATTTCTAATTCTAAGGAATGGGCGGTTATAAATTAACATTAATATTACTTTTTACTGAAAATCTTTAACTTGACAGTTTAAATCTGTCAGTCTAAAACTTTTCAATAAGATTTAATTTTGTATGAATGATATTATATTGTGTGTTGAGTGCACGGATGGCGTAGTGGTTTAAGCGGTCGCCACGCCGCCTACTACTACGTTGAGTGTTGTGGGTACGATCTCCACACGGGACGTCACTTTGTTTGATCCAAAAATTGTTGTTCTGGAGTCTGGGTGTTCTTTGTGTCCGTTTCATGTATGATTATGACACACAATATATTCCTAATGCGGGAGTTGTCTTTTTAAAAAGAAAAATAAATGTAATAAAGTTGTTTTGTATCTATTTAAAATTACCCGAAGTTTGGACATCAGCAAAACGTACGAAACTTGTTGCTCTTTCAACGTTTATAGTTTTAATAGGAAGGTCTGAAAGAATAAAATAAATTATCAATAGCCTCATGTAATAAAACTACATACAAAACTAAATACAAATATTTAAAATGTAAATAGATTAGATTACCTGGGTCCGCACCACAAGTTCCGACATCCACAGGTCGTACGAAACTCGTTGCTATTTCAATGTTTGCGGGTTTCACAGGGTGTTTATCTATAATGTAAACTTTCTTTTTAATACAGTCACGTTCAGGGTCGGTTCACATCATCACATCACATCAACAGCCTATAATAGTCCACTGCTGGACATAGGCCTCTCCTTAGAAAGGAGGTTTTGGCCTACTATACCATGCTGGCCAGACGGGTCGGTTGAATTTGAGGAACCAGCTACTTCTTCTCTCTGTGTTATACTCATTTTTGTTATTGAGGAAATATTATTGTTGATGATAGTGCAAATCGTTATGGATATGTTTTAGTAACATCTCATTTTTAATGCTCCTAAGCTTTCCATGAAATTTACTTTTTAGATTAAACGTATTAAACATTAAAAGCTGTATTTGAATTTTCATTTATATACTGTAATATAGTAATTTAGGAAAAAACCTAAAATGATGTACGAACATTTACAACGTAATGAAGTATGTTTTAAGTTTTAGTGAAAAAATTCATCATCACATCACATCAACAGCCTTTAATAGTCCACTGCTGGACATAGGCCTCTCCTTAGAAAGTGAAAAAATTAAAGCACTTAAAATCAAGTTCTGAATTAAAGAGAAAAATTCATTCAAATATTGCAATTTACCTGAATATTTAGAAGTTATAACATCAACAAAGTGTACTAAGCTTGTTGCTATCTCGACATTTGTTCGACACTTTCGAAGTTTTTCTGAAATATAATATATGTAATATATATATTGTTCACGATATTTACGTACTGAATTACAAATACTAACATTAAATACCCAAAAATAAATACTCGGCAGCTCCCGCGTGTATATTATAGTATTCTATCACATTCTACTACATTCACACATCGCCATCTAGTCCCAAACTAGGCAGAGTTTGTACTATGGGTACTAGACAACTGATATAAATACATACATATTATACGTTTCTATGTAAAAATCAAACATTAAATTTTCATGCACACAAATATTTGGCTTGAGCGGGAATTGAACCCGCGAACTTTGGAATAGCAGTCTGTTAAACAAACCACTACGCCATCCGTATGTCAGTAATCATGTTAAAAATAGTCTAGCATGTGCTATACAAGATTACTTTTCCCGTGGATTTTATCAGGGATAATTTAACAGTAAAATAACTTTCAAAATCGGGTCCGTACCACCGGAGATTATCACCAACATACAAATTCAGAATCTTTACCTCTTAGAATATTACTATAGATTTGAAATTATAGAATAGAAGAATAATATAATGAATACAGTTAAATAAATGAATAAAAACTATCCAAAAATATGTCAAGAAGTTCTAGCTAACTTTCAAACGTTCATACATAACATAACCTTTATGAAACCTACAAAAATTATGGGAACAAATTATTTGGGTTTGTAAATGTATTAACGTTTTGGTTTGTAAATGGGTTAACGCCTGTTTCAATAATCATTTTTACGCTACGTTGAATCCATACTTTCATACTTATGATTGTTAAGCTTTTAGGCCCAAACCAGTAAACAGAATTTAAACATTCTTTCACCAATGGAAAGTTACGTTATATAGCTTAGTTTTTATTATAATGTACCTGAATTTGTGTGTGATGTGTCTCTTCCTATAGCTGCAGATTTGGAAGGCAGAGTTTCTGAAAAGACAGCGATATAAGAAAGCTAAACATTTATTCAGAAACAAGCCGTTTTTTTCAACAACAATAGTAATATTGACGTCTTGTCATTTGTGTCTTAATTAACTCTTCCCATTAAGCTAAATACTTGTACAAGTTAATCACAGAGACTGTAATTCAAAGCGAAACTTCTTTATTGTAGTTCTAAAACTTTAATCATTACCCTACTGACAGTGGAGTAAATTATTTTGGGGACAGAAAACATATTTTTTTATTACCGTTGAAAAAAGTTTTGGACTGGTTTCACATGATGAATAAAAATGATTATTAAATAATGTGAGAGATCTATGCTTCGGTATAAATTATAGGAACGATTTCAAGCAATTCCTTCGTAGCTTTACATAACCGGCGATCCCAGATCCGCCCGTCCCTTAATCTTAATGGGCAGGATACTAGAATCTCGAATGAGTGAGTTTAGCGGAGGACCAAGGCCCCTCCTCTCCTTCCTAACATCGTGGGGCGACCCTGAAAATGCGGCAAAGTACTTGCTTACCATGAGTGAGTGAGGTTAGCGGAGGACCAAGGCCCCTCCTCTCCTCCCTAAATCGTGGGGGTCACACTAAAAATGCGGCAAAGGACTTGCTTCTCTTGAGTTACAGGTGCCCATGAGCGACGATAGCCACTTACCATCAGGTGACCATCAGTGCGTTTACCCCTACACCGTTATAAATCCCAACCTTTCAAATTAACAATAAATAGGTACTACTAAAACAAGAATGAGATGGCAGCGTTACAATAAGACTTAAAAGAAGAATACTCTTTACCTTCGTACTGGCAGCACTTTTCTTCTAGAGGACTATGAATTCCGTGGCTTGCATTCCACAGTACGTTATCACTTGCTCCTATAGATACGAGTATTTTTGTGGGAGACTCAAAACAGGAAATATTTTTTGATTCTGGCGCCATATGTAGTGTATTTACAGGACGAGATGTAAGAGCTGTGATACAAAAAGATAGAAGAGATGTGAAGTGAGAGCACTTACACGTGAGAGTACTCTCACGTGTAGGTGCTTAAAGTGTTCAAGCAATCTTCGCTATGGTTTATGATAGCTAGTTCAAGACTTTATATTTCCGCAAACTGCTTGTATGTTTAATATTGTCTTTTTTCAATGTTTACAAGTCATATTTTAAAAGAGTCCTCGGCACCTGAACCGATTTTCCCTTTTGAATTTATTCGATCTATCGACATCAAAACGGCGAGAGAATACATTGCCTACAAAGCCCAAAACCTTAATTGCTGATATTGCTAATCGGATTACCTATTCAAAAAAATATTTTTTTTTACTATTTTCTTTTGCATAAATCGTAAAAAAAATGTTCAGAAACATTACAATTGGAGGTATTTCATAGGGACGTTCCTTAACTATAATTCTACTGGCCTAAATATATATGTAGTTAAAAAAATAAGAATGTTTATTTAGAAAATGTGCCCAGTTGACCACAATAGCGTTACCCTCTATTTCCAAGGGGGACTAAAACAATAATCAACAAAATTTCTACCTCTTTGGGAAAAACACTTAAGTCTACAATACACACACAAAACTATTAACAATACTAATGCTCACTTGAGTTGTACAGAAAAGGAAAGACAGGTGCGCTGAAGTATCTCGGGTCTCGGGTGATGGGTCCTGAAAGTGCGATTTATCGATACTTATCTATCGTTTTTTTTTTGTTAATATAATAATGTTTACATTTTCTTTAATTTTTATGTCAATGCATTTTATAATAGCGAAATGGTGACTAATTCAGTTATACTAAAGTGTCATAAAGTAACAATTATGCGTTAGTTAGGTTAGGATTAATTTCCCTTTTTTATTTAATATTGTTACAGCTAAAAAGTAAAGAAAGTAAGTTAAAAAGCCAAAAAGTAAAGTATTGAAAAGGTGTATTTCTCGAGAAATGTTTGTCAGAAGGGATGGGCACTTAACCGTCATTAAAGTGTGCCACTACAACATGATTTAAGCAATCCAAAAATACTATTAAATAAAGAAACAATTACCAATATCCTGCAATGAAGCTATAGCAGAGTTTGCAGTGGACTTCAATGCCATCAGCTGGTAGTCTGTGCCTAAAACGCAAAATTGAGTCATTCTTCCGCGAAGGAAATATTTTTAAAGGTTTATGTGACACTGTACTTAACGGACAGGTTGCACATAGTATGTAATTGTAAGATCATTCTAAGAAAAATAAGGAAATGGTACTATAAGTAATATTTTTTTTAAATTATTAATTCTAAAGAATAAATGACAGAGTTCAAAAAATGCACTGCGTTATTACATAGTAATATATAATTATTTATAAACCTGTTTCCTGGCTAATAAGAGAGTTGGTCTGTACAACAGCATCTTCCCAAATAACAGAGTGTTGCAAAAAATGCATCAGTAAATCTGAAATGATATTTATAGATAAAAATATTAAATTATCCAAATACTTAAGTATATAGATTAGAAGATGAAGATGAAACTTATGAACTTATGAAGTCTCGTTTGAAGACTATATTTTAAGGTCGTTCAATTAAAAATGTTTATTTTAAACTAAACCTATAATATTAATTCTATTCACAAAAAAAACTCCTAACATAGCCATTTAACTATCTTTTTTATTGGTTTAATTTGGCACACGGTATTTGAATACACAAGACAAAATATGTTTACTTTGTGTGTAGACAGAAACAAAAAAAATAGACAGATTATTAATAGTAGATTCGTACCTAATAATCTGTCTATTTTTTTTTATTCATACATTTTTTTCTAATAGCAGGCGGCCACGAAGACCAGTGTGTCCAGTTAGGTTGAGTAGATTTGCACATAAAGTTCCATCGTCGGCGGTAGACACGACGGTACGACGGATGCCATCGCCAACGTGGTATGATTCTGGGTGCTACAAACATGAAATAAGACTTTTAGACTGGATAGATTAAATATGAAAAAGATTTAACAAACACAGAAATATGATATTTGAATCTTCACAGTTATAATTATTTATGTTATTTAAGAACACTGAAGAATGGTTCAATTTTGTGTTCGAGGCTCAAAAATAAAGTTCTATTGCTTGAGTCGTCTTTAAAAAGCGATAGATTTTCAGGCTTGAAAATCGAATTTACTTATCTAAGATTTTATTAAATATGCCAATGTAGTCTAAGCGAGCACTCAGACTTAATTAAACTATGTCGTGCGTTCGATTTTCTACAATTCCATATTCTTGATCTTCTCATGAAATTTGTATTCTCTTCTACCTCTAATTGTGATGGTAATCGTGATTAAATCTAACCTTTGAATCTGTTACTTGGAAATTTTCTATATCTTGAGCTTCTACGATGGTCACTGTGGCCCAAATAGTAAGGAACGCGTGAGTGACGGTCTGGTACGCTATTTTCAAGACCTGTAAACAAATAATATCGTTTTACTTAACCACTGAATATGAGTTAAAAACCCTACTTCCAATTAGTCCACGTTATCCGTAATAGATTTCGATAAAATAGAACACAATACTTGTTAATGTAGAATTAAATTACGTTGGCAATTCAAATTGTTTTTACTTGAATCTCGATGACATTCTGCGCTCCTGTCACTGCGACACCGCCACGCTTCCGTGCCTAAGTATATATTATGTGGAGGTGATGGTTCTGCCCGATGCAAGCTTGACTGGTTGTGAGCACCTAGCTCTTCCGAAGTTTCTATAGTCCCCGTAAGTGGCAAATTGTCCTGGATGTCAATGATGGTATTGTTGCTACTAAATTTGGAATCCAATCCTAAAAATGAAAAAATAGTAATGGTTAAACATCGCATTGATTATTTCTGGAGATTTTGTTCTAACGTCTATCTCTAGTTTCAGCAAAAATATAATATTGAAAAGATAAAATTACTTTAATTCTTTATTAATTTGCCGTATAATTTCAACCAGTGCATTGTAAATATTTTAACATATCGAATGGCTTATTACCTTCCATTGCTTCAAAATTTGTAGTTTTTTGCAGAATCTCAGATAAATATTCGGTGTATGACGGCACAGCCATATCTTCGACAGCTCGTACTGAATCACTACCATGTGAGTTGTAGTATTTGACATCTAGATAAAATACAGTAAAAACCATTATTTTTTCGTAAAAATATCAATCCGCACTAAAGGCGCACTTAGTGCATTATTTTGCGATAGTTTTTTTTTTTCAAATTTTATAGGTATATGGCGTCGTCATTTAATACGATTATCTCAATGTAATGACAGTACATACATGATTATGGTTTAGTGATTTTTATAACAATATTTTCTAACTATAATGAGAAATTAAACAAAAGGATTCGTATAACAGATTTACATACCTACAATTGTACGTTTATTTCTAGTGATTATTAATAAGTTAGAAATATTCTTAGTTTTTATGCCAACCTGGTTTTGTGTTGCCAGTACATTTATCAATGACATTAGTATTCCTAAGTTTGGCTTCATGGTCATCCTTTTCTGGAGATTTACATATAACAACTGTAGATTGGTTGCTTATAATTGAAACAGTATCTGGAATTTTGCAAAAGTGAACATTAAAAAATATTATTAAATATTAAATATTATTACCGGCCAGGTGGAGTGATTTGATTTGGATTTGCGCAAGATGGCTGGCAGGAACTAGATGCAAGAAGCCGAAAATCGATCTAGTGGCGTGCAATTGGAGAGGGCTATGACCAGCAGTGGACTGCGATAGGCTGATGATGATGATGAAACATTATAAAGGTTAATCTTTTCAAATATTGGTAAAGCTTTAAGTTGTTCTTAGTTATTAGTACTTATGAGGGATTGTCCTGCTAGCAAGTTGGTTATGATCTAGAAAGAAATACATCAATATGGGTTTTCATAATTTAGTTTTAGAATCGTATACATACTTGAAATAATATTTTTTCCTGTGATCGAATCTTTTGAACTTTTATATGTATGATAGTAGTCATGTGATGGTCTAGACTTTTTAATTTCCAATTTACTGTCACTTTCTAGTCTCTTTTTGCCGCAACAATGAGATATGCAGCCTTTGTTACTCGAGTCATTTTGCTCTTTCTGTTTTGAAGTCATCAAATTGTACTCATTATTGAGACTCACTGGATACGTTGCACTTTGTATTCGAGATTTGTTCGGACTAACAGTCACACTTGTGTCATTTTTAGGCAAATTTAGTAGTTTATTTGACTCAGTAGTCTTGTTGGTCATAGAGTTGAATTTATTATTCATTGAAATGGTCGTTTTGTTTATCTCTTTGTTATTTAAATTCCTTTTACTAATTTCCTTGTTATCTGCACTCATAAGTTTCTTTATATTAGAGTTACTTGAACTCATTGATCGGACAATATCGTTATTGCTTCTTATAACAGGAGTCTTTAAATCATTGTTTATTGGACTAACTGCCCTGTTGCACTGATCGTAGTTCATAAACATAGAATTTTTAAAATCATCATTGATTGGATGACTAGGTGTATTCAAAATATAGTTGTCAAACTTAGTGTCAATAACTCTCGTCAAGTAACTGTTGATTGAGCTCACTGTACTGTTTAATTCATGATCTAACTTCACCGCTTCCAATAATTCATTGTTGTTCAAGCTCATTGACCTTTCAGTACGGTCTGAAGTTAAAGAAGTTTCAAGGTTGTTGCTCGTCAAAGTCATTGATTGGTATCCTTAAATAATGACATTAATAGGTATTGATTTCAAAATAGTTTACAATTTTTCTATATTAAAATTAAATAGCTGACTTACATTTTGTAAAGCCACAACTAAGCTATCTAATTGCAGAGAATATATCAACGCGAAGAAAACAGACGTCTACGTTATTCTGGAGTACGAGGGAGTGGCCACACAATGGGTAAACCCTGGCGGAGGTCACTCCTGGAAGCCTGTCTAAAAGACTGGTGCTACTAGAAGAAGCTAAGCTACCTCAACTAGTCATTATTTTTCGAAGGCTTTATGTACCAGTTAGGAGTCCATTTACTTTTACCTACATTCTATTTAGTGGCCCTTTAAAGTTATAAACTACTACTAACTAGTTAAAATTGTCTTAAACTTTCATGTCATCAAACCGATTGATAAACCCAATTATAACATTTAAAGAGTTTAACTATAACGGATTCATGCATACTATAAATTCTGGATTGAAAGATTTTGAATAAATGCCTGATTGGTATATTGGTACCATAAAAATCTTATTTTTATATCTCAACTTTTTTAGATTAGATTTTAAATATCAATATAAACCATGCTCATCCCCCGTCTCCCTTTGCCGGTAAACCCAACTGAATCGAGTGGGCAATTAATAAAATAATATATTATTTATTTGTAAACTAGGCGACTAAAATAGCAATTAATTTTAGAAAACTGAACGAACAAATTCTCATGTATACAACAAATCTAGACAGCGTCGTAGAAAAATTTCATTGCTTTATGAGTCAAGCCCAGCTACATCTTATACGACTTGCTACTAAGATACCAAAATTTACCAGATTCATTATCTCTTGATGGAAATTCAATTTCGGATATCAACATGCTAGTATCTTCACTCCCTGTTTTAACCGAAGAAGTTGTTGCGCTTTGCAATTCATCGGTCGTATGTGATGTAGGTTGTTCCAAAGTACTTAACTCGGAAACTAGAAAATTAAAAAAAAAAAAAAACTTCATGGTTTTAAGTTCAAGTTTTAATTTGCCAGCCCTACTAACACATCCAATTTTTCACTAAAGGCATGGGGCTAATTTAATAGAGCCTGCTTCCACAGATCTTAAAATATAATTTCTTGACAAAACAGTATATGTAAAATTCTGTTACACCTTTTTTTTTGTTTTGTTTTCACCTTGAAGATGCCAGGGAATATTAATACCTATCGATACTTCCTGATGTATTTTCAAATTTGTAATTCTAAAATCCTTAAAATTTAAAACAACATACTTTATGGACATCCCGCAACTTTATAGAGTTGCGACTGAAGGTTGCTCATTTTCGCCAAGAATGACTTCTTCCAAATGTACTGGTTTTCACACCTCTAGGTCAATATCATAGCTGAGTGTTGTGGATTACCGACCAAATTAAGTTGTTTAAAGGTATCATAATCACTAAAATGATTTGTACTTAACTTAGTAGTGAAAAGTCTTTTTCACAATATTTCTTTGTTTACTTACAATTGCTTGTGTTACTGTCATAATTGTTTGAATTACTATCGTCCACATAATCACTGTAAAGGCTTGTCTGATTAGAATCTATTAAGAAAACGGTCGTTGGTGTCTCAAATCCCATCAGCCAACCTGTTTTATAGAATATGTATTATTTTTAGACTTAAATACCGTCCGAATACCGAATATAAACAAGCTTTTATAAACATTTTTAATTGTTATTAGTTTTGTATGTATGAACAAAGATTAAAGTGCGTTTATTATTTAGTGCAATAAGGTATACGTTTGATGTACCTAACTCTCATTTTAGTTAACTCAATCTAAGAAAGATTCATTGTGACAAATAAGAGTTATAACGATTATAAAGAAAAGAAAATTACATTTATGTTTATACTTCTGATTTCAATACATAGGAAGTAAGTAACTCTACTATACATGCAGTAACTTTTTAGCAAATTTCAATTGATAAGTCATTGCTTGGATGATAAATCCCAATACCTCTAACCGACCCTGTGACACGAGTATTTTTCAATGAATGTTATTCTAAACAATTAAGAAAACAAACAATATAAAGCTCATTCAGATTTGATTGTGTTATTTAAACATTTTAGGCGAATACGTATCTTAATGAAAGAAAAACAAAAGCAGAAAATAAAATACATTGAAACAAGAATTCATGAAGTATTTATGCCTTGTCACTGGCATTATATTCGGAAATGAAAATCAAATATTGGAGTTCGTTCGATCTCTCTTTACTGCGTACACACTGCTTTAAATCTAATTTTTATAAATGACATTAATAAAAGGAACAAGAACACGGAGCTTTTTACTTTTTAAGAACATAATAGCAATTTGAGGCTTTTAGCCTGATATAAAAATGAAAAGTTGTTGACAGGTTCATCGAATGATATCTTTAGTGTTTTTATAGACAGGCTAGACACGCTACAATCCTGTTGAAATGAAAATAGAGACACTTTGTGATACAAAACGATGGAACTACATATTAAGCATGTCAATTTTACATAAAAATAAAAATGCATAAGCGAAAAATCATTGTACAATCTTTTTTCTTAAGACTTGTAAATATTTTTGGGATTTCTAATTCAATTAAATACCCCGATGTGTCTCACAATTAATTCTTTATAATGCGGTTTTATGCATCTTTCATTAATCATTAACTGCATCCGAATTCACTATAAAATGTGAATTTCATTAAATTAATATAGCTTTTGTAGTACTTCTTTCGAATCATCAGTGATCACCTTTACTGTCTTCTGTATACCCCACTCTACCTTTTTTTTCTGTGCGGAAATCCCCATGGATGCCACCCAGCGGCGGTTACATCGGACGCAAAGCGACCAAAAACCAAGGTGATCCAGGTGTACCCTAGGAAGAACATCCCTGATTCCCCGACGTACCTCGGGCCATCTACGGGGTATAAATGACCCCCTCCTGTGTGGGAACCCCTACGTCCCCTTTGTGCTTCCAAAAGGGAGCGCGCGCTCCGCAGCCACCACCCCGACCTGCTTCTGCTAGGGTGACAGATGGCCTCACCTACCACCCCTAGGCCTGCGCTTATGGAAGACAGAGGGCGTTCTGCGACCTCCGGCGCCTGAATCGTCTGCGGTACCTGGTACGTTGCCGGGCCTGGCGGGCCGGGAGAGTTCTTAACCTCTTCCGGTCCCGTTTCGCCATCTCCTTTGCAAGCATAACTTGCTCGCAGAAGGAGACACAAGGTGTATCCAGGAAGGCACCACTAAGCACCCAGTCGTAGCCGATGTTCCACAAGAGTGGCCCTAATACCGGGACACCGCACGACATTTCACGTCTACCGAGACCGGACCTGCTTGGGTAGCCGACGGCTCTCTCTGACAAATATGCCCCGACTATGCAGCGGGGGTAGAGAGGCACTTCGTGCGACACGATACACGAGCGAAAACTGGCCCCACTCGAGGCATGCGCTGAAGATCCCTCTCAGTCGAGGCTCGAGAGCTACGCCATTTAGGGCCAGGACCCACGCTCGGCCTGGAATGCTACCAGGACCTGGGGCGGTGTTTTTAGCTTTAAGCCGTAGCACCGCAGCCCTTAGTTCTGCCCAAGTGACCTCAGGCACGTAATCGTCATCCACGTTAGGTGCCTCGAGCGCCGGAGGCGGAGCCATCTGTGGTGGGGTATGTTCCACCACTTGCGATAGGAACAGGGAGCCGACAACCCATTCAAGCAGTTCTGGCTAAAGACACCGGGTCAACGGCAGGGCCCATGGGCGCACCCTACTCTACCTATCCAGATAACCTAAAAGAATCTAAGTCTGCAATTGAGGGTTTTGAAACAAATTTATGTCGTTAGTCCAACTTCTGAAATAGTTGAACAGAGCAGTTGGACCACTGCCCCGTACCCAAATTCTAGCACTTTTGTACACATATATCTTTAAAAAGAACCGGTTAAGTGCGAGTCGAACTCGTGCACCGAGGGTTCCGTACGGGAACACTCTTTAATTTTCAACTATTGTTATTTTTTGGAATTTTTCTTTTATGTGCCCTATGTGCTGTAAGACCATGCTTTTTGCCAAATTTCGTGACTCTAGGTAAACGGGAACTACCATATAGGTTTTCGACCCAAAAGCTATAGGGTACTTCCGGTTGACCTAGAATTGTCAATTTTGGTTATAAGCAAGGTCTTACAGCACAAGTAAAGGGAAAATTCCGAAAATACAGAACAGTTAAAAATTAAGGTAAATTTTACATATCTTTTTATCGTCTTGACTCATTTGATTTTTATAGACCTAATAAGGACTATAGACCTCAGTATCTGATATAAATTTCAACTTGATAGGTCCACCCGTTTTTGAGATAATCGGTGGTGACACACGGACACACGGACAGACAGACGGACAAAAGAGTGACTTTTGAGGTACGGAACCCTAAAAACAATAAGGAATTCAAGATTTGGTTTTTGCTATTTTAATTATATATAAGTAAATAACTACAGGCTAAATAGAATCCCGTTAAGTAAGCGTACGCTCTTGCTACGGAACCCTAAGAAACTGGAACCTTAAAATAACCTAGACAATCTATTCTATTAACCTATTTGTTCAGGTGTGTCTAACTATGTCTTATAGTTCTTATTAAAATTTCGTTAGAATGAGGAAATTTGAAGTTATTTGACATTTAAAGCAAAGACAAAAAATATGTTTAATGTTGTTTTCAATCTGGTATTTTTTCCAATTACATTAATTGTGGCCGTGAGTTACTGGAAATGATGATTTATACAAAGTGTAGGTGTGTCATAATTCAAGTTGTTTACCATCGTATCTAGAGCTATCGATAATGTTGACATGGCCGTAAATCTGACGTAGGGTAGGTATAGGTCTAGACGAGGCCACGGAAGCTGTTTCTTGTTTTTCTTCCGGGAAAATATCTAAAAAAAACAAGCTTTTTAAAACAGATTGGTTTGATTACATTTGTTAAATAAATGACTTTCCTGTTTTGATAACAGATACTGACTACCCGCTTTTAATAAACTGCAACCTTTAGTTGGATAAATATTTGAGATAGGTACAGAATAGATAGTCTAGATTTTTTGATTCATCGTTAATGACCTTATTTAGCAGCCTTTAAGCTTACGTAGTGTTTCAACTAAACTGAGTATAGTAATAGTATACTCAAATACATATATATAGTAGTAATCTTTTTTAATTGAGGTTGTTTTAACTTTGAATCCTAGGGGAAAAGATTTTATGGTAAAAAAAAGCATAATTGTCACTATTGGTGACGTGCATCTCAATGGACACTGATAATCCTTTAATTTTTAGCTAGCGTTCTCTGATTTATATTATTCTGGAATTTTATCAAATAAAAGTATTAATTTTGAAAGTAATCAGGTTTTAAATAACCCTCTGCACTGCTATATGTAAACTGATTAGCTACTAAACAAATTTTTAGCTTGTTAAGATCTGGTGTTGCATTCTTCACTTGATAAAAACCTGGTTAAGTTTGATGCAAATACCTGGAATCAGTAACTGAACTCTCTGTATATTCCTGCCTATTGGTATATACTGGTTGGTTGCAACTTGTTGCGTTTCTTGAACCGAGTCCAAATCTTCACCGATTAACATGGGCGTACGTCTCGGTATCTTGCTCGGTTTAATTTTGTTTCCTGAAAATCATACATGTATATTATTCAGTGGCGTTTAGAACTTAACAATAATAGGTATTAATTTAAACTTACCATTCAAGTCCTTTTCTGCTTTTAGATTCTTTGATCGTATACTTGCTTCAGCATCTGTGGTATCCAAAGTAATATTTAAAACCTAATGTTATTAATTAGAAATCGATTGATCGATGGTTCGTTCTTCTTAGCGTGTCGATGACAATTCAAATGGAGTCGGCCCAAAATTTGGCGACGAGTTCGGCACTTTCAGTAGCCTCCATCAGTTCCTGTGATGTGCAAGTAACAGGACAGGCTGGACACGATATCAAGTGCCCCATAGTTTGTGGGGCAAGACCACATTTACACTCCAGGGCAGAGTCATCTATGAATCCCCACCTGAACAGGTTTTCTTTGCTTCGGCCTACCTATGTCCGGAGTCTGTTTAGAGACTTCCAGGTCAGCCATGGCAACTCGTGTCCAGATGGTTCGTTAATATCATCGGCTATGCGTCAATGACAAAATTATCAATATACATATTTTGGTTTGTTTATTACACAACTTAATTAAAAAAGTGGTATAATAGCGGCATGAATTTTAGTTATGTTTAGACCACTAAAATAATTACTACGTAATTCAATAACAAAAAATGAAATAAAATAGTGTGCCCCTCTGACTTTGTGTTAATTTTCCTTGCAAAGTTTCAAACTCACTGTACTAACGTTTATTATAAAATGTAATTTTTCCTGTGCTATGTGTTATGGTACACCTATAGCAGTTTATATATGGCAGCTAAAGTAGTTTTAAACATTTTTGTTCAAAAATTAAGTATTTCTGTATGTACCTATATGAAAATAAATTTGTCCCTTTAGGAGGTGTGAGCATTTAATTTGTATAGTATATGATGATAAAACAAGGCTAGCAAACGATTAAAAAAAATGTTTTCAACTTGCCTGAGTCTTCTACGCGGATTGTAATTTTACACGAACTTCTTGATGCCGATTTAATGAGATCTTTTGAGGTTTGTTTATTAATTCTTGGAAGCTTACTCACATTTCTTCCTTTGGTTTGATCCATTTCAGCTGGTTTTTATATGTATATTATGAACAAGGATAGAAAAATAAAGTTATATTTAACAATCGATTCATAGGAAAGTGACGGAACCACATAATATTGTACACACTAATTACACAAGTACACAATAATTTAATACGAAGTTTTTGTAATAGAAAAAAAAACAACACTTACTGCAGGGTTTTTTTATAATTTTTGCTATCTAATAGGTTCTAACTTTATTTTCTCCCTTTAAGAAGAATATCTAAAATAATCTACACACATTTAAAACAATTTTATTCTTGTATTGAATAAATTCCTAAATTTAGATAGTACTTAGCGTCAAGAAAGAACGTAATGGTATATCAATACTTATCCAAATAAAAAAAATGTATTTAAGCTATCGCAAGCTAGTAATAATAGTAATTTTATCACAACTTCCAAGAAAATGAAAACTGCATTAACTTTAATTTTATTTTTGTTTATTTCAATTTAAACACTTAATTTTATGATTACCTAAAATTAATGTATTTCATCTTGACACTGTTTTGACATAGCAAGTAATGTTAATCTTTTTCTTCAAAAATATTAGATACTCCTTGTTCCATAGTAAGAGGTTCTTCTTCTATTTCAGTCGTTTTATTTGCAGCGGCCCTTTGCTGTTCTGCTTGTATTTCTTCTAGCTTCTTAATAAGATCTTCTTGAACGCTATCCACGATTTCTCTTAAATTTTTAGCTGAAAGAATAATTTAATATTTATATGTCAGTACATAAAGGTTACATAAGTATTGTGCCACCAGAAGGTATATCTTTTGTTTTGTTATTGTTTTGGTCTCGATTGCAGTGTTTTAACTCCTTTATACGTATGTACGATATTTTAGTTAAAATCTGTACTCTCTGTTATAACTTAAAAGATATCAACTTGTATTAGGTGAAGAAAACTTAAATCATCTTAGAACGGGAGAAAAGCTTCTAATCTACTAAGAACATGAAGTACCTAACTATTTAAGTAAATTAGTTTAACTATTTACTATTACATTATTGACTTCTATTTGCCCAAAGTACAAGAACCAGATTATAAAAATGGCAATGATATTATATATATTGCCTCGATCCCGAAAATTGTTAGGAAATGGGCTGATGATGCCTTAACCTCGTAAGACATGAACAACGGGTTCTTTCTAGTTGAATCTCGGCGTGGACACCCTAGGGGGCCATTGACATTCACTATTACACTTGGACCCTCAACCCGGAGGTGCGAGAATAATTATTTAATTTATATTATACTTCAACTCCTAAACATTGTACACTGAAGGACTTTACATTTAAGAATTAAAATCTAGCTTTGTAACCATACAAATTAGCGACTTTCTGAGGCGATCTCTTACAGGCATCCATATGCAAAGACTATGTTGAGGGGGTCCAAGTGTCATAGTGAGTGTCCATAAGTTGAAAGAACCGAGCAACCAGAGTGATCAAAATACGTTTTTAGGTGTTTAGAAATTTAGACGTGCTTTTTACGTACAATGAACACAAAAATATTGAAATTTTGACAGGATAACGTCTGTTAAATCAGCTAGTGTAAAATATAACTAATGTTAAATTATTAAATTTGCTATAGCTATAAAATATACTACTAGTTTCAGACCTATATCAATATGCAAATAAAAATCTATATGAAACAAGACTTGTATGAAAATAAACATAATAATACCCATTACCAGTTTTCTGGTTAAATTCTTCCGCTATCAAAGATATTTTTTTCAAAGTGTTGACATATTTAGATATCTCACTAGCCACGTCCTGGTCAGGACCGGTATTCACTTCTTTATCAATCATATCTCTCTTTTTCTTTTCGAGCGCCACTTTCAATACTTCACTGTTGACTACGGGCATTTTTGGCATTTTGTATGAAGCACGATTGGTAACTTCTATTTGGCTTTCAGTGTCAATAGAAAGTGTATTGTCTTGATCATTCCCTACTTCTAATTTTGGATTAATAAGTGTAATATTTAATGTATCGTTTGGTAATAATTCTGGTGCGAATGTCTGTAACGTTTCTATTCTCATAGGAGACGCAGTTTTAGGTGGAGATTTCTTCGAAAATTTTATCGGTAAAGCATTTGTAATGCTTTCTATTATCGATTCTGTAAAAAAAAGAAGACCATATTGTTTTACTGAATTTTAACCTTTAGTTCAAATTACTCATTTCAATGTTTAACGACCTACTTACGAACAATATTCCGAGGGTATTCGTCTTCTCGTTTTTTCAATGCTAGTCTTCGTGACAAATCCGCTAAAAACATTGAACAAGTAGGACCTGAAGAAAAAAGGCCATTGTATGAAAGTATTATATGCTAGTGTTATAATGTAATCTTAAATTAATTATAAAATCATCTTTCTTTATTTAAGTATACTATAACAAATTTAATCAAAGACCACTCATGCTGTGTGGAAACATTAAAGATGGTAAATTAACAAAAATAGTACATTAAAATTTTCATGACAAACGGTTATTATTAATTACGACAATGTGGAATATTTATGAGCTTTAGTATGACTTATAATGTAGTTAAACTTAACTATAAATATCATTTCGTTTCGACTCTTTAGTAACTTCTAATATCATTTCAGTCGGGGTATTTAACTGTTAAAAAGTAAATTTTATCATTTTGAAACTTCAAAAATGTATTAAATTATTTTGACTTTAAAAACATATTTAAACATTTTTTAAAATTCTAAAGGTTAGATTAGATTCTTCAGATTATTTTGCAACTTTAAATATGTATTTTATCATTTTAAAATTAATAAACATACTTTAACATTTTACTTAACTCCGAAGTACAGCGAACTAGCTCGGAGACCACAATTTAGCTTTATGCGAGCTATTTACAGTTTTGAAAATATAATTAAACTTAGTTTAATGCAATTAGATAACGCAGCCTTGACATATAATTAAACAACATAATTGTTTTTTTTTGTGTTTAAATGGCTTTATATTAAATTTTATAGTAAAATTATGAAAGGCGAGCAATTGTAAAACTATTTTCCTTGTTTCAAAACAATATAGATTTTTTAATAGTCCTATCTAATTTTTTAATGGTTATGAGTTCAGATTCATGAATTTCCTTTATCACATTGTATAACATTATTTATACTCGAACTAAACATGACTTCTTCTACTGATGTATCTACTTTCAAACTTTTGTATAAACAAATTTAGATATAATGAATAGATAAAATTAGACAGACCAATACAAATATACATTTTCATGTAAACACATAAACATTTCCACTGAAAGGAAATCAAGAGTAACAGTGAATGCTCTACTGCTGCTCTACCGACATTTATGTAGTCACAGCACACTTATGAAGGCAACAAGAACAATATTAGAATATATTATCATTACCATCGCTTTTTCGCTTCTTTGTTGATTTCGGTTTCGCATTTGTGGCAGCTTTTTTATTCTTCGCTTTGTACCGTGTCGGTACCTTGTCCATGGCTGGAAAAATATTTATTTTATATAAAATAATCGTAAAATGCTGCATTTTTTTTTGTAATAGAACAAGCAACAAGTTCGTGACACCCCTGATCTTGCCCCCATAATTACACTGCAGTGACCGCTTGCTACCAACCTAGCCTGTGTATGGTGAGACAGCGAAGGTGAGACAGAAGAAGCGATTAAACAATATAACTACACAGAAACTATCATGATTATGGTTGAAGTAAATCTACCAAATCAACTCTTCATTGATACATTCATAGATAAAGAGGAGGATTGGCTCGGGGGCATCACGGGACCCTCTGATACCGCCTGACGCAGGTCATCACCGGGAAAAGATGCTTCGGGGATCACCTATGTCTCATCCGAAAGGAGCCAACGCTTGAGTTTCACCACGGCGATGGCCCGAACGTGGGTTAAGCAGAGAGGCATGACCTCGTGGCGGCAATTTGAGTGGAAATTCTCTCGCTTAGTAGTATGATTGCGGCCATGGTATGGAACAAAAAAGCATGGAACTCCGCTACCTTCTTCTGCAAGCAAGTTATGCTTGCGCAGGAGACGGTGGAGCGGAACCGTGAGAGAACTTTAGAACTCCCCCGGTCCTCCAGGCCCGAGAATAGACCAGGTACCGCAGACGACTTAGGCACCGAACATCGCAGAACGACCTCCATCCTCCATAAGAGTCTGACATAACCACTGGTGGGTTGTATCCAAGGGGATTGCGCATCGAAAAAAAGAAAAACTAGGCATATAGGCAGATAGACAGAAAAAAGCTACGACGGAATAAACAATAGATGGGCACCGTTCCTTATTTTTTCCTTTTAAGGAATATATTCCTGAAACATGAGTAAAGTAGAGCAAGCAAGATCATATTATTATCTAATAAATTAATTATTTAGTGACTGAAGTTGAGGATAAGTTTTGGTGGTAATTTGATACGTTTCGTAATATTTCATTCAGACTAACACAATTGGCTGATAGTAGCATAAGAATAAATTCTTAGGTTGGTATTACTTATTCAGAAGGAATTCCAAAAATACTCATATATAATTAACACATAAGATTTATCCTATCCTATCCTAAGAAGATTATAAGATATTAATTAGTATTTATATTCTCAGCTCCTTTCTGGTTGTAACTTGCACTTGTATCAATAAGGGTAATGCTTCTCAGTTGTCTATAGCCCTCCACATTTAATGCTGAATGAAGTATTACGTATTTATTATGTCAATAACTGTAATTCTGTGTAGCTTCTGGAAAAATATTTGATTATAGAAATAATAACTTAGTTGGGCTCTTCTGAGCTTACCTGCTGTAACAAATGCGAAACTGTTTTACGTGCAATATTTCCTTCGCATTATGTAACATTCATTCATTGGACGTTTTGTGATACACTAAAACAATTTTTATGATATATAGTTACTCGGATTGAAATTCTGAAAGTCCTGCTTAAAAGCGAACTTTCGCTAACTGAAAGTTTTCGTACTTACAAACAGTACTTCCACTTAAATTTTTCTTAAAATGGCTTCATCATCTAGTATATACCGATGATTCTGCCTCACAAATAGTAAAACTAGTTATACAATTGACATAAAACATTGACCACAGAGTGAATAATACATAGACACTGATTTCGCTGTCGTCAACCTGTTTACGAGTTCATGCAAAAGAGGTTACATATACACTTATGATAATAAAAAGTAGTAAACCTCCTCGAAGTATTGCGGTAAAGTCCAGTGCAAAACTCATGGTCGTAAAATTATTCAAATACCCCGAATTATTGCACTTCTATAATAACTCTTCTTTTTTCATTTTTTTTCATTTCTATTTTAATGCCCCATAATACGTAAGTGGGACTAAAATTACAGTCTCTGCCTATCTTTTTGAGTATATAGGCGTAAGTATATGTATGTATGGTTTTAGCATCTTTCACTTTTAGCTTTAGAGATAATATTAGGTATTTGGCAAATTTTCAACTTACATCATAATAGTGTCCATTTCTCGACATACACTGACACAGCGTCAGTAGGTGGACAATAGGTCCTGACACATGAAGACCTTTGTTTTGAGGTATGGTGACAAAGGTGTTGAGAAAACTCGCAACGCTATCTAACTTGAATGGAACGTTTTAGTGATCAATTTCTTGAAGATTTTTCTACAGAGATTGATAATCTGTTGATGTATCCCAAACATCGTCTTCGTCGAACTTCGACCCTTCGACGACAATCGATCTCGGTGCGATGTATTCACTGATCATAATCTTCATTTGTACAAAAACTTGAATATGCTTTATTCAAGGTGTAGAGAATCTAACTCAGTTGCTACTCGCACCTACTATGTATGAGATTCACTTTGTATTTATTTTGCGTCTAGTTCAATACGGTGTCTTCTTTAAGGGATATAACATCACCCTTCGATATTAAATTGGTTAGTCCTTCTGTAGAGTAGAACGAAACCATAATGATGTACAAGAACATGAAAAGAATTACGTGTGTACTACGTCTATCACAGTGAACCTATTTTTCTTTTATTTGGTTCTCAGGTTTCAAGGTATGTCTTATAGGTATTATTTCGCACACAAATAATGATATTCTCCAGAGTTCAAATATGTGTAATAAACAATAACACAAAATATAAAGAAATTTCATTGAAGAAAAGAATCGTTTTTTCACATGCTAAGTAAATATGGCTTATATCGAAAGGTTGACTGGTTTTTGCAATATAAAAGATGAAACATGATTACTATGTAAACATATAGAGAGTGTTTATTCAAATATTTCTTGGAAAAATAATGTAGTAAATGTGTTTGGATCAAATATTAGAATCTAATCGAGCGAGCGAGTGTTTCTTCAATGGTCCTTTATTGCGGGTAGTCGTTGAAGTGGAAGTGGTACGAGAGTATTCACTGTATATTGTTCTTTAGAGAATCAAAAGTGTCAGAAGTTTTTTTTCTTTAGAAGTTGGAATGTGTCAGTCCTCTTGTACAAACATATGTATTAAATTCTTTGAAAAAAAATTAAAGTTCATGTATTCAGCATGTATACAATCAATGTCTCATCTTGTAAGTTGACTTAACGTAACATCTTTTAATCAGCCCATATATATAGTTATCTTTTTTTTAAAGATATGAAAGATGTAAAGAAGAAAAAAAGATACTGTATTAAATAAAAATGAAACACCCTCTAAAACATCAATCTCTTTTATGTAAGACTAGTTTGTTGGCCACAAAACATTATAAGGTCAACGGCAGCACCACCTGTAATAAACAAGACAGGAAGTTATCAGACCGACAAAACGTATTTTGTTTTGTTTGAAAAGAGAATGTAGTACTATCTATAAACTTGAATGACATTATTGAGCAATGAATAAACTACTTGAGTTTATAAATAATCTTTGATGCTTTGTTATAGATTATAAAATAATCTATAAATGCGAGTTATAAACATAAAACTAAGTTGCTTTAAGCGCTATATACAGAATATTAAAAAAAATAACTTTTACTACCGAGGATATCTGTTTTTATATTTAAACTACTAAAGTTTGATTTTATTTTATCAAAACCGACCTTATAATATCAATCGTGATAAATCAAAATTTTAATTAAAATATCTGTTTCGGTATTATATCTGTGGAAAGAAATATTACGTGTGGTCATTAAAAACAATCAAGCATCATGGCTAATCCGCGTAGAACTTTTTAGGGTTGCCAAAAAGGACTTTTTATTTGTCCTTTTTTATCTTCCGCTAGTTACATCATACAAGCATAGGGCAGTCACTACATATAAACCGATGATGACGTACTTTTTATAGAACGTATAAAAACGAACGATTCAACCTCAACTTTACGATGTGATTGACAGTGAACTTTATCTCGTTCTACGTTGAGATGACATGTGCTGAAAACTAATCAAATTTTGACGAAGGTTTTTAACTGTTAGGCCTAATGTTCTGTATAATTAATTTAATGGAAGTCATCACATTACATCATCAGCCTTTAATTGTCCACTGATTGACATAGGCCTCTCCTTAGAAAGAGGTTTTGGCCTACTATACCACACTGGCCAGACGGGTTGGTAGGTATAGGGTTTGTGTCAAGTTTTTATTCTGTTTGTAGTGCTGTTGTCTTGTGTAGTTTTTTCCATTAGTCAGCTGAATTGAGGTGGTGACACTTCGTATTCTTAATTCGTCACTACACGGATAAGTTTAATTTAATGGAATATATTTATTTTAATAGACTATGGCTCGGACAGCTATGTGTAACATGTGTAGTTTATATCATTCCTATTATTTTATTGTTACCCAAAATAAATAATATTACTTTGGCAAATGCGACTAATAGTCCCGGTAAATAAAACATAATCGTGAAAATCGTGTGTGGACCGATCAGGTCCTGTTTCTGGGTTCGGTTCGCCGTTCATTTTACAACTGTAATACGAACGTGTAGTAAACACTTCGATTTAAAACTTTTGTCGTTCTCCTTTTACGGGCCACAATATATTTTGGGAATAATGCATGATTACAGAACTCGCCCTGAACGTTGGTTTTGTACCTGTTAATGTGACATGTTCTAATTGTTTATAGTTTCTGTTAAACCTTTATTCTGTTCGCTTTACGTGTTTCTCCAGATATTATACATTAAATAATAGTAAATAAACAGGATGGAATCTAGTAATGGGTAAATAACAAACTTTGAACAAAGAGTTGATACCGGTATATAACATATTTTTTTAATGTTGATCTGTCTGTCCAAATAAATAGCACCTAATTTGAATAAAATGAAAAACAACGCGGATCGGTTAAAAAACTATTAAAAGTTTATTTATGTATCACGAGAAATTCTATATTAGTAAATAAAATAAGACGTGTACTCCGCCACTTGTAAAAACTCTCTAGACATTGTATATGCGACAAGGGGATATAGGTGACATAAAGTTACCTAAGAACTTGGAAAAAAATATATTAGAAATCAAAGACTCGATCGGAAATCAATGATTGCAATCAAATTGGTTCAAAGTCAGGGTTTCTTATTTTAAATATAAAAATTGATGATAAAATTAAAGGTTTTACATTTTACAGTTTTATCTCAGTCACTACTCTTAACCATTATCACTACGACTGGAGCAAAAATATAGATATTTTTACAACATTCTGAATGTATTTGATTGCAAAAACATACAGAGAGTTACGAAAAAAATCGATTAAATTTAAGAAGCGTTATGTGTACCTAACAATTTGTTAGCTTGACAAATAATTGGTTGAGCTTGTAAATAATGGATGTTATATTTTCTGTTGTTTAACACGCTTTTGGAAATCTACACGTTTTAATGATCTCGTTCTTTCTTGACAAAATACCGATAGGTTCATTCATGTCAGCCCTCTCTTACTTATTAGTGCTTTAAAAATACCGTACAGCATTAATAATATTAGGAAATATTAAGTTTAGACATGGTCAAAACATTTATGTAGCGGCCTGGAAATGTTAAATATCTAAAATCCGTGTTAAGGTTGTCTGGAAGAGATCGCTGTGAGCCATAATACTGCTGATGTCTGTCTTCTTAGTATGTGTCTATGTATACAATGAATAAATAAATTAATTAAGATTTGTAAATGTCGTATAAGAAATAATCAAAATGAAGTCACACATCATCATCACAGTCACATCACATGACAAGTAACTCTAAACAGTCTGTTGTCATCATTGGTCCTTAACCGGTACTGTATCGATCCTGGATCGAGTTTTGGGATCACTATTGTATGAAATTTTTGATAAATCTTAAGTAAAAAGTCTTATTCATTAAATCTATATCTTTTTGTGAGAATACTCGTATTGACATTTAATAATTTAGTTAACTTAATTATTTGTCATTTTCTATACAAATTAATTGTTACTTTGTGATTTTCAAAAAGTAACAATCAATTTGTATGGATTAATTAAATTATTCGCTACTGAGATATAAGAACCAAAAATCTCAGTATCCGTTGAATAAAAGACGGAGTTTCTTGTTAAATTAAGTTACCAATGAAAAGGTTTTTGATAACCCTGTTACTAGGAGCCAGAAATTCTTTCACAGGTCAGTATTATAATATTGACAACTCAGCACCTCCGGAACTAAAATATTAACTCTGATATCACAAAATGTAGGTTAAACTGGTTAAAGTAAACAGTGTTTCAACTGAATAATTAATTGAATAAACTATCAACCAAAATCTAAAATAGACTTTTTGTTATTATTTACTAACGCTTTATTCAAGAAAGTACTTATACTAATGCGTTAGATTAGTGGAAAAAATATTTAACATTAAATCACTGTAAGGAGGGAAGAAGAAATTGAAAAATAAAAGTATTAGTAAAAAGTTATTAATTTGACCTTTTGTAAATTTACTAAACATACACAAAAGAGAACATGGGTCCACACATTAAACACTAATTCTATTCGAACTTTGGTTTTTATTATTATTATTTGGTACGTTTATGCTAAAAACATAATTTTAAATCATCTGTGTGTTTCAAAGATTTTTGTATTACGCAAGGATGAAAAACAAAATAAGATTAAGGGTGATATAATATATATCGATATCATAACGAGAAATATTCAATGACCCACGCTATTTACGTTAAGATAAAATAAATACTTGGACATGAATAATTATGAAACCCGGGATAAATAGATTTCAATTCCGCCGAAATTTTTCAAGATATTTTACACGAAACTTAACGACGTGGGAATATATTCCTTCATTTGTTTGTCAAATCGGTTTTAATGTAATACAACCTTTGATAGTCCACTGCTGAACGTAGGCCTCTCCTTAGTAAGGAGGTTTTGGCCTGCTATATCATGCAGGCCAGACGGTTTCGATTAAGGTTTGTTTCAAGTTTCCCTTTTCTTTGCAGAGTTGTTGTCCTGCGTAGTTAGCTCCCTTAGTTGGCTCTTACGACATCCACGGGACGAATAGGGGTAGTGATACTCCGTATTCTTAATCCGCCACCACACGGTAAAG